TCTTACGTTTCAGAGCATATTCAGTTAGTTTTGGAAAATTGAAAAATTTGTCAATTTCAACTGAAAATGGCGAGGGCATACCATTTTGGCTAAAATTGACGATTTTTGAAAATTTTCAAAAATGTCTTTATATGCTGAAAATGGCTTCAAATATTTACTAAGACAAGTTTCTTACGTTCAGAGCATATTCAGTTAGTTTTGGAAAATTAAAAAAATCGTCAATATGACTGAAAATGGTGAGGGCATACGATTTTAGCCAAAATTGACGATTTTCGAAAATTTTCAAAGATGTCTTTATATGCTGAAAATGGCTTCAAATATTTAGAAAGACCAATTTCTTTCGTTTTAGAGCATATTTAGTTGTTTTTGGAAAATTGAAAAATTCGTCAATTTCGCTGAAAATGGTGAGGGCATACCATGGTTTTTGGAAAAATTGTCGATTTTCTAAAATTTTCAAAAATGTCTTTATATGCTGGAAATGGCTTCAAATATTTACTAAGACCAATTTATTTCGTTCCAGAGCATATTTAGTTGGTTTTGGGAAAATTGAAAAATTCGTCAATCTCGACTGAAAATGGTGAGGGCATATACCATTTTGCCCAAAATTGACGATTTTCGAAAATTTTGAAAAATGTCTTTATATGCTGGAATTTGTTTCAAATATCTACTAAGACTAGTTTCTTACGTTTTAGAGCATATTTACTTGGTTCTTGGAAAATTAAAAAATTTATCAAAATCGGCCAAAATCGTAAAGGGCCAAAGGGTACCCTTGACGATTTGGCCCAAATTGACGAATTTCAAACAGTTTAAAAAATGTTTTAATATGTTGAAAATGGCTTCAAATATTTACTTGGGTTGGTTTTTGGAAAATTGAAAAATTCATCAAAATCGGCCAAAATCGTGAAGGGCCAAGGGTACCCTTATCTATATAACGTTGATCTACGATTTAACTAGAATATATTTCCACACATCCCAAATGGTGAACTTCTTCTTGGATAATCAAGCATCAATTTTTCTTGTTAAATCCAGCCTAACCCTGCATGTATATTTTTTGACAACCAGGGTACACTAACCTGAAACGATGTCGGGGGACATTGCTGTTTATGAGTTGCCGTTTAACGTCATAGCTACCGTTTTTGGCATCGTTCTGGATTTTGGCGTCGTTTTTTTAATTAACTCAACGAGGTGATCTATAATATTTCATCAACCTGAAATAGGATAGAAGATGAGAATAAGCGAACTAGAGAAAAGATGCGCAAATTTGATTTTGGGGCAAAATGTAGAAGCCGAAAACAAGTATAAAATATAGCTTGAGCATAGATTCACGAATCTCATTCTATGGCTATGGTTATGCAAACAAATTTATACGATTATGCATGCAAAAACTAACGACGTCCATATAAAATTCCTGTGGGATTTCAATTATATCTTATCTTGCCTATTATGAACTTTATTTTAATTGTGTTATCAGCTGACGTGTTCTCGTGATGCATATACAGGGTGCCCAAAAAAGTCCCCTCTGTTGAAATCAAGCCTTTGTTAGAATCTGATTGCCTTGATATTATGATAAATTAAACCTAATTGAAATCAACATGCTTTATTTGAATGCCTTAACTTAATAGCTATGCTATTTATACACACTACTGCGTTGATCATGCATTTAAATTCCGACAAAAGCTTCATTTCAATAGGGGGACTTTTTTTTGGGATACCCTGTATAATTACCTGTTCTCGTCAGCGACAAGGGTAGAGGGGCAGTTATGGACTTGCTGTCTCTTCTTCATTTCGGGCATTTCGGCAGTAATTTTCGGTGTCGAATTTCTGCCAAAACTACTGCACTTCTTCTTTTACAGTAGTCCCCCGCTCACTCGAACTCGCTTAACTCGAACTCCTCGCTAACTCGAACTAAATCCAATTCCCCTTGAATTTGACAGTGTTTTTTATAGTAATTTACTCCGCTTAACTCGAACTCGCTTAACTCGAACTCCTCTCTAATTCGAACAAATTCTGTTTCCCCTTGGTCAAATATATCCGGTTAACTCGAACTTTGGTTTCGAATCATAAATCAGCGAACTTTAAAATGTGAGAAGATGGAATTTTGACAACTGGAAACTATCAAAATAACAACAAGTTAATCAGTGTATAATTGTATATAAATGCTTATAAATTTTAAAAGATTTTGTGTGGTGCTACGGTCGTTATTGATCTAACTTTTTTAGTTCCTTTTTTATTTTCGATCTTTATTCTTTCGTCGCGGCAACGCGACGCGAATTTTGAGCTTTCAGAAGCATATGAATTAAATTCTGAAAGCAAAATTTGGAATCTATATGGACGCCAGAGCAGTCAAAATGTATTATTGTTATGTAATATACAAGAATATTAGGAGAGATTAAATTAATTTGATTTTGAAAAATAAAAAACGTTGAAAATTCGCGCCGCGTTGCCAAATCACGTGCTGTCTGCGTGGGCCTTAACTTTCAAACTCCACCTGAAAAATGAAGAAGGCAACGTTACTCGTCGTTAGATTTTTGTTGAGGACTTTAATACTTAATGTATTAAAAATATCATTTGCCGGCTTAAAATTGAGCGGAGATTAGTGGCTAAGACAAACTCCTGTGAATCCAAATGAGATTTATAGCGTATATTACCTCTTCTTATTTCAGCAATAAATTCCGAGACGATGCTAGTCCTGCTTTCTCCTCAAAAGCGAGTTATCTGGAGCCATTTCAGCCACAATTTCTCAGCTATTAATTTCTTATTCACGATTTTTATCGAGTCTAGCTTCGCCTAAGAGTGATTAAGTCGTCACTCGTCAGAAAGTCTGTAAGGAACGAAAAATAAACGTCACACACAACACATTTTTTTAAGAAGGATTACACGAGGTGAAATAATTGGTCGATAGACCATAATGACGTAACAAGCCGTGACACCTGCAGGGAATTCTGGTCTTAGTAGTCACGGGTTGGGAAATTTTTCGCCGTGACTACCAAAACCAAAATTGCCTGCAGGCGTCACAACTTGATACTAAATTCCACTCCTGTAAAAGGACCGTTGAACCAATTTCAGCCTAAATTTCGAGCATAAATGTGATTAATGCCTCGAGAACGAGGACCAATGCCCAAATGATGCCTCAAAATTGAATCAGAGGCTGAGCTGGTTATTTCATTTTACCCGCTCTTCGTGTATGCTATTGGCTAAATACACTTGTCATGACAGCACAACAATGTTTCTGATTGGATAATCTTATTATTTTCAATACTATCCGGATTAATTATCTAGATCTTCTCGTCGGGAGAGGTTGGTATAAATTAAACCTACATCACCTGATAAAATTAACGCTTTTGTTAAGGTTCTGTCCCTTGCGTCTTCTTTCTGAACCCATCGCATAAAGACAGACTGGACAAACACGAATAAATGTTGCGCGAACAGTGAACATGAGCGTAAAATACTGGGCGGTATGTTGATACCTTGGCTTAAGAGCTTTCGTTATTTATTAAATACGATAAAAATTGATTTGCGATATTACATGGTGTCCCAAATAATATCCCCTCAAAAGAAACCGCTTTTTTGTCGTTGACTCATCCCTGACTCAAGCATTTAAAATAGATTGAATTCACATGAAGTGAGCCACTTTTAGATGGAGTGGGTCTTTTGAAAAGATTGACCGTCGCGTGGTTCTCTGAAGACCATAGAAAGTCTCCATGTCAATTTTAGGAAGCTCGACTTTTTTTAATAATTTAGGAGATCTGGAACGTCGGAAATGCCTTTCTCTACTCTTAAAAAAAGGTTGTTTAGTGCGAGCCTGAATGTATACTATGTTTGGTTATACATTTAATATTTTAATCGCAAAGACAAATTAAGTAAAATGATCTAATCAAACATGGTAAACTTCGTTCCCCTTATTCTAAAAACAAGGAGGATATGGACCCCCCCCATGATTGACGACCTTCAATGATATACTCGGGTAGAACTCGCCAGTCGCCACACGGTATTGCATAAAAACTAAAGTAAACCTTAGTTCATTTGCATTCGTTTCGGGAGATGAAAAGTTCGACGTCTGAAACGGGCCCAATCCACCAAAATATTTTTTCAGCTGATTGAAGTAGTCCGTCCGTGAACCGAAAATCCAAACATATTTTTAGGGGGAGTGTCGCCCCCTACTGTGATGTAGAGATCTCATATTTAAAAATGCCTAAAGTAGTCAAACCCATAATCATACTTTCAATAATCAATGTTTGTAAGTAATCGCAAATGAAGTGACATATAAACATACTATTTATTTTGTAAGCTTGAAATTTACAATAATTTTGTATTTACAAGTTTTTAGTTTTAGAGCAAATGTGCATGTCACAATGAGTCGGCCGGCTTCACGACCACAACAGCAATACATCTGCTTCACTGCACGAGTTGAGTCAACACAAGCACCTTACGTTACTATTCATTCACTTTTGACTCAACGCCTTGTTTTCGTGTCAGGTAAGAAGTTACCCACGTTAGGATTTAGAATTATTTTAAAATTACTTGGTATTGAGGGCAAGAATGTAGAACAAATATGAAACAAATGTGTGCAAGAATTGTGCAGGTAAAACATGCAGATTGCATCTGCGTAGCAGACAAAAACTATACCTATATGTAAACACGAAAACAAAGTCATTGGTACAGAAGTGAACGGTAAGGCCATTGGTATGTTTCGTTTAGGGATAAAATCTGACAATGTATTCAATTTTCGCTATCAATTTACTAGCTGTACACCTAATATTTTTAGATAAGACCTACCAATAAATTCATTAATTATTGAAGAAATTTTACTGTGAATGTATATTTACTTAAACGTAATCCAAACTTTCTAAAAGTATGTCTACATACCGTTGCTCTACATTGAAAGCTTTACAAAAAATATTCTCTTATTTTATAGACTCTTAGCATTGGCTAAATGTTTATTTGATTGCTGAAAAGAATTATTTCATCTGGGATGTTTTAACCTTAAATTCTCTCGGTTCTAAGTTTCCCTCGTTTTTTTTTAAATGGTATTCCAGCTTTTGTTGTTGAGAACAACATAGATACTCCGTTTTGAGAGAATTTTAAGGCAGTTTACTGTCTTGGGCGACTAAATAATCTGTGTTTTGACGAGAACAAGATTTTCTCTTAGGGTTAAATTGGATATCATCTTTCCTCATCTCTAAGGTCAGCGCCCTACCCAAGAAATGTAAAATATTTTAATAATTTCGAAGATCATGAGACGATATCAATAGGTATATAGCATAGACATAAAAAACATAAAAAACCCTTATCTTACCGCTTCAATTTTAGAATCCAACATTGCGAAAAATTCCACTTGGGACTGTGTCCTTGTGCTATGAATAAAAATGACGAATACCTATTTATGTATATTCAGAATTTGCATTTTTAAATAAACTGCATGTTACGTTACCTTGGCCTGTTTTTAAGTATAACTGGAGCTAGGGGATTCTAGAGAACCAAGAATACATTAGTTAGGAATGCAGGGATCCAGAAGATCAGAAGCTACTGAGTACTGTTTTTGTCTGTTTGTGCGACCTCGTCTAGCGGGGACATTCTCAGAATTAGAGCATTCTCAGTTGAATGGTCAGACTAATCTCATTTTGAAGTTAAATGGAACATTTCGTGCAGAATAATGGTAAATTTGTCTTTTCCGTGGTAAGTACCAGTAAAATACCAGTAAATTTATTCGCTAATGCTGAAAACTAAGGGCGCTTTCCTTTAAGCGACCAAAATGGTCAGACCGATTACATTTTGAATTGAAATAGAGTATTCCTTTAAAAATATAGCGGTGTAACAGCATTTTCTGTCTTCTTAAAACACTCTGAAATACCAGTAAACTGTCTGTACTGAAATACGACAGGACCGGTTCAGAATGGATTTGTTGATGAATATAAGGAAAACTATTCATCCTACAAGTCTGTCCTTCGAAGTTTATCCCAACTGGGATCATGTAACGAGGACTAAACTACAATTTAGAACAACCCTGTTAATGCAGTTTCTATAATAACTTACGTTTATTTGCCCAGGAATATTTTGAAGATGTTTCACTCCATTACTATTGCAGTTATCATAATTTGACAGTGGCCTCCTTGGCTGTGGTGGCCTTAAAACCCCATTGCTATTTTCATCTAAGAATAAATTATAAACTCACTGAGTGCCACTGACTCATTACGTAAAAATAGTATGGCATGACACAGACTAAAATACTTAAATTGGGGAATCTTGTTCAGGGATGCTTGCATTTTGCCAGCAGGGGAAAGGTGGGTAAAGATGCAGTTCATTTTAAAGGATTACATATTTTTCACAAGTAGAAGATCAACAAATGTGATTCAAGGATAGCACATCGCCTGGTGAAAAACACACAGAGAGGAAAAAAAACAGAATGAAACCAAGATGTTTACTTTTGCAGTTCTCTTGTATGCACTGCTACTGAAGTGCTCTTTCAGGAAAATCTGCCCCCCATTTCCCCTCTAATTGCTCTGGCTTCCTGATCTAGGTGCATTGCCTACAAAATGGTTAAACCTAAGGTTGGGGTAAGCATGATTTAAGCAGTATACTTATTATTGAGACCTAAATAGGACAAGGTAGGACAAGGATATTATTGCAAGAAAACTAAATTTGGGGTAGCAAACTTCTGATTGTATAATGCATAACTCATAATAGAAGAACAGACTAGAGTAGCTCTGTAGCTGGTTAAATAGCATACTGAAATCATTTTACAAAAATGTGTTATAGTAATACAAAACAACAAGTATTATGTCATGGAATTAAAATTAAGAAGTTCAAGTTCAATTTAAATTGTTATAGTAGAGGTAGAAATTACTTTTTCTCAAATATCCCTTAGAGAATACCATACCTGGAGTATTTGGGGAAGTATGAGTTATTTGAACAGGACTTGTGTTCGTCTCTGACGATGTCTGAACTCTTTTGCTCATAGGACATCCCATTACTCAACTGAAACAAAGCATAATTCACCAAATTAGAAGAGAAACAGGTTCTATGAAAAAAGAATAATCCAAACATTTCCTGTTAGGAAAGTCTAAATTCCTGTTTCAATGTTTATGTTAATGAGGTTGGCAGACAGTAATATATGATGCTATATTTGTTATTCCCATTCTTCTGAAGAATATTAAAAAAATGCTCCTATACTGATACACAACGTGGAAAAACATTTCCAATGTCTTCTAATAAAGCTTATAAAAAAACTAGTGAATGCAACAAAGACTGTAGATAGCCAAACAGGAGATTACGAATTTTGAATTAGGATTATGTTAATTCTATATTTATATAACAAAGGTCAAATAGTTACAGTCTGTGTTGAGAATAATGGATTGTTTGACACATGCATGGTATAAACTGAGAGATAGTACATGACTAGGATCTCCATGACATGTTAACTCACAAAGTAATTGGTTGTGAATAGCAACACAGTTTTTTAAGGTAGCAGGATGTCCGCTGTGTGATGAATATTTGCAATGGTAAAGACTAATGTGAGAGTTGTTTTCAAAATGGTCTGGTAATAGTACGTGCTGTGACACATACTAGAGTGGAGGGGCAATATAGTATGATAAAGATTATTTCCATACAATAACAAAACTAAAAAGATTATTTCACTCTTGTAACCACTCTCAATCTCCTAGTCATGACAGGCTATAGCCTAACACTGATGAAATAGTGAAATAGGCTTAATACTGTACACAAATACTGTTTTATGTGAGCATTGTATGCAAATCAGTCCAACTTACAGAAATATATTGGCACTGAATTTATCCTATTTACCACCTGGTATAACATTACAGCTGACTGCAATAGAAAACAGCCTTTGGTATTTATTGTATTGACATAAGTTGAATATCTTTTTTCCACTCAACTCCCATACAACTCCGCTTAATCTGTCGCTTGCAAACACTCATTAAACATTACGTTGTTTGACCAAGGATTTCAAAAAGATAAATCTTGGCTAACTCGGCGTAATTTGAAGGTATGATAAAATATATCATTCCTAGTTCCCAAATAAGGCATTACATAACAGTGGTTCAAAGGTGTGAAACGACAATTCATACACAATTTACGAAAGGATTTTTAAATCTCCCAAATATAACGCTACAATATATGTTTTCAGCATAAATAAACTGATTCGTTTCTGCTCTCAAATCTTTATTTAGGGAAAATATCAATCAACTATTGCATTTTATATTTATAATAGTGGGGGTTTGGCGTTATAGGATTAATTCGAGCATTGTGCAAACATTTTAACTTAGTAAATTAGACGAGCACAGCGTGAATGCTCGCGTGTCAGGCCATATATACACTCATAAACGTAATATCATATTTTAAAGAAAATATCAACAAAGTCACTTTGCCTTTCAAAGAAAGGAAAATACAGATTTTTGTTTTTAAAATCATAACAATTCAATGCAAATGCGTTGATAGAGAAAAACTATTGTTACATATTAGACATTTCGGCGTGGATTTGTAAACATTAGACATGTTGGCATGATCGAATTCGCTATCTTCGTGTGCCTTATTTCTATAAATCGGAAAGTGCCCAACTGTTTTTTACTATTTCAACAAAGACTAAATCTGGCTTTAGTTTATGCTCCACACGGTGAGGGTACAATTAGTGCAATTTTAAACATGCAATAAAAAAAATTTAAACTGAATACTTATTACAAGGCAAATTTGTAAAGGGTTATTACAGATAAAGTTTGTGAATTTTATTCGGGCTATTTGCGAGGGGTAAATTTATTATTGTTGGGCTTAATCGTTGAGTGATTTAGCGTGAGGCCTCACCACAGGGGCTAGACACGGTCCAGTGTAATTTACAATGCTGTTATTTATTACAAATGAAATAATTTTACGAATTCTGCGTTTATATTGTCTGATACACTAGCCTGCGTCCTCCCGAAGTAAATAACCACACTTTCAACTATGTTTACTCCAAATGTTTTAATGCAGACAATTTAACCCAACGCGAATTAATATTACACAATTTAACGCCATATATGTCACCGAAACACAACACGGTACTGGGAAAATTGTGTACACATATTCAAATACAAAAGTATTGGATAAACCTCTTTGTTTTGCTTTCTTGTGAACGAAAAACCTTTAATTCATACGTGGGTGTATTAAAACCGTCTAGTCCTGTTTATATTGTACTCAGTGGGGCAGCAAAAATTTTCAAATTAAGTAACTCTGACATACCTTTGTCGGCCAGCCTTTGTTGACGATCAATTCTTCCTTCAGAAATGTTACAATTTTTGGCTGTTATGTAGTCGAACGGCATTCGAATTCATTGTTGTATGTTCCGCAATAACATCCAGTTTATACTTTCTCTGGATCGTTTGAATAGAACGTGAAAACGGACCAGCCTTGTGTTACCTCAAAAATCAGCTGCTTTTGTTTCTGACTTTATAAGCGGACTTACAAAACACAAATCGTACGCGAATGCTAATAATCTTTATAAAAATACCACCGCCAATTCCGGTATCTCAATAATAAGACCACTTCGATTATTATATATTGTAAAGTGCCAGATATATTCAGAATGCTATATTTTGTTCTTCGTTCGCGAACACCACTGTTATCGGTTAAATCGCGGACAAAATATCATCCGCTGTGTATTAAAACTGTGAATCCTATTTCCTTCCGTTGACCGAGGCGTGCCCTCTCAAGCTAGCTTCACAAGATTCCAAATCCTGTTAAGCTTTAACGAAACGTTTTAATGTTTTAAATAAGCCTAGCGTTTCCAGGTGCTCGCTAAGTGAAATCTACATGAATTTGGTTCAAAGAAATATGATTTCCCTAATATCAAAATAAACACGCTGTCGAGTATGCGCAGCGCAGCGCGGGAGACTGGAAATCAGTGTTTTGTATTTCAGTAATTTCACACTAGTTTCTATATATTGAAAGGTCAAATTGTGGTTAAAAAATATCGCTTTGGATTGCTTTATGACTTTATATATATATGAAACACTTGTTTTCGAGTGAAATAACTGCAAAATCCAAATGTTAATATAATTATTCTGCCCTAACCATCATGAAGGAAATCAAATTTCGAACACATGCACATGCACACATTCATCTTGTAAACAAAGATTTAAATCAAGACGAAATTAGAAAACAGTAATTTAGATTAGAACGAACTTTGTATCACGAATTATATACAGTCCTCGTAAACTGAACCACCGGAGAATGCAAGCGCCGTACATCAGTACATGCAAAATTCAAAGTGAAGGTATCAGTTGTGCATACAAACCTGAAAATAAAAAGATAAAAAAATTCAATTCTATGTTGCAGCTAAATGTTTTTTCCCGACTGAAACGTAAAAAACAAATGGAAAGTACGCTCTGACGCCATCCAGTTTTGATTTAGATTTTAAACAAAGAAGCCTATAACACAAAAACGGAAACACGGTCTATCATCAGTACCGTTTGACGTCACAAAACTCGTGTGTACCATAAAGATGGCCTTTTAAAATTTGTATATTGAACTATAATTACGTTTCTATATTAAATGACCGTTTGTATAAGCGCCAACTGGCTTTCCAAAAGCTGTAAAAAATTGCAGACGCAATAAGGTTGCAGATCGTAAACATTGTCTATATAAATATACGATTTCTCGAGGGTATTTGACCAGCTTTTACCTGATCAGCCAATCATTTTCGACCAACCTGTAATATATGGCTAAATCTAATTAAAATTTCAAATGCAAGTTAAAAAAGAGTTTCTTGTTGATCTTGTGAGATTAAAGAAAGTTGTAATCTACAACCGTCCATCAGTAATTTGACTGATAGGACATGCAAACTTCAGTTTGCGACTGCAGCTAGCCTTTTAGCTAATTAGCGGCACTGCACCGGGAGTGTTGAAAAAATTGTTTCACAGTTTTATAGTGACTAGTGAGCGAATATTCTATTTCGCATTTCATCGCCTAAAGTAAATCTATTTTTTACGGCAACATTGCGTGTTGTTTTCATTGGAGATATATATTACATATCGTTCACCTGACCAAAAATGGCAACATTTGCCGTCTTCAGTATGTTTCCCACGTTCCAGTATTTTTAGAATTTTTTATGCATGTTTGGAAACCTCTTTTTCTGCTTATTTGACTAGCATATAATCGAAAAAAGTAATTAACATTGCAACTGTAAGACTAATTATAGTTCATTGTGCACTTTGTGCAAAAAAACTTATTCAGTAAGTTATTCAAAAGTGTGGCGTAGGTAGCCGCCACAATATAACTTGCAGATTATATAATTAAGTTGATATTATTTAGAATTATTGAATGACGCCAAAGGTGTTTAGATAAACTGATTTTCCAATTCCACCTCCGCATTTTAGCCCACTTCACTCAAATTTTGAAATTTTTTAAAATTTACTCCATGCGACGGATGTAAATGTCCGGCGTTCTTGTGCTGTACACGAAAATCCGCCTCAATGGCAGACCGTGGGAGTATTGACCATATAGGCATAGGCATTTGGCACTGTTGAGCCAGGTCAGTCTATATTGACAATCCGGTTACTAAGGGACTAGGGTTCTATTACTGCGCCGGGTTCACGAGCTTGTGTTGATTACGCTTATTGTTCAGTATTTATCTTCGAGCTATAAACAACACCATAAGCACAGCATGAAAGGCAAAATCACAGTACTCTGAGCGGCAGGCACGCGTTCCTTGTGGTTTGATGAAATGGCATATATATTTCATTGAAGTAATAAAATCACAGCGTGACGTACTAATAAGATTTTGCTTGCATCCTGGCGTCTCCCCAAATGTGAACTCTCCCAAAAAACCACAATGACCACATTATATGAAATATTCTTGTTTGTTCACTAGCCTTATCAGCATTGCGAAATAAGAAAGTTCCAGATTTTATATTCTAGCTGTGTTAATGATCTTGTTATTGACAGAAAAGCCAGTTAAGTAGTTCGCCTTCTTTGGGCTTTTTGTGTTTACGAGGCAACAAATAAAGAATGAGTACGTTTTGCTCAAGATATAGAACGCTCTTCGTAAAAACGACTACATCTTACAGGTCGAAATATAGGGCCGCAGAGTTCAGAGAATGAATTTGAACCCGTTAATTCAAATCTAAGCTAGTCTAAGTTAGAAAAATAGTCATGAAACCCTTTTGATCGATGGGGTTATAAGGGTTGAAACACCGTCTCACGCAGTTTCTCAGTTCAGCCGTCATAAACATGCACTTTCCTTACAGTCGAGAAAAGATGATATTAATCCAACCGCAAGAACTCTGTATTTTAAATGCTGATTTTATCATTTATGTGTAATTTTTTTTATGAAAACTACGGCATTATTTTCTACTACGTGGCTTAGCTCACCGTAAAGGAGCCATAAAATAGGGGGGGGGGGTATTTAGCATATGTGTGAGTGTGATACATGACATTTTCACCACACTCATAGTCATAGGATACATATAGAGAAGCGTTCAGGAGTTTTTTCTCCACCGTAACAACGAGGAAGGTGTGAAGTGCAATTCTCGTCAACGCAGCTCTCACCGGCCCGGCCAAATATTGACAAACATTTACATAAATTAACTAAAGTATAAAGTTACGGAGCTTTGAGAACAGAGAAAGTAGTGGGCTAGTGGCTGCATTTTCACTTTTCAGTCAAACGTGGATGAGCGTCTATATTAGGTATAAAAGTTATCTCAATAAATACTACGTTATACCTATATTTAGTTATAATATCAAACTGAAAAATATATCGGTTTAATTAATTTGGGTATTTAATTCAAATTAATGAAGATCTAAAAACGAAATCTCTGTCAGCACTGAACTAGACATTCCTTATTTGTCAGGTCATGAGTGAAACATAAGAATGACGAAGAGCTGGAATTACGCGTTTTAAGTTAACGTAGTAAGACTGTAAGACTACCACTAATACTAATGTATCAGCTAGCGCATTTACAACATAAAGAATGCGATGTAAGTTTGGTGAGACCGCTTAGGTATATGAAAATTCGAATTCATTGCATGCATGTATTTACAAAATATCCACTATCCAGCCGTCAACCTCATTCTTCATTTCGAACATATATACTGGTCGGTGCCAGTGGCAAATAAGGTACTGTGTTACCATGATTGCATGGCCATCACATCTCGGCATCTCAGATTGCCATTGATGGACCGCACAGGTGAAATGTAAAGGTCTAATACATTGTATTTTAATTCTTATTCAGGTTTTCTGCACCGTAATTAATCAGGCAATAGTGTTAAGTAGCAATGTCACAATTCTTGTCGCGACAAGTACAAACGACTTGACCCCAATGTCGCACATAACAATGGATGAAAAATGTCGTAATTAAGTCGTGACTAAAGAGTAGTAATTACCGTGTGGAGTGACATGGGCATAGCTAGGGCTTTAAAAGGAAAAGGAGACGCATTTTGATGGGACTAGCGGCTAAATTGGATTAATACAAACTGCTTTGTTGAGAAGTTGATACATCTATATAGCTATATTGGTAAAAGCGGTTTTATGCTATCATTATTCACGTGGTGCAAAAAGCCAAACATTCAATATAAAAGATAAGAATTGATATCATGGAATGATGGAAGAATACCGGTAAAAAGATTATCGCGGCTTATTTGTATCCAATTGAGGTGAATGTTTGGTAATCATTAGCTACGAAAAGGAATGAAAAATATGAGAAATATGGTGACTTTTTTTACGTCATTTAGGATATAACTTGCTCAAAGAAGTTGCATGCATGTCGTATTTATACTATTTACTCCAGATTATGCGGTTATGCCTGGAAAAAGGTATAGTGGAAAACTGGGAGATGCGAAAATGTGCATGTTCAATGGTTACTCCTGCTGTGTATGATATACAATAATGTATACTGAGTCTTTCTTGGAATAGTTAAAAGGGAAAACATGTACGGACTGACACTACGGAGTTCCTTCATTATATAATTATCTTAGGATGTAAATCATGCCTCGATCATACCTAAAACATTCAGCTGTATTGACCTAGCTGGCTAAAAAGCAAAAATTTCTTCTTCAATATTTTAACTGAGTTTAAATGATGCCCTCCACAGCTTTTAATATCAATACGTTTAACATCAGACCCGGTGAAAACAAAAATTGTTTTGGGATTTAAGTTGCCCTTCTTCGCTGGGCCTCTGATGTATAGACAGTACAATGTTTCACTATGGATCAGTAGTTATTTTTTTCATGTCAATGATGGTATGTAAACTATAAGTACGAAAGCAATTGAAAACCTTTTATATTTAAATTGCTAAATTTAAAATAATCATGAGAGTGTTCTATTTTGGGGATTTTATTTGTTAAATAAATTGGCTTGTGGTTCTTACCGCCAATCGACTACGTCATCTAAAATGGTTTCGTAAAAGAAACAAGACGGTAATACCGTTTTAGATTTTTATACTTCCCTTAGTTCCATATGCCAGAGCTTGTTATTATAATCCTTATATGACGTGTTAGACCATCTGCGCATGCCTGTAAGGTTATATCATGGCTATATGTCTGATGCAGTGGTCTGATACAATTAGTCATAGACACAAATATGTAGCGCTACTTTGGAAAACTGGGCCAACAGGAGGAACATAATTATTATTTAATGATTCAAAACAACTCAAATATCAGATCTGAAACCACCTGTCTCTCAAACATATCTTTAAAATAGATTGCAGGTCTATACTTATACCACAAGACCACTACGATTACGTGTACCTCTACTTTAATACACCTATAAATGCATGGCTACAATACATAGTATATGACCTAAAATATATCTCAATAAAATATATCTCTATCACCTAGTGTGAAAATTGCTCTCTCTTCCATCCCAACTACGATCTGAACAACGTATTTTTTTAAATAACAAACGCTTGGGTGGCGTCATTAAATATTCCCGTAGTCATAGAGTCGTTGCGAGTCGCGACTGATGAATAAAGTGTTTATATAAGACCTGGGGAGTGAGCGTTTATTGCGATATCACTGATGAAACTGTGAATTTATGTTTGCGGTATAGTATCGATGAAAAACGCCGTAACGACAGGACAAATATGTGCGTTAAGGGAATAAATACGGGTTTCCATGCACAACCATAGACAATCCAGAAGACATGTCTTCTGGGCCGTGGAGCGTAGGTAAAAGAGCCTGGCTTGCGAGGTTGGTCTTCTGGATGGTCTATGCTGCTCAGTCCTCTAAGCGGACTGGAGCACAGGCAAAGAGTAGAAGATATATATCTACTCTTTGGCACAGGCTAGCACAACCAGCGATCTTTTCGATTTTTTCCAGGTTTGATGGCAATATTATGGTGGAATGTTTTTGAATATTTAAAAAAGAACAAAGATTCCCCCCCCCCCCAAAATAACAAAAATATCTCCAAGTTGAAGAAAATGCAATAAAGCAAAATTGAAGTGAACCTAAAAAAATCCAAAGTTCCGAGAAGCAAAAAATCCTAAAGGCCATTTCACATGGTGCCGCCCTATTACGAATGTAATCCTAATTATTTTAAGAGACATACAGTAAATTAGTGCAGAGTATTCAAAATGTAAGTGTATAAGAAACGTACATGGAGTGTAACAGATATAAACTTTGATAGTGGCCAAATCTCTCAAAAATAGAATTGCATTGCAAGTTGCAAGAAAAATTGCACCGTATAACATGGCCTTGAAAACGTAGACGAGCAGAAAAAATATAACAAAAAATTCAGTCCAAATTACTTTAGCAAACGGGTAATGAAGGTGGTTTTTCATGAGTCATGAATTCGGCCAATCGGCACGAGGCGGAATTTCCAATTCGCTTTTTCAATTGTGAGAAGTCGCCCATTCATTTAATTAACGACCACTTCACTGATACAATTTAGTTATTTAGAAAGCGATCACCCTTTTTTATATGACATATAGACCAATTGCGAAACTTAGTAACCGCGCCTTCGCTCAACATGGAAACGAGGCTTATTGTGCAAAAAACAATATTTGTATTTTTTGCAGTACAAAGCTATTCGCCGAGTTATATGCCGTTTTTCGCCTTTGTTTTACATATTTTTCGATACCTTTCAGCTTGGTTTCATCGTTGTTATCATAGTTTTCAGGTTAGGAAGTCTTGCCTTTCAATTGAGGCGTTTTTGTGGTGTTTTCATTAATCTTTTCGGCTGCTTTCGTCGGGGAAGTATGGAAAAGGCCGACACAAACTCAGGTAAAAATTTAGTTTTTCCAAACTATTTCGTCTCAAGTTTTGAAAATGTATTTCATTTTTCTCCCTCTTATTTGTGCAAAATTTGGCGATATATATTTGGTGCAAAATCTATGTTTTTTATGTCAAAAATTATTGAAAAGTGACAGTCAGATTATATAATTTTCAAACCTGATGACTGAAATGGCTTCATTTATTCAAATTTATTCACAAATATCACTGTATTTTTTTTTCTTTATACCACAGTAATACTGTTAAAATGGTCAAAAGTAACTGACTGAAATGTTTTTGTTTATTTTCGTTTTAATAAAGTACAGACGATGCATAGCTTGCATGCCGGCCTGAAGGTCGAATTTTATAAAAGTCGAATTCGAATGCATCTGAGTTTGCATCTGAATTCTGCATTTGTGTTAGTACAAAACACTATTCTTTCTATCTACTACCATGCAATAGATGTTTAATAAGGGTTGAACCAGGAATACTTGAAAAGGAAACGATTCCGTTCACCATCATAAACGGAAAAACACTTGCGAACTCCGGTTTAAATATTTTTCGCTTTCGGCTTTGCCATCATGTAAAGGTGTATCTTAAAAACGCTGCAGCTCGCATTGTGGCTACCTTTATTGTATGTTATTGCCGGAAAAGGAATATTCAAATTGCAATTCAAAATAGACAATGATATAATGTCTTGGTTATAAGTATTTTACTATCCATGTCATGCATGTGTGCCAAGTTGAAGAGTTGTTTTGCTTTTCAGTCGGCATCACATCACATGTACTGTAGTTTATATACACAAAGAAAATAAACATAAAACTCCGTTGCTTCTTTTATCTTTTATAGTTTTTGTCAACAGATTTCTACTATTTTTTGCTGAGCTGTAAAATTGCTGTCAAATTACATCTTATCGATTGATAAAATTGGTATAAAAAAATTTTAGATGAGAAATGTGAACATGGTGGTTTGTTCGATCGTGACTTTTCAATAATTTTTGACATAAAAAACATAGATTTTGCACCAAATATATATCGCCAAATTTTGCACAAATAAGAGGGAGAAAAATGAAATACATTTTCAAAACTTGAGACGAAATAGTTTGGAAAAACTAAATTTTTACCTGAGTTTGTGTCGGCCTTTTCCATACTTCCCCGACGAAAGCAGCCGAAAAGATTAATGAAAACACCACAAAAACGCCTCAATTGAAAGGCAAAACTTCCTAACCTGAAAACTATGATAACAACGATGAAACCAAGCTGAAAGGTATCGAAAAATATGTAAAACAAAGGCGAAAAACGGCATATAACTCGGCGAATAGCTTTGTACTGCAAAAAATACAAATATTGTTTTTTGCACAATAAGCCTCGTTTCCATGTTGAGCGAAGGCGCGGTTACTAAGTTTCGCAATTGGTCTAATAACATTTTGCTACAAAATTATTGTTAAGTTAATTACAACGTTATATTTTTATTTACGCTATACAGGGTGTTAATACAAAAACCTAAAGTCCTGAACAAATCGGAAATTGTTCTAGCCATTTATGTACAAGCTATTTTATACTTTCTGAAAAAGAGAATGATTTCGAATTTGCTCAGTTTTTAAATCCATTATTATGTCATAGTATTTTGTACAGTTATTTGTCCTCACTCAAAATACTTCGTTTGATAGAGGATGTATTTGTAAAGAATATCTTAGCATTGTTCCACAGTTGACATAGTGTGCTGTGACTCTATTGATAATATGGATTCAGTGATAGTATAATTCAAGATTCATACCATCATGAATTTCATCTGTCAGTTGAATTAAGGAAAAACTTCAATGGAAATCAAATCAATGAAACTAATTTCTGATATTTGAAGGAAAGGTGATAGTGCAGTAATAACAATTATGTCATTGGTGGTAAGACAAAAAGTAGTGGTGTTATTGGCTTGTTTCAGGTGATCACCAAATCAACTCATTTACAGTATCTGTCATTAGTTTTGACTCCATTTCTCATGGTCAGTAATTTGATAGTTGAACCTCTAATTTAGGTTCAGTTTACCAGGGAAACAGTAAATGATCAAGGTTTCAAGAATTGACAGGGTACTGCAGTGTTTTTTAGAAACTCTTTTAAATTCAAAGGATACAATCACCTAGCGTTATATGATCTTTGAAAATTGTGTACCTTATTAAAAATAATGCAGACATAATTAATAAAAAAGTTTTAAAATTTTTAAAGATTTAATAACTTAGGAAAAATCATGGGAGAAATAAGAGCCTGCAAGGAATGTATGTTTAAGAGTACCTAAATATGTTTCTACCCAAATATGTACCTAAATATGTTAAAGCACAAAGGCTTCTGCAGGCAAAACTCCAGAAAGGAAATTTCAAGAAAATTCCATATTTGTGGGCATTCTGGTACAAAAACTGACCAGCACAAGAACACTGGTTCTGGTACTATAAGATAACAGGGTTTACTACATTTTTCAACCTACCATTTCTTCAGAACAATTCTGTCCCATTTTGTTCCAGTCTGAGCTGCAATGAGTTTTTTTAAATCACCGACAGTGTCATCCGAGCTGAGTTGTTAATTAAAGAAAATCTTGGTGCAGTAATGTTTACATTAAGAATATCCTGGTAAATTACAATAAAATATCAGATTGGCATTGATTTTCCCAGATGGATAACATATACAGGACAGTTGTTATCAGACCCAGAGCTACGGAGTCGACAAAAATATTTTTGACGACTATAAAGAATATTGTCGATTACTCACAGTCAGTAATATCATTATTTTTTCTTGCGGTCGAATTCATATTTTAGCGTTTCCTGCAATCTGATTGGCTACAAGAGCGGCCTGTATGAGGCCGTACAGACCGTGTAAGATTTAAAAGCACAGAGCCAAAGCTAAAATATGAATTCGGACGGCAAGAAAAAACAAACTATTATTTACCAGTTTAGTTGGTCTGTAATGGGGAAGTATTTCATTCGGTCTCAAAAACGTCCCTCGGCCTCGGGCTGTTTTTGAGACCTTGGGAAATATTTTCCTATACGGACCTCCAATCTGGTAAATAACATATATCTATGCCATCCTGTTTCTACTCTCTGCATAATTACTATGCAAAATACCCTGAGAATGGCCCTGGTTGTTATGAATCATTAAAACAAATGCTTGCCTTTGTCAAGGCTAAATAATAAAATCCTTTTAATATAGGGGGGTAGAAATGGGGCAAAATTTCTTTTTATCCAATGACAAGAATGTTAACGAGTGATGATGACAAAGGAAAAACGGCGGAAGTGAAGTTGAATTCAGTGACTTCAAAAGGATACTTGCATTTTACTCTGACTTTCTTACCCAACCTGTCGTTACATGTAACCTCCAACATCCTCGTGTCACACAGCAAACTGAAGAAGATATTAAATTTTAGATAGAAGATTGAAGATATTCTTTATTCTGAAGATATAGATTTTTATAGGGTCATACTAAATACCGACAAGAACCGACAAAGTCATATATAAAGCCAAATAAAACCGATGAATTCATACTCATTTTAAAATATCTATTCTTCGAACCCCCTATTTTAATACTAGCTCTAACGATACATTAAATACGAGAGAAATTGATGGGGAATCGATATATAAAAGATAAAAAATTGTACTTACTTTGTGCAAACGTCGTACTTTCGTCTGTTGTCGCAACAAAAATAACACACTGATACAATTCTGCGCATGATCACACTGAATTCTGATTTCTGAGCTATATTGTATAAACTGGATAGTACAACATAAAAATGGCAGGGAAATTACATAGCGGATTTCATCACAAAGTTTTACGCGAATGGCAATCTATAAACACTGATTTAAGTGCATCCAATTTAATTTATCCTATTTTTATAACGTATGTTCTCCATTGCCTAATTAGCTGCTCTAATTAGTAGAAAATTTATTATAATTTATAGCGTGTTTCTACCATTCTACGTATATATAAATATCATTGGTATATAATTCTTTTGCTTGTTAGAGATGAGCAGAACAGTCTTGAACCAATCAAAAGTTTACCTGGTCAATACAGGTATAAGATGGATAATAGTCATTGACAAAAGTTGCATCAATGGGTGTTGTTCACCAGGGGATGCCAACTAGTAATTGGCACCCCCACCTCCATTTTCCTGAAGAACTTTTACATCTTGTCCAACTACTGGTGCAAGTGCTGTTGACATGATGACAATCAGTTTTAACACCTAATAGTTTCAACTCCCACCCCCTCCCCCCAGGAGGGCATGCCCCCTGCTAGCACTTCACAGATTGCTTATTAAGTTCACCTAGTCTGATCAGTCAAAATGATGTTACATGTCTAAATAGGTTAAAAAGTTTCAATTGCTCTAAAATCAATGCTAATTAGTGGAACAAATAAGGCAAAATAGATGACTGCAATGCAATTAAAACCTTGGACCTTTGTTTGCTAGAAGTATTTAAATTGCAGGATTGGTTCAGAAAAATTACAGGAATTCCTCCAACCATTAATCACCAAAGGTCTTCAAAGTGTATTAATATTTGGAGTTCCAACCAAACTTCAAAAGGTCTGTGAAGTTACTAAAGTCTAACAATACAACCTGTTAATTACAGCAGGATTTAAGAATTGCTTACAAATGTTTGCTGCAATTGTAGGATTTTGAAGGCTCTAGTGCTACGGATCCGAAAAGCCCAGTTCTGATAGGAATTCAAAAAATTCGAAGTTGTTTTCCTGACTTGCTTGTTCTTTGTGATGTATGCTTGTGTGCTTACACAGATCACGGCCATTGTGGTAAATATTAAGTTATACCATTTTATTAAAATTTGACAAACAAACATCTGCACCTGTCACCATATCACAATATTATCATATGCCTTTTTTACATGAATGAGTTGAATCCAAGGGTGGTCTCATCTCCCATTCAAAACTTATGGTTGTTTTTGTTGTGTTTTAGGGATTCTCAATAATGATGGAACATTAAATAGTGTTAAAAGTAATCACAGATTAGCTGAAATTGCCATTGCATATGCTAAAGCAGGTAATATAATAATCTTTTTGTACTCCACCCTAATATTTTCTTTTCAGGCTATGTTTTAGCTTCACTTTGTTGACAATATTTTCAGGATGTCATGTTGTGGCACCCTCTGATATGAATGATGGCAGAATTGGAGCTATTAAACAAAAGTTACAAGACAGCTCATTGGACACCAAGGTTAAAGATCTATAATTGGGCCTGAGCATGTTTTTTCTGTGTAAAAGTATGTACTGACTAACTAATTTCTGGCTTTCCAATTTAACAGGTGTCTGTGATGAGTTACAGTGCAAAGTTTTGTTCCAAATTTTATGGGCCTTTCCGGTAATTCTTCATCTTTTTTGTAGTGGGGTTTCAGCAGTTTAATGATTGGCAGGAAAAATCGAGTGTTCCCTTGGCACTCTGAACTCTATAGCCCAAACAAACACTGTAGTTTTTCTAGGTTCTTTGATTTGCACATTTCACTGGATTTCAAGGCCTCACTGGAACTTTTAAAAAGAACAGTTTTAAAATTATTCTCCCCTATGATAATGATTCCTTTAAAGTCAGAATTAAGAGGACTATGTAATATATTTCACTACTCCACAGAGATGCTGCCCAGAGCGCCCCATCATACGGCGATAGAAGCTGTTATCAACTTCCCCCTGGCTCAAAAGGATTAGCAATGCGAGCTGTGGTAAGCTATGATAAACTATTGCAACACTACTTGCAACTCTGGACAAGCATACAGATGAGAACAGCTAGTACAATGAGTAAATGGAGTGAGGTATAGACAGTAGGTGCGTAAAACTATATAAAATTTACTTTAGGAACGAGATGTGTCTGAAGGTGCAGATATGCTGATGGTCAAGCCTGGATTACCATATTTAGATATAGTGAGGCAAACTAAGGAAAAGGTACTCTTTCTTTTTACTATTAAATGGTTATGTGATCTTTTTAGTTAATAATCAATTTTAATTAACTCTTTATTTCTTTGTAAAGTTTCCTCATTTACCATTGGCAATATATCAGGTATGTTTTTGTGAATAGAAAATAATTTTAAACTACATTTTGTACTGAATTTCTGCTTTGTTATTATTGTTGTGAACACACTGAGGTCAATGTGTGCAGTCATAGACAATCCAAAAGACGTTTGGATTGTCTATGGTGCAGTGGAGAGGAGGCCTAATTGATAGGGGCTTAGTAAGTTACAGCTATTTGCAAGCTACTGTTAACCGTTAACTTTTATCACGTTTGTTTACATTTTAAACCTTTTGGGTTAAACAAATGTGATAAAGTCATAAAATAAAAAAAAACTTTAGATGCTGTGCCAATTTGCTCATTTGCACTTCTCAAATGCAACTATAATTCAACTACTACATAATTGGTTGAAATTGAACCCTGCTTGTATGTAGTGAAGGCATATTTTAACTATACCAAATGCCAAATTAACAACAAAACATCATACACCTAAGGTGTCTGGGGAGTATGCCATGCTCTACCATGCTAGCCAAGCTGGAGCTTTCAAATTAAAGGATAGTGTCTTGGAGACACTACAGTGTATGAGACGAGCAGGTCAGTCTGCAATGCCTTTTTCGCATGTGGTTCAATGATGATGAACAATGAACAAGAGTCCTACATTGTAAATCAAAACAAACGTTTTGGTTTGTTTGCATTAATATAGGAGCAGACTTGATCATAACATATTTTGTACCACACCTTTTGGACTGGCTGGCAGAGGACTAAACCACATAAGAAACAAGATGATGATTGTTATAATCAGTGATAACAGTATTAGGATTTGAATTTAATTCATTTAAATAATTTAAATAACAATAAAATATATGAAATATCATTTCTCAGAAAATCGTATGAACAACCACTGTGCATAAACAGAAATATTATAACAGATGAAAAATATGTAGATATTTATGCTATCTACCAGACAAAATTTCCAGGAATTGTGATTGTGAAGTGAGATTGGCTGGTATGTTACCTTCATTATCAGTCAAATTTGTTATTGCCCCTGCAGTGACTAATGTTTTTACAATTGATTTAAATTCACATGTCACAGCTGGAAAAAAAGAAATACAGTAATTGGCAATTGAATACATCTTATTATTTGATAGGAAAATGATATTGAGCTTCCTACCATAGTGTAATGGTGTCTGGCCTTCACAATCCTTGACCCCATGAAAAAAATCAAGAAACATGATACAGTTTACAAAGGAGAGGAATGCACAGTTTGAGATGGGCAAATTTTACTCACCTGGCAGTTTAAATCACACTTTATTTTAATCAGATATTCTACAATATCTTGATAGCCCCTGTCACATGCCCAGTGAAGAAGTGTCATCCCCTAAAATGGACGGTTAATTTAATTGAGGGTAAATGAAAATCAATGTTTAAATTGCAGAGTATTTGTTTGATCATTTCGTCATGTAGAAAGCGCCATAGAAACTGTCAAATGATTAAATTATTGTACTCTCACAATTCAACCCTAACATATATTTAGTTAACCATACTAAAATTATAAAGCAACTTGCTTGTTTCCTGGTTGCTCCAATTTAGCAAAATTTTAATGAATCAATGTTTTTTTGCTTGACCCAAGGCTGGTGGGAGCTTGGCATGACCCCCATCCCTCACAGTAAACAAAGGCATTGCCAGCTACTTACTTGAAAGAGATTCCTCCCACCTGAATTGCTTAGTTGCTAGCCTTGCATGTTGGACCAAAATTTACCTTATCATCTTGGACATTTGCTTCTACTTTTTTCCTTTCAAGAATACTTGTCATTTCCTTAATATTGCCTTCTTTACACCAATCAAAGGCTGTCTTATCCTGATCGCTAAAATTGTTTAAAAATAATGAACTAGAGATGTACCCCTAATGCCTTGGCAATATTGAATATTCCTTGTCACTAAAATACTAAATATCCTCAGATGTAAATGAGAATTCAAATAAATACTCACTTTATCATGCAATCTTTCTCATAGTCTGGATTATACAATGTGCTAACTGAAATTCCCATTCCCCCTTCATGACCAGTGGGTTCTTTCTCCTGCAAAAATAAAATATACATTAGGCATATCTGTTGAGAGTTGTAGCTCTAGTCCTTGAAAGAAATAGAAAATTTTCATAAATACCTCATTAAAAGTTTGTGCAATTCCTATGCATTGCTCCCAGTTCCCATTAATTCTTGTTAATTCATTTATATAGTTCTTCATTGCATCCTCTTCAGACATCTGGGCCAAACCTTTCCAAGCTTCCCTAAAATATCATATATTTTATTGTACTTGAAAGAAATGTCACACATTGTGGAGCTCAGATTAAGTGACAACCTGAATAACAAGACTTTCTCATTATATTTCCTTATTCTTAATATGTTAACACTCAGATGTGAACAAGTGAAAGTGAAAGGATCTATATCTCTGCGCCTTTATCCAAACACACTTTTCACTTGTTCATTCACAAAAAATACACCTAAATGTGATACATTTACATGCTGTTACTCATTGAACTAGGCTACAATTATATTTTTTTTCATGTGCAGTGAAGTGCACAATCAGTAGATTTCCAACCATTTAGCACAGCCTTTCATGTCCCAAATAGGTGGTTTCCGTTTTGTGCATGGGCCTTCTGTTGCCTGTTTGATAGAAAATACTGATTATTTAAGATTTATAGAATTAAAAAACATTCATCTGTCAAAGTTATTGAAAAAACACAACCAAATTAACAAATACAATTCTAATCAACAATTTGATCAGATTATTATCAGTTCACACCACCATGCCTCAAATTACTTTTGTTACGATATAATTATAAACTCTATTGTACATAGTATTTACAAAAATATAAATTTTGTTCTAAAAAACTGTTATTTTTTTAAAAAAAACTACGTATTTTCAAACATGTTTTCATTTATAGTCAAATAATGAAAACAAAATTTTCCAAATCCAAAACGGCAACCGCACCGTAAAAATAAATTACGGTTTCATTACTTTCGACTCGTATCTTAATACGAACCTGTTTAAAAAGTCCATAAAACGTTAATTTCTCTTCGTTCTTCAAATCTCTAAGATCTCGTACGAATTCTGTGGCTAGTTGAAATAAGTTTTCCAGTTCGTCCAAAGTACTCTCAAACGAGCTATCTTCCGCCATATTTTTTGAATGTTGAATGTTTGCGTTCAATGCGCTGCGGTTTCTCCACGCGTGCATCACACGCAGACGTCACAGTCAGAACCAGATAAATATCAACTATTTTAGTCAGAAGATAAAAAAGATAAACATAATGAAACATTATGAAACATAGGGTGTGAAATTTGTGAAAATAAATCCACGGTAAGAACACTGGCTATGGGTCATTAATGGCATGGGAATGAACCATTGAAACCCTTGCCGGTGAGCAGGCTTACCCTAAGCCCAAGTCTGCTCTTAAATCTATAAATCTAGGCGGCAACACCATCGTCGCTCTAAAGAAAACTTGCTGGCTAAATGTTGTAAAATGTGGGAAATATAGGTCTATATTAGCCTGGTAGTAGACATCACGAATTTTGTTTGCATTTATTTTATACGTGATAAAAATAATCTTTTTTTTAACCAAGAGATGTTGTTTTCTTCGTTCGCAATACAAAATTTCTAAACTTCACTATCAGACAACTGAATATATATTTATACCACATTCCACAACATTTCGCAAACAAACTTTTCAGTTTTAAAATATGGTTATATTGATCAAAATTTCGTACACCATCATGTTCTAACGATTTATAAATTTTTATATTTCATAATTTTTGTGCGAGTCTCGATTGTCGAGTAAATTTTTTGTGCAATAAGTTATCTAACTAAACATATTTCTTCTGTCAGTTTCAATGTACTTAAACTGATTCAAACACTCCAAAGTTCGCGAACTATTCCAAAAGACTTTCCAATAATTCTTCCAAGCTAATACTATCTCTTGCTTCAATGAATTCCCATATACTAGAGGTGAGAGGAATGTGTATTAAATGCATAATTTTGGCAAAAGAAAATGAGAGGTTCACTAACAACAAAGTGGTCGGTTTCCGATTGATGGTCTGCGAGCTGGCTAAGAAGAGCAGGCTATTATTGGGGGAATGGACGAAATGAGCTTAGTATGAAAACGAGACTCGTAGGTCGATCATGACCTAGTGAACCTCACCACTGTATTTCCACATTTATTTGTAAACTCATTATTATATTCATTACCTTAATGAATTTATAATTCTACTTTCTCCGTCGCTATTATCATATCTTCGCACTTTCACTTTTGCTATCGTCCCATCAGCGTTCACTTGAAAAAAACAAAAAAAAGAAAATACAAATTCACGCAGAACAAACAGTACCAGAGAATAATCAATAGGCGTTTCCGAAACTTTTTCTTCCAAAATACAGCTGCGTACGTTATTAATACGTTAAGAATATGTTATTTTTCTTCATGCTAGTGAGTGCAATCGTCAGATTAAAGCAATAATGGCTAGAGCCGCAGCTGCACTTCTAATTACTTGATATTTATTGCAGTTAACGACATAAATAAACTTACCGTGTTTGTAAAAACAGCTCGTGCCAAACGGGCATGTTCCTTTACCCTTATCAAAGTATTTACAAGGTTTTGAACTACATATCAAATAAGAAAACAAGAGATGAAATGATGTGAGCACACATAAAGAAACTGTGGAGCCCAGGCTGTATGAGCTAAATTTTCAAAGACAAATTTAGTTTGAATGAGCGCTTATTTCGTGTATATATAAAAGCAACTTTTCAACGAAAATTTGCTTTGTGAAGGGGGCCAAATGCATGGCAAATATATTATGTGAAAGCATAATATGATTTACAGTATAATTTTGAATAAGAAAATATTATACCTCAACGCATCTTTGTATGTCGTTATAAGTTTTTCCTTTTCACTTGGATCATCAACCCAAACTTCACTCTTCAAAAGTATTAAACAAAGGTGATTTGGTTCAGAAGAAAATTTTTGTATTCACAATTAGGCCAACAACAACTCACTGGTATAACAAAGCCTGAAGATATTCTACACAAAGGACACGCTCTAAAGTGAGAAATAGTTATATTTTAGAAAAGAAATAAATGGGATAGGCGCCTTCTGAAATGAAAACTTATTACACATTAATAAAAAATATGTATTAAATATACTCACCTAACAAATTTATCTTTAGTCTTTGACGAGTTTCGCCATTTTCGAATGCAGGTTAAACAGAACGGGTGATTACATTCAGCTAAAGATTTGGAGGAACGAAGCAAAATATTAGAGAGGGAAATTACAGTTTGCTCAAATGAGGATCAAAGAGTTTCTAATGAGACATTTGAATCTTGAATCTTGATCAACTCTGCATGTAAGATCTCATTCCAGCAATCTTTGGTAACCAGATTAATCAGGGAAAGAGAATAAAGAAGTGCAGATCAACTGTAATTAAATGCTGGTCTACTGTAATCTTGTTGTAATTCTCATTACTGTTTCACGTTTTGGTCGTGAAACGACATTCACACAACTTCCAGTCAAGTAATAAATAATCTCGTTGAAATTGATAAAGATCCTATTTCCACTCGCAACATTCGTGGAATATACTGTATACCTTCTCCACGCAATATTTAAAGTCTGGAAGACTTACGTAATATTCCAAATCTTTTATCCTTTGAATCTGGATTCAAACGAATTTTATCCAAGCAAATCCCACAACACACTTCTTCACTTCTAAGATTCAGGGGATATGCGTTTATTAATTTAAATCGTACTCAGCCTTCGTAAATCATTTGCTAGACTTACTTCTGAACAGCAAAAGAATATTTCATGTTTTCTTCAAGCCATTTCATACATTCCTCTCTGTGTTCTGAGTACATAAGACAACAGTAGTTTCACGAGTTGAGACGGACAACACTTTACTGTTGGTTACACAACTTAATTGCTACACAATATAAGGGGATTTTCCGAGAAGAAGTTATGCAGTTGGCCACTGCAGTATTGCTATAGCGTATAAATGTGAACTAGATGTTCTTCTTAATCCAAGCTTTGCTTGTTCCGCCTACCCAAAAACCTTCCTTAAGGATGTAGTAGAGGCCCCAGTTGTATGTATAAATGACTAGTATAACTTTTCACTGTAGACTGTAGTTAAGGGCAGAATGGGCCACTCGGAGTTGTGTATTTCTGAGTTAACTAGGATATAACTATGCAAAATGTAGTTAGGAGTTTTATACAACCGGTCCCAGAGCTTTGACAAACTAAACTACACTAAACATAAGCTTTACTCTACCTCTTTGCTGCTCAGGATCGTTAGGATCAAGGCAAAAATTGTCACATACATCACAACGAAGACCATGAAGGAACGAACAACTTAAATAACAGAAAAACTTTATTTGAGATTTTCTGTGATGTAGTTAGATTCCAGCCTTTAAATAAATAGAGTGGAGTGCTCCACGGAGAACTATGGTTAAAAGCCTGGTCGTACCTATCTCCCTCTTTGCAAGAACCCATTGCAGCAAATGGACACAACTAAAACAGAAAGCGTAAATTTTTGGTAATTCGGCATAATCAGGACTGTTAGCATAGGCAGCCCGGTCAATGCGGGCACCGTATCCTATATTAGGATAATTATATACATAAGATAGTATGCGCGTACCCTCATTGACCGGGCTGTCCATGACTGTTAGTGGATGAGTGACTATTACTCCAAGGAAATTAAGTTAATATTATTAAGTTGAGTCACAGTTGAAGTTAACGAGTCATATTTTTTAGTCCCGGAAAACTGGAGTTTCTAATGACTTACGATTGAGCTCGCTTCTTCATCAGTTATTTCATCCACACAGGTAAACTCTACTCCAGTTTTTGCAGCTTCTGAATACGATACATCGTCTTGAACTGCATTCTGAATTATATTGCAATCGTGGTTGCCGGTCAAATTTCCATTTAAACGTTTAATTACTTTACATTACCCAATTTTTATTAACATGCATTAGCACAGGCGGGATCCAGGGTAAAGTATTTTTCGCGGTAAAATAACTATCAAACGTCCAAATTTCTCTTAAATCTGAAAGGAATTTACCATAGTCAGGTTTGAAGGTTTCAGTTTCAGAAAAACAACAAGCGTTGATCAAGAGCTGCGGAAAACGCAAAAAACTCGCAGAATGGGGTGCATGGCCTATCCGCTCATTTGATTAGCTGATAAGCAATTTGTACTTATCCAATATTATGATCAACCTCGTAACCAGGGTCTTTTTTTCCTGTGCTCAGGTTCTGGGGTCACAGTCTGAGCACAGAGAAAAGACCCTGGGTACGATGTTTGGTTGTATTGTGATTATCTTTCTATAGCATGTATCGTATGCTAAGTATCTTACACAGTATAATTGAAATATCAAGTACTCTTTAGTTTACTTGAGAATCTCATGTGTTTTGTGTTAGGTCAACCATTGCTATCGCATAGCGGTGATTGTGTTGTGATAATTGTGAGGTCATGAAGCTGTCTGTTTTACACTCAAAATTCATCTGGCGATTTAAAAATGCTGTCGAAAATTTTGAATCTGGACGTATATTAGAGAAATCCTAGATCCGCCCCTGGATTGAGATTTGTTGCTGATTCGTATTTTGCAACCGTAAAAACTCACCTGTGCCACACAGGTATTATTTCTAGACTGATATTTTTGACCCTAAATAAACAAACATATATCCCTCAAAAGTCAAAATTATGTTATATAACAACATATTTTCAGTCATGCATAAAACTAGAGCATTGACGCCCTGATACCTTGATTTTGTCAACCTAAATGTCATTCACGATGCAACGAAGCAAATGACACTACACTACACAGGATATGATCCCACATTTATTTTTCAACTTACTGGAATAAACACAGGAGCATCAACCCAGTTCTTTATCTTTTCATTTTCTTCTGCTTTGGCCTGTGTTTTGTTCAGTGGCACTAACTGCAAATTTATCAATGAGTACTTAAAGTACAGGGGCCGGTTGTATAAAAACGTAGTTAACTTTTAACTATAGTTAGTGACAGAACTGAGTTACGTATTTCTGAGTTAACTACGATTTAACTACGCAAAATATAGTTAAGAGTTTTATACAACCGGGCCCTGAATAATTAAACATTCACGATGCGATTTATTTATAGTTATACCTTAGAAGGACAGTCCTCGTTTAAATATTTAAACAATTTTTCGTTTGACAATACTGTCGTGGATTTCTCAGAATTCTGTCTATAAATAGAATGGAAGAGAGATGTTAGAATTGCGAAGGACTTCTTGGAACCCTGCAGCTGATGCTATATATACCTCGCAGTTCTGTGAGCTTTACTGTGATCAAATTTACAACTTGATCCATAAGTACAACTTCCTTGCATGTAGAATTTGCACATCTAAATGAATGTTCAATGGAGATTAAAAATAAATGGGTTTATAGAAAACAGACAGAGAATACGCTGCATCAGTGACGAATAATTATTATAATAATAAATATTAGTAATAATGTTATATAGCGATCGGTTAATTATTCTAGAGAATAGAGATGGTATATATAGTGAATGTCAATTAATGTGAAATAAAGGACCAGATGAATTCCTCTGGTCCTAATTCAAGCGTTAGGTTCAACGTGCGGCCTTGTGAAAACTTACAGTGTCTGGCTTGTTCCTACGATCGTGAGAATAACAACAGTTTTCGCCGTTTCGACAAACACCATTTTGATAGTATCTGCAAGTACAACGGAAGAATATGAACGACAGATGTGAACTGGTGGATGAAGATTTCCCATAGTTGTTATGACTGGTAAACAGCAAATGTTTTAGTCTTTGCATCAGACTAATGCAAGGGTTAAACGAGAATGCGTGTTCACATGCATGCACTAGTCTTGTGACCATCATCAACTCATCGTGCATGTAAACGCGAGTACTTGAGTGCTTGAGCTTCATTGCATCGTGAATGCCAACAAAAGCTCTTATACGAGGCCTTGCAATGAGACTAACGCCTGTATTCTAAAAGCTCACTCACACTCAAACTCATTGAGTGGGAGATCTTAATCTTCTCATAACGTTTCAATGGCGGTATTTTCAGCCGAACAGGGGCTTGATTTTCAGTGATTTATCTTATATCTTTTCATCTATTCAGAGAGAACTTTCTCATTGATCAGCATTAACGAAATTTATATGTCACACTCGATGAGTATGAGTGTGAGTGAGCTTTTTGAATACAGGCGTAAATCCAGCAAACAACCTATTGAAAATAATAATTATTTTATTAATATCAATTTATCTATTTTAGTACAAAGCACGTTTTTTCAGCATCATGGAAAAATGCATATCTATTTTTACAATGCATTAGTTACATTGTCCACAGTCAAACACAACGAAAGTATAAGAATGTAGAATAAATAATACTGTTTTAATATTGTCGAAAATCGATCAAATTTCTGTATTATCCAACGGACATTTAGTCGAGTTGTGTCTTAGCCATGTATCAATACAATTCGCGTGAAATACGTGTTTACAAGGCAATATTTTCCGTGTCTCTCCAATCTGATAATCCTCCATACAAACACCACAACTATCTGCTACATGCTGCTCCAAAACCTCCTCGTGCTTCAAACTAGCGATACGCTCTTCCGAGACCGTTTTCGTTGGGACAGATGCGTCAAGACGCAACAACAAATCATAATCTTCCGGTGTGATTTCTCGGTCTTGTAGGCCTAGGAGAAAGTCCACTACATCTTCTGGTAAATCATCAGGGGCATTTTCACCGCAAAGGGCAAAACCTTCTTCGTAGGGGAAGAGGGAAGAATCGTTTACCTCGTTGTCGTCGTTGTTGTTGTTAAACAAATACAAATCCTCATTTTCCGCATCAAAAATTTCTTCTGCTTGTAATACTTTAAGAATCCCAAACTTTTCCTTTCTCTCCGCATTTCGCTTTAAAACTTGTTCTTTTTTTCTTTTGTTATAAAATTTATTTCGAGACGCTTTCTTCTGGCCTAAATTTCCCGCATACCGCCGGCTTACGCAATCAAACTCTTTTAATTTTTGCTTTTTTGGATTTCGATCATATTGTCCGCGTTTTTTTCGGCAAAATGTCGATGTTTTACGTCCACAAAATCCTAAATCGTGATCATAGATTACGTCATATCTGTCCGAGCATTCGGGATTGCTGTATAAATCGCTGATGCAATAGGACATTGAGTTTTCAACTGTGGAAGAGGGGTGGGTTTCTTGGCTTGTACTTATGATATTGTTAAAATGTTTCACTAATTCTTGCCGTTCCCGTCCTAACTTTGCTTCATCGGTATTAATTTTGTTCAGCTCTGTAACTGGCGAAGTTTCCTCGCTTTTATCAGCGGCACTTTTGTCTTTCCCCTCGTCCCGTTTGAATTCTATTTTGGCGAAATTTTGCTTGTTCTTTGTCGCAGGTTCTATGTTTCTCTTGTCGAGTTTCGTCGGTATGAACGATCCATTTGTTACGAGGCATGTTTTGATGCGATGTTTTGATTGTTTTCCCGCCATTATCGCGTCTTACAAGTTACATCATCACATATGATATTAGCTCATTGAGCTGCTTAGTTTTTGTCTTGTCTCATCAGCCACGAGAAATTGATCTACTGTCATAAACGCGCGATATGACATCAACTCCTTAGGCTTGGCTAAACCTTATCATAAAAAACGCTCTTTCCACGTTCGCAACCCACGTTTTGTAACAGGGATGTATAATGCATAAACTATAAATTTATGCCGTTCTATATGAAACTCAGTCGCCTTGGATTACTCACAGTGGTGCAATCCTGTCGACAATGGCCAACATCCGTTAAATATTACATGACGTATAAGAATATATTATACCCCGTCGCAATTTTATTGTCGCAAAGTTTAAGTAATTAAGTTAAATTTTAAAGTCGCAAACTTAAATTATTAAAATTGACTTTTTCTTCTGAACCCCAAGTGTCAGAAAAGGTGAAAAACGAAGTTCAAATGCGTTCTAATTTTGCATGTTCCCTATTATTTCTAGAACATAAACTCTTCTCTCTAGCTCATGTTTATTTAGAAGTGGTGTGTTTATTTATGTCAAAATGGTGTTATTTTTTTATTATATATATAATAGAATAGAGTATTTGTTTACATTATGGACTGTATATCACCTTCAATTAAATACTGCAGCTTAATTTAGTAATACAATTGAAGTTAATTGTTTTCACATTATAGTTTGCTGACAATATATGTGATATTTCAGTGGGTAGTGGATTCATTTTGCTTAAAAATTTAATTTCTTTAAATCTGGGGTGTCACCCTCACACCCGCATGGCAGTTGTCTGCCACATGTCAGAAATAAAATACACCTGATGCTAGACAAGAATGCTTTGCTAGTATTATCTTACAATACATACTTGCAGGGAGGGGGTCAGGGATGTACGCACCAAGGGAGGCTGGAAGCTTCCCAAACTTACTGGACATAGCAAGGTGAGTTTGGTAAACTTTCAGCCTCCTGAGGTGCGTAAATCTCGGACTCACTGAACCTAAAAGCATGTTCAATTTTTATCTCATTCCTTTTCGGGAAAAAGTGTTCAGAATGTTACGGAGGTGGGTTCCAGTTTCAGTTTGAATACACCTGCTCTTAGCCAATATAAACACAGCTTTTACACTAGGTATGCGATAATAAATAAAGCATAAAACGTGTAAGATGGGCTTTCAAAAGCCACAGACATTCTTGAGTGAACACAATGTATGAGCAATCACCTATCACAAAGATTTAGCTCAATCATGAGGTGATTGCACCACAGTGATGTTTAGAGTGTTTCTATTAGAACGACCAAGTTGGTCTATTAGACTATTACAAAAACCATTTCAGGACCCAATGAATTAAATGATTTAAATCATTTCATCAAATGAGAAGCTGTCGCTTGTAAGAAGTAAGTGCCTTCGAAACCAATTTCTTAACCCTGTATATTTTTTTGCGCAAGGACGTTTATACTCGTTCTGTCATATACAAAAACTATTTTACGACTTGTAGTCTTGCACATTTGCTGAGTTGCACTGGCCAGTGGCCACATGCACGCAAGTCTCGTCGAAATTAATCATTTCACTTACCTGCAAAGCATGTCCATTTTGCTATAAAGGAATTTAGATAATATACCGTAAAAAAATTACGTTACTAAACCACATTTAGTTATCAAGACTTTAACTTTTTACCTAAAATTGAAGTATCTTTAAATCTCAACGTACCTCACGCCTGTCGCCATATTGAATTAAAGTGTTTGAAATCTTAATGCTGAGTCAGCAACGAATTTTTGACACGTGTGTGTGTCACAGATACGGTTGAGAGCGAGGGCAGTGAGCGAGGGTGAGTGATTTGGTGACACTTTTAAGGCCAAATTCACATGATCCAACCTCGTCGAATCCAATTCACTTCTGTTAGTCTGTTGACTCACAATGTATATGTGCAGCAAATAAACTAAAGGCAATTCAGTACTGCTTTGTCAATAACTGACTATTATGCCATACGCCAGAAGTGAATTTGATCCAACAAAATCTGATCGTGTGAACAGACCTTTTACCTTTAGTGTCCGACTCTCTGTCTCTTCACCCAGTGTACATTATCAGTATATATGCATATTTCAATTTAGTCGTATTCAGCATGAAATTTGCTGTGGGGCAGGAAACTAATTTATACTTTAAACGAGTTAGTTGGAGAAATTTCTCCAATCTGATTGGGCCTCAGATTTTCAGAACCCAAAACCGACTGATCAATGATCAAATTACTTTTATATGATCCTATATTATCAAACGATCCAATATCAATGATTTAAATTGAAATGGTATCCTTTGACTTCTACTGATTTCTCTGTTTGTAAAAGCCAAAAGGGGCAGCTGCCTCTGCTATCCCCTGCTATCCCCTGCTATCCCCTCATTAGACATCTCCACTGCGCAAATTAGACTTTAGTATGACAATTCAACACGAATATCTTCAGTTACGCCTATTTATGGAACATGCGTGATCCAATTTCAGTCCATTTCTATTAGCTAAACCACATTCCGGATCGTGCGAATTATTGTATACTGAAGAATCACACTGACCGTATATAGAGTCACACTGACACATATTTTGAGTAGATATATCATAGAATATTATCCGGCATTAAAGTCAATCAGACGGAAAACGCCTCGCAACGAATAGAAGCCAATATCGAGGATGATTTTTCCCATGATAAGTGGGATATATAAAAATAGCAAGTCGCTAAGATTGGATTAATTTTCTCTTAGTTCCTTCACAGTAGTCAGTTGGTTAGATTAAAAAGAAACGTTCCGGACGAAGATGAAGATACTTTTTAGTTTTTACATCAGTGGTCTATCGATACTGGTTGGTTAAAATTTATCTGATTTATGAAATTAGCATATTCAAAAAGCAAGTTTTCAATGACACTTTGGTAAACATACACGATTTGCCACAGCAAAATATTACGACCTACAGAAGTGACAAACCTAAACCAACTTTTAATTGTTTTTTAGTTTTCGATCCTTTTTTGTTTACATTTTTTTACAGTCTTCCACACGTTGTTGGTTACGTAACTTACGTCACACGTATTATGAGTAACCCTACCACGCATGCGTGTCAATACGCTACGGCATCACAACTTCACAAGGCATAGCTAAATCATCCGTAAATCTCAGTCATGCAACATTAATACGACATCAAAGATTCAAGGCGACACAGATTCGCTGGTTGCTGCATATTCGAAATCCTAAAGTAAACAAGACATCTCTTAGCAGAGTTAAACGATTTAAAGGTATGTCAATTCTCTGTATTATGAACTAAAGTAGTAAAAGTTTTATATTTAAGATTTAAGACATCTTTGATCGTTCCTATATACTATATGTTCAGATTGGAAGATCAATAACGGTAATTGGAGACAAAAATGCAGTCTACGTTAAAACCTAAAATTGATAGTTGCCTTGCCAATAGGCATGCAAGTTAGAAATTTTCTTTTATTCTAAAGGAAGTAAAGTGTACATTGTTACTTGGTTTGCGTTACTTTTGTAACATTTGTAGGAATATGACTGCTGTTGGTATATCGTTGTTGTACTCAAAGCAGTGCCGTATGTCATCGTAGTGAGCGCTTGCTAAAGCCTATTTTGTAAATGAAATTCAAATTTATACGACATTAATTTTAGGCAGTCGAAATAGAAAAAACGTCGTCGCTAAATTCTTTACGACGTTTTTTAAACAACAAATATGCGCAAAATATTATATTCAAATTTAAGCCGAACGATACGGTATGGTGAGCACATCACATCACTGTCATCAGACATAATTTTCCTCTAAACCAAGATTGCTGTTTGAACGCAAATTTTGTGTCGGTTTAAGGCTACAAAGCCTTTTTTATATTCAATTGTTGGGCACTTTTATTCGATGCCAATGGTAATTTGATGGAAGGTAGGAAGTGAAAAATACCAAGGAATTCTTCAAACGGTTAAAAGGTAAACTCGACTAAACAAAATTGAATTCATTAATTTAAATTGTTGCAAACTTCTGTTTCAATCTGCGTTAATAATTGCACCATATTTTGGTAAAGCATGCAGTTTTGCTTGAAGTACAAGTGGATAGCGATTGGATTGCAGAACAATTACTATAGGATGCTAGAATAGCTGTAAGATTTTTTGACGGTTGGTGTATTTTATTGAGTGTAGTCAAGTGTACGAAAGCTGTGTTTAAACACGTATACAAAGAAACAGTGCAAATGGTTTATAATATAACAATTACTGTTAATCTAGCCTGTTCCAAAAGTCGTACCGTTTAGTACTGTCCTACGAATTCCCACGATTTGAAACCAAAAACATTAGCGTAACTTCAGAGAACCGCTTTCATTGACAAATCGAGAACATTAAAAACAACCAAGATTCAAAACCGTGGCACTTACATATTCATCATATGATCATAACTATAGTCTATATAGGTCCTGACGGTTTACCAAAGAACCATCTAGTGTGACATGATGCATATTGCATTTATAAATTGGTTAGGCGGATAGAAAAGGAGTGCCGCGGTTAGTTAAATTGGGAAAATCTTAGTCGTATTACTTTTTGTACCATATCATAATTGTGCTTCTAGTTCTACTCCGCTTTCTTTTTGAATCAGCGGCATTTTTCGCGAATTTTATGGCTTTAAAATTTTAGCACTCTAATCCCTTTATCTTCAACTAGATAAAAGTTTGATATTTGCTATTTTCCGCCGGCTCTGCCTGTTGGGCGACGTGGCAAACATAGGGCCTTTCTTCAATGCGGTAACAATGTTCACTGGTCTTGAAAATTCATCAAAGCGTGTCCACGCTTTATAATTTATCAGTCCTGAGCATTTGATCTTTATATTTGCCCTGTAATAAACAGCATGGTACACTTTATTGAAGTATTAGGTGATATTTTGATACTTTGGGAGACAGAATTCTTTATTTACAGTCATTGGAAAACGGTTGAAAAACATCACAAAGCATAATTTGAAAACTCACATATATAAATTAAGTATTAGTTGCTGTTTGGAAAAAAGAACCACGTCCACAACACCACAAATACTGGCTTATTTCTATCTTTCATGATTAATTTCCCATCTTACATGCAGTCAAACAGTCAGCACTACATAAATCCTAAAATGGTTAGAAAAGTTTAATGATTTATGGTTATGTTTAATGAATTATGTGTTCGTGATTATTTCGTCCCACATTTTTCAGGCCAATTCACCCTTTTCATTATCTCGTATGAATTAAGAATCTGACACAAAATAAAGGCGGATTCATGCAAACTTCACATTTTGCATGTGTCGGATAACTGAGAGACAAGAGATGAGATATTTTTAATCGATTCTTGTTCTCGTTATGAAAGCATTTACATTCAAATCGCCACCTTTCAATATAGGCCTCAGGTGCATGCCTAGTGGGAGATTATTTGGGGGAAAAGAAGCTAAGAAACCCGCAGCTTCATTAGACATGGTGGAATCACCGGAATGCTACATCTTTGTTCCGAAACCAACAGAGAGAAACTAATGAAAAAAAAATACAAGAGTTGATTCTTATCGTATTGTATTTTAAGTTGATTGTCTTCTCTATACCGTCATAATGTCGCCTTCACTGCAAAGGCCGTGTCATATACAAAGTGAGCAAGCAATACTTGACAGCCTTTAAAATAAGTTTTTTTGCTCGCAGGCCAGTTTTCTTTTTATCTTTTTTTTCAAATTTTTATCTTTCATCATTTTACCTCTTACCAAATGTTACAAAGGCTGCGTTTTCAACGAATGAAAATGAAAATCATTTCAGTCCTCGGGGCTTGGTAGCACTGAATTTCGTTGAAGTGTTCTTCGTAATAATTCACACGATGGCTGGCACTATACAGACTATACAGACAGTTCATATCTGTCTATTCATAAATTCATCTTATGCACGAATGATGTTTTTCAAAGCGATTTGTTTTACGGTATGTGAACATGTACACAGGAATGTACACCCCCCACAATGATCTTTTAACGAAGGCTCTGCCCCTGCCCACGGATAAACCAAGCTAAATATCATAATTCGACGTACTTTGTTTTTTTTTGGTCGTAATTCAGTTCTTATAGGTCGAATCAGTATGAAATTTACCATTATTTATGACGATTTCGTCGTGAAATGAGACACTCATATTTTTTATCATTCTGATGACGAAAACGACAGCCTTTACGCGGGAGCACTCAGTATCTGAAGTGGAGTGATTTCGTCATGTTGACTTAACTCAATACACGTTTTTTACAATGACGTCAAACGCGAAAAGTCTGATGATACACGCGTAAAAATCATCATGTTGATGCAAGTTGTTAAAAACAGGAGTGAACAATGTTGTTCTGCACCCTGTGAACAGTATTGTTAACAATGTTATTGAAGCTTGTTGAATCATCAATGTTATTGCAACTTGTTACAACAACATTGCATCGTAATTGCTTCAACATTGATGATTCAACAGGGTTCAACAACATTGTTAACAATACTGTTCCCAGGGCAGGGTGCAGCACAGCATTGTTCATTCCCGATGCGACAATTAACCTGATCGATTTTTGGCCGTGTACACAAATTTAATTGGCTCCGCAAAACTATCGAGCTAATTAGATTTCGTGTGACATTTAAGAAATAGAAAACATTTTCCGTGTTTCTATACAGTTATAGAAACCCGCGTGGGAGTTTGGGAGAACGAGAAATAATCAGTGGGAAAACGAGCCCGTAGGGCGAGTTTTTCCGCGTTATTTCGAGTTCTCCCAAACTCCCACAAGTGTTTCTATAACTGTATAGAAACACAGGAAAAACGTTTTCTATTTCTTTTATAATATAACTCAATAAAAAGATTTTTTACAAATATTATAATTCGATTCAATTACAAATTCTCTTTACATTACTTCGCTTGACAAGTTCGGCGGGAAAATTCCCGTGTTTCTATACAGTTATAGAAACACGCTTCTCGACCAATCAGCACGCGCGTACTATAAATGTTATATTATAACAGACTTTGTTTTACGGTATGTGAGTATGTACACAGGAATGTACACCCCCCGCAAGTATCTTTTAACGAAGAATATCATAATTCGACGTATTTTGTCCTATTTCTTTGGTCGTAATTCAGTTCTTATAGGTCGAATCAGTATGAAATTTACCATTATTTATGACGATTTCGTCGTAAAATGAGACACTCAGATTTTTTATCATTCTGATGACGAAAACGACAGCCTTTACGCGGGAGCACTCAGTATCTGAAGTGGAGTGATTTCGTCATGTTGACTTAACCCAATACACGTTTTTTACAATGACGTCAAACGCGAAAAGTCTGATGACCGTGAAATCGTAATTGGTGATACTGATACGCGCCTTTCTCGGTTTTGATTTGAAAAGACAGATTTGGACGTAAATTATTTCTAATACTGTAGAGGTTTCATTTACGTTATGAATATCATTTGCCTTGACTCTACCAACTTAGATCATAAGATTGAATTTATTGTGCTTTATTTAGATGGAAGTGTTGAGAAAACGTCGGTCCTCGACAGAAGTTCAAGAATTAATGAATGCCGTTAGAAGTGATTACGAATTCTTCTCTGCGTTTGAAAAGCCATTACAAAACGTCCCTTCAGCAAAACGGCAATGCAGCCCGAGTGACGACCTAATCAAATACGCCGTTGTAAAACCAAAACCCAGATTTGCACAAGAATATAATTTGCCTGAACCCATAACTAGAAAATATTCCGAAAATATTTCCACGACTGATGGCTACAAAACGTTAGCGGCCCATGCCAACATTCCTCACCAAAACCGAAGCAAGAGTCTATCCTGTGAACAATCACATGAATCACGAATATCACTTAAAAACCCGCATTTTAGACGTTTAGAAAGGTCACGTGAACAAAGAGAATCATTATTTGACGACAATTTTGATGTACATGACCAAAATAGAATTTCAGCAAGTAAAGAAGAACAGATTTTTCAAAAAATATCACCAGATTTCTGGGCCAGCCAAAACGAAAAGAAATCCTTACTTTATAAAAGCCCATTTACTTCGAAGACATCCATTTCAGGGCGTCAGCCACTTCCAAACGGCGATCTTTGGCCAGAGGTGGGTGACCCCGGGGAACTAATTTGCCTTTCATCAGAACCGATATTCCGAAACGCTGATGACCTGGTTGCTAGGAAACGAAGAATGACACGTCACATCTCTACGGGGTTGGAAACTTTGGTTAAAACCCGAGACAAAATCCCGCCACTATTGGTACGAGTTGATACAAACACCTCACGATCAGAGGAGAGTCCAACTTCACGATGCAGTGGAAAACGTTTCCGCGATTTTTGCCTGAACGAACCTATGGATTACGAGCAGTGCAGTAAAATCCAACGAACAGATTGGGAGAAAGAGAAGAGAACAGTGGAAATGGCTAAAAAGGCTCATTCAACTGTGGAATTGACTAAGAGTGACTCAGAAGATGATCTTGTGATCGTTGACTCACCAACAAACTCAAGTTCCAGCCAATTATCTTACAAACACAGTCCAACGAAACAGAAGGCTCAAGATGTGACTGATGTACAAGCCAATGAGAAACCAGATAAGAGCAAAGAAATTGTGCCAATGAAACAAAAGAGCGAAGGCGAGAAGGGCCAAATGAGTTTGGGTCCGGCTGATGAACTTTGGCCAGATTACGTCATAACTCGAGTTGGTAGCTTATTATGGTTAGATAAAGAGATCGTTTATCCCATAACCTTGGACGAAATGCGTCGTCGAATTCAAGACCCGGAGAATTTCTCTTTTCAAATGCTTATCGCATACGTCCGTCACTCGAGAGCAAAAGGAAGGCAATTTCTTGATTACTGGAAATGCCAGCCAAGCGGAAGGACATCTCGGCCAAACGTTCTTTCCAAGCTTTGTGAAGCGGATGCCAAAGAGTTGGTTAAGGGAATACAAAAAGTGAACGAGGAATATTTTCCACGAGATACTTTGGCAAAGAATATTTCATGTGACATTATCCAAGAGAAAGGGAGCAGTTTAACGGAGAAAAAGAATGAAGGGGAAAAGAGGCCTAAAGATTTCACTCTTCGCGAAAAAGTGAAAGCTATTGAAAATTCAAGGTTGGTTATTCATATACCATTAATTAATACAATGCTGGGTCTAATAAGGGTCAAAATCTTTCATCATAACATTGACAATGTATTTTGAGCGGAATTATTGGATTGTTTTTGGTGTAACTATATGAACTAGTCAACATGGAAATATCAACAAAATATCGAAGATATTAATTGATATTTATGCTTTGCTTATGTTTTATATTTTGAGAAATGATGCTTCCTTTTTACTCTTCACTAAAATATATCATCTTTCTTACCTTTATAAAGATCCTTGTTTAAAATACTCGAAAAAACACTGAACAGCACCCAGGAAGATGAAAGATTCAACACCTTCAATGTTGCCTCCCATAATGCCGGTGTGGAAAACATAAAGAACAGCCTTAGATTTCTTGACAGTATTTTTGAGCGAATCCAGAGTTATGTTAAAGGCAACGGCAGCAGCAACAAGCTACCGGCTCTTGAACTGTAGATTCGGAGATTTTTAGACAATAATGTATTGATATAATGTGAAAATATAAACTTACAATTAGATTTTCACATGACTTTAGGAACCGCCGACGAATCTTGCACATACATGCAGTGTGGTGTAACAATGCACGTTTATAGGTTATCCCCGCATTTTTTGGGCCAATTGAAAGGCCAAATTTAGACATAAGAAGCATTAAACGTATTCTTGATTAACGTTGATCAGATGGAAAGCGACGAATTCCCGCAGCTGATCTCAAAGTACTAGTATGAGAAAAAAATGAATATTAATAAGCTATTAATACTGAGGGAACTAATAATATCTCTAAAGTAATGTATATAATGTCTTAATAAGAAAGTTTGACAGTGTAAAATGTTGACTGCATGTCAGCATGTAATGAACTGGTAGATTTAGTTGTGTTTGTAGAATATGCGGGGGTTCCTAATTGCCATTCACCAGAGTGATCATCGAGGCATTCAGTACCTGTAAAACTTCAATTACTGTATCTTTATAAACACCGAAATTAAATGAGGATAGTGAATACAGTTTTTTAATATTTCTTTATTATGGGTGAACGTTACCTCAATTGAATAATGAACCTATCTGGCCTTTGGAGTTTATTTGGTGTGTTCACAGTCCTCTGTGGTTCGCGACAAGTGACAACAGGTGTATTTGATTTGACATATATATGCTTTAAGTCAAAACAATTTTATCAAGTAGCAATCTTGAAGTACAGGTCATTTGTTGTAGCTTTTGATTTTGTTATCAAAATAATTCGTAAAACTTTGAAATCGATAGTTATCATAGTTTATTTGAATTCTCTTTTTATAATTTTTCATTGTTGAGATAATTTGGAATCGACTTGACTACACGTTACAGTTGATAACTTAATTATCATAGCTCAATGTACGTTTCATTTAAACCTTTTAAAAAAATGATCACGGCGTGGCGATAAAAGACAAGCATAGCAATGTCGGAGATGATAACCTTTGATTTGAATTTTTCCAAGAATCATATCAGGAAATCATATTAAACAGCAAGCCTATCGCTACTTGGATATAATAATGAATTTGTAGGTCTCAACTCTCAACAACGAATTAATGACGGAAACCTTTTCTACTTAACATATCTATATATGATCAACTTTTCGTTTAAAAATTAAAAATTCTTCACAGTCGAAATAAACTATACATATTCAAGTGCAAGTGCACTGGAATGATGTGAAGGCAAGAAGAGCAGATTGTCGTGAAAGGCAGACTTCTGTACTAAAGCATATAACAGAGAGTGCTTTCGAAACAGATGAATTTAGTCTCTTCGTGTTTTGTCGTATTAAGATAATGTTACACAAAACAACTTTCAACATCAGCTCGCAACGCAACAATAAGCAAAAATCTAAACAACAATATTGTGTGGAATAAAAACAGTTCATAAACTGTGTTGCGAGTTGATGTTGAAAGTTGTTTCGTGTAACATTACCTTTAGTCAGATAATTGTGTCGGAGGTTTTCCGCGCCTGATGACTGCATGTGCTATTCTGTAATCTCGTAGAGGGGTTTCCTTTAACGAACTGCGAGCGATACACCTCGTAATTAAATCTCGGTGTAAAGGACCGACACACACCAAACGCGATCCGGCAACGCGACGAATTTTTGAGTTTTCAAAAGCAACTAAGTTTGATTGTGTTACGAATTTCTTGATAAATACTGAAGGATAGCACATTTTGACATGTCTTGGGCCCATAGTTGACGATTTGCGTGGACTTAAGATCATCCTCGTCCCTCTTAACCCTGCTTGAAAAGGCAAGAAGGGCAGCTTGTCTTCTTTTGGCATATAAATTATATAACCATGCGTACCATGCATTTTCTTTAAAAATTAACCAAGTCACTAAAAATCGTATTTCAAGCAGGTCGAGGCATGAAGAAGGATTCACTGCCTAAACAGGCGAGCAAGAGGCAGTCACTGGGAAATAGGATCATGACTGGTCGGGAAATCGTTCGAGGTGAAGCAGAGATACATTCAGTTAACCATGCAGTCATCGCTGCACTGAAATTTTAAATTAATGTGATCTATAAATATATAGGATGATATGAAATATATAGAGATCATTCCTATACTAGTTCAATATATATATTGCGTTTCCCACCGTTTCTCTACCGTTGTTACCCCGTTGTGAATGACTGGATGGTTGAAAGCCATAAAAAAATTCAAGTAAAGTGTCATTGTAATTCATTCAGACACAGACCCAGCTTCAGAAGCAGCTCTTGCTCAAGCCAAAGGTAATCCCGGTGACAAGTCGAGTGAATTTCTGACAAACAATAAAGGATATCGTAATTCTGGGTGTTATAAAGATACCGACAGCAGGGCCGTCCCATCCATGGAAGGTAAGTGCATGTTCTCGCAAAGTATATAATTTGATCTAGCTAAGAAACTTTCGATTACGAACAGAACAACAACCTAAGAACAATTCCGCGTTGTCGGTGGAGTGCAAAGCCAGTTCTCTTTCTGTGTAGAAAATTAGGATAGCAAGAATGAGCTTCGTTAACATTTTGACTAATAGGAATGACGTATCACGAATCTCTGCATGGTGATGACCAACTAACCCTCTCATTCCTAGCCCCTTTTGATTTAATCGAATCAGGCTGTATAACACCGGAAAAGGCACAAGCAGCCCACACAAAGGATTTTTGAAAACAGATTCAAAAAGCTTTATTCAGGAAAGGGTATAAGTATATAGACATGCACCACTTCCATGAGAACAACTCAAGCTAAACGTTCTTGCTCAATTGAATGAACAACGCACAAACAAATGATGGATATTATCTTATCTTACATGAAACCTATCAGGCTCGGACCCTGATTTGACTGGTTTTTACAAACAAAGACAAGAATCAATTTCAAAATGCGCGGCTGTCGCCCGCCGTCGAGGCTATCAGTTATTTGCCATTCAAAATGGAGGTATGTGTCTCTCTGGACCCAAAGCTCAAGAAACCTACAAGATTCACGGTCTGGCAAGAAACTGTAAAGATGGAAGAGGAGGCGAATGGGCAAATGATGTGTACATATTTAATGGTAAGTGTCTTTTTGAAGCACAAAAAACAATAAAGTGTTGGCGATATTCAAATGTGACTTTTATTGCCATGACCACCACTGACGAAACTTGAATCAATTGAAGACGGTAAGTATGACATATCAAGTGCGAAACATAAGGTAGAAAAATCTGAATCTCTTTAATATTAGCAGGAAGGGATACGTCATGAACGTGATACGTGCTGAAATTGTTTGCAGAAAAAAATGTGTTTGTGAGCTAAACAACTTTAAGTCCTGACCCTAACCCTCACCCATCTACTTATTTTGAAGGATTGGAATCAAGGATTATATTCGTGCATGGATTTTGGACATGAAATTATAACCAGTTTGTTTAAATACAACCGATATTCATATTTCAGATTTCCCCCTGAAACTACACATATTTACTGGTACAGAACCCGAAGCAGGAACTGATGCAAACGTGTATGTCACATTTTCTGGATCAATGGGAACATCTCGGAGGATTTCACTCGCACCAGAGGACGCAAACCAAAACCTCTTCGAGGCCGGACAGTAGGTTGAGTAAATAATCGTCTTTTTGAGATTGTACGTACAAAATATTGCAGGGGTGTAACGCAGAGCCAGTATTAATGTAAATAGCTACGTCAACGAAAAGTTAAACTAGTTTTGTTATCATGAAAGATTAGAAAGATGCTTTAGGGCCAAGGGGGATGGGGACTGGGGAAAAATCAGAAACAACAATCATAGCTATATACACTGAATATACACAGTGGAATATAGGAGAAGAGAAATGAGCACAGAGAATAGGGATTTAGACCACGTTTGTTTCAATAGTACTACACAATTATGAACACAATTGAGTCGTAGAGTTATGTATACACATGTATATTTACTTCAAGGAAAGATGTGTTTAATGTACACACGATTCCTCTTGGAACAATATCCGGAATTACAATTGGTCATGATGACACTGGTAAAAAACCTGCTGACTGGTTCTTACAAAAGGTACCAAATGAAATTTGTCAGTAGGAATTAAGTCTCCTTCAAACAGGGTACGTTAACTCTCCCCTATCACCACTTCAGGTTGTTGTAAAAGATGCCGCTAATACGATGTATAAATTTGACGTCAATCGTTGGCTTTCCAAAAACAAAGATGACTCGCAGATTGAAAGAGAACTAAGCTTAAGTAAGTCAGTAAACATTTGAAGTGGATGCACAATAATAAAGTCTGTAGAACACATTAAACCTGAAAAACTATATTAAAATCTGTAGCGAGAAAACTTTATTAAAAACTTTTTGTTTACTACCCCAGCTGCGACCATCACACCCGGATCCTACAAGTCCATGGGATGTTTTAAAGAACGTACTGACGTGAACAAAGAAAGGGCAATTCCATCATTGGAAGGCCGTGACGATGTTTTAGATGGAATGGGAGCGATCGGTTATCGAGATCGTGAGTTTCCTATTGAGAAATGTGCTGATGCCGCTAAACGTAGAGGTTACGTAATGTTTGCAATCCAAGATGGTGGTCTTTGTGCGACAAGTAAAGAAATTCAAAACACATATGATATCTATGGTAAAGGTGATGATTGCATGAGAAATGGAACTGGTTCGGCTTTCTCCTCTTCTGTGTATACCTTTTCTGATGAAGGTTAGTACATTAGTATATCAGTGGTGACTGATCTCATTGGTAGAGAAATAACTGGATGGTAGTCACTGATTTCAAGAGGAAATGATTTTGATATAGACTGTACATGAAGCACATCATGATTTCAGAGTGTTTTTAAAAAAACAGCAGTGATAAGCGTTCTCAAGTTTAGTTTAGACTAGTGTGCTGTCTACGTTGTATCAATGAAGTTGCCCAGGTGATTCGTCCAAGGCTTTATTGAAGCTTTACCTCATGTAGTTTTGTACACGTTGTAGAACCTAGTTTTCGAGATCCCGGGGAACAGGAGGCTGGAACAGAAGAAGGTAACCAGTGAAATAGCAACATGAATATCAGATGGAATTTACACTATGGATAGACATTGTAACATAGCTTTAAGTTTCTGTTGCTGTCGTTCTTTATCTAACGGGACGTCCCAATAGTTAACATGCACCGAAGACCGTAAGCGACGTTATATTCAGTTATGCAAATGTACGAACGTAAAAGTTCTAATTGTGATTGGCTAGATGTATAATAATAATTGCAAATGAGACGATGTATGCATGTAAGCATGTTGATGTTCGTTAAAAGTAAATAGTCGATTGCAATGTTTTCAAAATTCGTTATATTTTCGGTATTTTCCATAAATTTTGTAGCATAAGATTGTCGAAAAAGCATCCCATATACCTGCACCTGACACTATTAATTTTTATATGATGGTCGCGAAACAAGCACAAGATTGTGAAATGTTAGAAAACAATTATAACTCGCATGCAATGCCGGTGTAAATTTTCATGTCATAAGATAGATCAAGACTATTAGTCCTTTGGGACATGCTCTCTCAGCACAATAAATATACAGGGTGTCCCAAAAAAAACGAAAACTATTAAAATCACTCATTGTTAAAATTTGAATGCCGTGTTCACGAATTCCAGCCCGTGGGGATTTAATGCAACTTATAAAATGCTAAATGCTTTGTGTTGCTAGAGAAAGGGGACATGTCGAAGGTCATGGTTTTTGACATGCACATTTAAATATTGTTATCCATATATTTGTAAATTGTAAATATTGTTAATAAATATCATTTTTGCGAACAAGCAAATTTGACTGCATCATATGCATGCATAAAAATGCTTATGCATGGCAACCCCGATTTATACACTTGTGGGCCCAACAGAGTGCTTAGGCATTCAAACTCTAACAATGGCATTGTTATGGGTGATTTCAATAGTTTTCGTTTTTTTTGGGACACCCTGTAGAGATATAAAGCAATCTTTTACAAACAAACATTTATTTAGTTGAAATTACCAAGCTGCGAGAATAGACGAACTTTTAGTATAGAACTAAAAGTTTTACTGCCTTCAATGAGAGGACGCAGGGTAATCCATGAAGTCGAGCGAATTTTAGGGTCTACATAATGTCAAATGAACTTGAATGTACATGCATAAGCTATATAATTTTATAATGATCGATCAGTGTAAGGCCTGGATCACACTGGCTCCTAAGAATCGGGGATCCATTGTATTACTTTCCGATAGTCTCAGAAAAGCATTTTGCACACCAGCGGTCAACTTTGTCTGAGGACAAAGCCCAAAGGGAATCCCAGACATGTGTAAACTAGGCTTAAAGGCGTTTTAAGATTAGAATATATTTTAAGCATTCAACTTGCGTTGAAAGAACTTATGCAAAACAGAACTGCAAACTTATTTTCGATTATGAATATATCATACCTGACACTAAACGTTCAACCAATGAGGGCCTGGCATTTTACGGTAACGAACGAATTTGGCAGTCCCAGCCAATAGGAACAATGATCTTAACGTAAGTTTCGTTCGTTAATGAGGTTATAAGTCCTTCGGTGCATGTTAACTAATAGGACGTCTCACGATCGCGGTATAAGAACAGCTGGAATTACCCCATCTTTTATATCACAGGTTCAGAAAACACACAAAGTCAACCAGCGGTGCCTAGTGACCCTGCAATGCAACTTGCTGGACAACTATCTTCACCAGCAAATAAAGAAGATAGGCCTACGGCTAGTGATACCACTTTAAACAAAAACAAGCTCACGTCAGCTGCAGAGACCACTACGTCTGGGGACATATCAAACACAGCAAGTACTGGTAATCAGGGTGCTCCATCAGGGGGGAGTGAATCAAATTCACAAGGGATATCCGGTGGTCAGGGGGAGACAAGGCCAGATGCTGAGAATGGAGTAAGCAGTAAAGGTAGGTTCACCACAAGGATAACCAGAACCAAAACTCGACGTATAATATATATTACTCAGATTTCAACCCGGCATTTTAGTTGAGGTTTGAAACAAACGCAACGACCCTAAACCTAACCAAAACCTGTTGATATTTGGGTGAAATTAAACGCTGAACTAAACACTTATGCTAGGTCCAACCTTGGAACAGACGAATGCGCCTGTAACAAGCGAAGGAATAGATGAAACGACTGAGAGATTGCCAGAGAGTAATCAAGAGGAAAGACAAAACAGGCCTTCAACATCAGACAGATCTGACGAAGGCAAGGAACCAGCTCCTGCTTTAGGCAAACCAAACTCGGTAGGAAATCAACAGAACGAAAATTCTCCGCGTGAGATGAACAATCCAAGTCAGAGTTCAAGGGTCACAAAATACCCTGAAATAACAGACACGACTCCTCAGGAATCTAAGATCCATCCAGGCCGCGAAGATAATGAAATATCAAGGCCTGGAAACCCAGATAAACTTGGGGAGAAAAACCCCGTAGGGGAAGAAGAATCTCTGGGGGGGAAAGGACTCGCTCGAGGGAACGGATCCCCAGAAGGAAAAGAATCCGAGGAAAGAGAAGAATCTCGAATTATCGATAGAGCACCGCTCATAGAGCCTTTGCACACAAAGGTGCATAAGATAGCACCGGAGACTAGGCTTCCCGGGGAATTTAACTCCCCATCAAGTGATGGACAAAATGTGATATTGAAAACAAAGCAAAATCCTATATTAAGAAGGCCTTTTAGTAAACTATTAGATGCTCAACAAAGAAACAAAATCAAGCACTTATTAAAAAAGAATAGGAAATAGGACAAAACAATGTTTTTAAGAAATTAATTATAAATTATGAATAGCTTTATAATATAGAATGTAAATGCTGTTCCTAGTCGCTGATTGGCTAAGAGCTTTCTTGATACAAACCAGTGTAAGCACGTCTAAACTCACATTTTCGTGTGTTATAGTATAGAAATATATTATAACATACTATTTTCCATCGACACTTGTGAGAAACTTTGGATGTCATGTTTGGAAACAATTTTCATTTTTGCAGTTCCTCGAACGTTTTCCACTTGGCGAATTTATTCGCGCGATGCGAAGCGATATCTGAAATCCAGTGATGTGATTGGTTTGCGAAAAAAATCACCGCGAAAAAGTAGAATCGCTTCCTACTTTTTATCTGTTCGCGCGAATAAATTCGCCTGGTGGAGAACGGGCTTAATATGATGACAAAGGCGATTATCGAAAATTGTGGACACTGATTGGTTAAGTGACCTTGGATTTTACGGGATAATCGACCTAAGCGTCCCTTGGTCCAGTGAATATCACTCAATAAAAACATTTATACTTTGTATCGGTTTTTGTCCAAGGATATTTACAGTTATTTGCCATTGCACGATGGGATATTCATGACTGTAAGTTTTGAATGACAGCGTGCAAGTATTGAAACTATAAAATTAATTGCTTTTTGTTCAATTAATTGTTCAGTAAACGATAAAACGGGTAGGTTCAATATCCCGCGGCTTTGAGTAATTAACTGCTAAATCAACCGTAGAAATAATAGGAAAAGAAAGTTGCTACTCTGCCAAACGTACATGTTTTCAAGGTTAAAAGAAATGTCACGAATGTAGAAATATGTCTTACAAGACTATTTTAGTTTTTTATTTACGTTTGTCCAAAGCTCAGCGCCAGTGAACTCGACAAAACTGCAAAGAAATTCGTGAAAGTAGATTTCCTAAACAAAGGAAATATGAAATCATCGACTGAGAAAATATGAAATCGTACGGGATTAAACAGTTTTTGTCAAGGGTCATTGTTACAGCTTTTCTCATTACTACCTGGGATATTCCAAGTAAGTCAATCGCGTGTTGTTTTCGGTAAAAATCACCATGCGCCCTATACTCTCTATATATAGGATGCCGTAAAACACTGCTTTACTGCGCCTTGCACGAGGCTAGGTATATAATGCCTTATAATTTCACATGAAAGATATAATTTGAATTGCAAGGATTAACTAGTGCGACTGTAGGAGATAAAATGTTTGCCAGGTTTACACAAAAAACAACCAGTTTTTTTCCGAACGGACTCTGATTTTGAAATAAACAATGCGGGTTATCTGGTGCAAGATGTATCTATCCTACATTCATTTCGCGATACTGTGACTTTATTATAACGACGGTAAAATATAGTATCTAATATGATGGTGAAAATGAGGCTGGCCAAATTTGAAAACGATCTTTTTATTGATCTGTTCACACGATCCAATTTTGTTGGACCCAATTCTTTTCTGACGTACGGAGTATAGTCGGTTATTGATGAACTGAAAATTGGATCGTGTGAACTTTATAATATCCACCGCTTTCAAAAGGATGATATAGGTCCCAGGAGGCTTACAGACTTCTCATTTCATTTGCGCCCTGCCACTGAACCCAATATCAAGTCAGCCCCTTTCTTTCCCCCGGCGTAGTCACCCCGCCTCCCTACCAGCGTTACTTTTTGGTACAGTCGAAATAGCAGATTTGTCAAATGGCTGTTCCAAATTTCTTTAAAAGTAGCTTATTGACCGACAGTATGTTTAAAATCTAGCATATTATGGCAAACCTCAGAAGTTTAATACAACGGAACAAGGCAGAAAGAAACAATACGTTGTGACAGAAGAAGAGATACAAGACACATGTAGGTAGAAATGAACACATGAACGCGTACATCGCAACCATGATGAAAATAGACTTCTCTTGAATATATTTATACAAACCCATAAAAAATACTTCAAACACGGTAACGCACAACCAACCAAATAATATTCAAACCCAATTGGTAGGCTCAAACCCACTCTAATCGCCGATGCCTTCTTCATTGGTGAATGCATAAGCTCAAAAAACCCAACTATATATAGAGTGTAGTGCAAAGTTGTGGAATGGAGTGGTTTATACGTTATTAGTAAAATTATGTAACTTTATTTTCTATCCATAGATTTCATTCCACATCAACAGCAATACCCAGTTACCCCTCAATACGCAGGTATCACAACATCAGCTATTCGCGTTTTTCCTTTTTTTCTAAATTGTCTGTTATTTACAATCATTGACCATATATTATAGAGATTAAGAGATATATTCTACAAAGGTGTCTTCGCCAACATACTATACATCTGCATGCATTTATAGAACATTTATATAAATACTGAATCTTTGATGAATATACTAAAACAACTGATATTTGAGGAAATCGTTCAGGAATCATGCAAATTTATCGAGTATGTGGAAAGTAGAAAACAAAAAGTTATACGGGTGATACAAGCTTATGCAATCACTTTGGGGTTTATTGCGAGTTCAAAAAGTACGAACCATTTACAAAAACCGCACAAATTACTCTTTCTCTCTACCAGTTCCAGTAATAACACCAGTTGTCAGTCCCCCAGAACCTCAACCAGAGGCAAAAAAGCCGAAAGAAAAACACGGGAGTGCACACAAAGAAAAACATGTTTTATTCCAGCCAAAGAAAACGGGAAACGAAAATGACAATTATGCAAGAATTAGCAAAGGCACTGCTGCAAAAAACGGGAACTCTATTGATAGCAACAGAAACAGGGGGACTAAAAAGGATAGCGGGGACGGCGAAATCTTAGAAAACAGTGACACTACCAGAAAGGAGAGTGGGTCTGCTGGATTAATAAAAACTACTTCAAGTGATACTAAGAAAGGGAAAGAATATAGAAATGTGGGATGTTATAAGGACACTTTACCAAGAGCTGTACCCTCACTTGAAGGTGGGCTTGTATTTCATTTCATATTCCACCCATAAAAGATACCTTTTCTATGAACCATTTTTGGAAATATGAAATTTTTACTAATCAGACACTCCAGAGATCAACAAAACCCAGATTTTTATGTATTAGCAAGGTGCCTGTAAATCAGAGAGGCAGTTGGATTGTATTGTAATTTGCCAGGTGCCGGTATTAACGAGGTGCCAATATTACAGCAGAGGTGGCTATTTTAGAGAGGTACCTATATTAGCGAGGTGCCTTTATTACAGAGGTGCCTATATTAAAGAGGTGCCTGTATTACAGTGGTGTCTATTTTAGAGAGGTGCCAATATTAGCGAGGTGCCAGTTTCACAGAGGTGCCTATTCAGTTAGAGAGGTGTCAGCAGAGGTTTCTATTTTAGAGAGGTGCCTATATTAGCGAGGTGCCTATATTACAGAGGTGCCTATATTAAAGAGGTGCCTGTATTACAGTGGTGCCTATTTTAGAGAGGTGCCAATATTAGCGAGGTGCCAGTTTCACAGAGGTGCCTATTCAGTTAGAGAGGTGTCTATATTAGCGTGGTGCCTGTATTACAGAGGTGCCTATTCAGTTAGAGAGGTGTCTATATTAGCGTGGTGCCTGTATTACAGAGGTGCCTATTTTAGGTAGGTGCCAGTATTAGCGGGCTGCCTGTATTGGAGGGAGGTGTCGACCGAGGAATCTGCCGTCATTGAATATTTTGACAATAATTCTTCAGGTTCTGACCCTATCCTTAAGGAGTATTACAAAAGACGACTCAATGCTGTCGAGAAATGTTCCCAAGTAGCAAAATCGCGAGGCTACCAACTATTTACCATTCAAAATGGTGGATTTTGTTCATCTGGACCTATGGCCCACAGAACATTTCAAATATATGGGCCAGCGAGTAACTGTAGGAACGGCAGAGGTGGGAATTGGGCCAGTGACGTATACGTGTTTAGTGGTAAGCTATCATTCTGCCTGTATGTATTCCGCAAATTCAAAACTAAAATGTCAGGTCGACCGCGCTCAAATAACGTAGTGCGTTCTTCACTGTATTGGATACTACATTTTGTCCTAACATTTTGTTGTAGCATATGAATACGAGCTGACAGTTCATACAGGAACAGAGCAAAAAAGTTCAACAGATGCGAAGATTTCTGTAGCTTTATATGGTGTGATGGGATCATCAAGACATATCCCTCTAAGATCACAAGCATCCGCAGGCATCAACGACCCATTTCAAAATGGACAGTAAGTTAGGACTATTAGAACTGGCTTTTTTTGTCGATGCAGGACATATAAATCGAGTGTTTAGCGGAGTCACTTCAAGCCATGCGACAATGGGTAACTACGATAAAACTAAAATGATAGAAGCCACGATCGTATAACCCACATGCATGTTTTACTCATCTTGCCCATCAACGTTAGGAACTCTAAGTTTTTGAGAAGTTTCTAAACGTAGCTGAATTTTCATACTTTTCATTCTACGTTCATCCTGCACAATAATAACCTTTGGAATGAGAATGAGCAAAAGTGTCATGCAGGCATATGGAAGATGTGGATTTTCATACATGAATTTGACAAAGGGTTAGAGAAACTATTGTCCGACAACACCATTAAACTTGCAATGAAAGTCCGTATCTTTTGTTCATTTTCATGTGCTAAGAAATACAAATCGAGTCCCACAGCTTAGTCACATGCACAGCTTTTGAGCACATGGGATAGAAAATCTTGAAATTTTTTCCCTGGTAAACACTCTGGTAATTTGAACTCGTTTACGTAATCACAGAGTGGATAAATTCACGGTACATACAGTTCCACTGGGAGACTTGACAAGACTACATGTGTGTCTTGATAACACAGGACCAGCACCAGCGTGGTATTTAGAGAAGGTAATTGAGATATACTGTAAGCAGACTGTTTTGATACTGGGGCCGGTTGTATAAACTATTTAACTACACGTTGCATAGTTAAATCCTAGTTCACTCAACTCTGATTGGCCAATTCTGCCCTTAATTACAGTTAAAAGTTAACGAGCCTTTTATACAACTGGTCTCTGGTATTTAATTTGTTTCACATCATATAGATCTCAATAAAAGACCCAAGAAATGACATTTACATATTTCCATGCAACTGCTGGTTAAAAGGTGGCAAGAAAGGAAGTATTACAGAAAGAAACCTTTTGCCAGGTAACATACAGTTGATTTCAATCATTGGTATTATAACGTTTGAATCCCTTAAATTTAACATATTCTCTTTTTGACATTAGCTGTGGTTATCATTCCCAAATCATTCAACTTTATTGGATGTTTTAAACACCCCAGAACAGACAATATTGCTTTAGAAGCTCAGGGTTATAAGATCTTAGATGGTCAACCTTCCTCGGCAATCCAAAGCAAGCGTACTAAACCAATAAATAAAGATTACGTCATCGAAATGTGTGCACAGGGCACCCATGATAGAGGTTACATGTTCTTTGGAATTCACAACGGTAACCAGTGTATTACAAGTGGTACGTTTCAAGATACATACGGCAAATATGGAATGGCGTCTGATTGTTTTAAGACTGGTAGAGGTGGTAGTGAATCTATTGCCGTGTATACCTTTACAGACAGAGGTAAGAAAAAAAATCCAGTGTATAAATTCAAATCACTTGCCTTGAATTCGCTGGGGAACATTAGAGATTATAGTAGAGGAATTCTTGGGGACATTATACACGCAAGATTATTTTTGAAAAATGGCCGGTTATAACTTCAATGTTCTTATAGTTCCAAAGCAAAACAGTCAGCACTAAAATAAATATCTAATGTTTAACATCTACAGTCTAGCTTCTCTTACTACCTAGCTTCTATACTGTTTCATCGTGTAGTGCTTGCTGTAGTGAATAACCGCACTGTTTTCGAGTAGTAGTTATTTGAAGAGTTAATGACAAAGCCTTAGCATAAACCTCTTTCTTTATTTGCGATAAACATAGAACGGAATAGACTCTATTATTGAAGTGTTTATTTAATACGTTGCTATCCTTATTTGACAAATTATAGTTCATTCATCAATTTACGTGCAATCCCTTCTTTAATTTCAGAACCACTCAAACACGCGACTGGTACAACATCTTAGGGAACACACGGTGATAAAAATTCAGGATTATTTAATATACACAAGATTGTTTCTACCTGTCTAGTACTTTATATCAATGATTGTAGATTATTAGTATTTCATTATAGCTGGGAATTTTATATCTTTTAAATAACGTATCTGAACTAATGGAAACATTGTCTGGATTAATCCAGGCTAAGCCATATCATAAAGGCACTGACTGGTCACTGGTGAACTATACAAATTTGGGACAATCTAAGATGTTCAAAGATTACATTAGGTTAGAGTCATCATTGTTTTCCACCTGCACAGCACTGGAAGAGAATATTTCCAACCATCAATCATAGACGTTCACTTTTTTACTGTGATTTGTGTTGAAGTAGAGCACACATCAGCCGTAGTATACTTTATGTAAAGTGAATACATTGGTACCTCAAAATGTCGTCTTGTGTTTCTTGACTTCAACCATTACGTGATGAATATTAATGAGCTCACTGCGGACAGCCAACTTCTTGAACGGCGGTTGTGATAGAACTTTTTGAAAGCGATGATAATATTGTATGAGTTGGGTCAGTGCTGCCTGTGAGGTGAAGAGAAGAGAAATATTGTTAGCTTTCAAGAGAGATGAATGTTCTTTTTGACATTTTAATCCATTTTATGTTGAACCAAGTTCAGTGTGATCATACCTGTAATATTGCTGTGCCATTCTTAAGATTCGAGAAAGATCTCATAATTTCGTGATTAATATTCTCAATCCCCCGTTTCCAATCTGTCGCAAAGCCACGAACGATCTGACCAACTCGTCGTTCGTCAACCTGAACGTATTGGTTTTGGTTCTTTTCCAACTGAGGTTCGACGTCTTTTACGAACGTGATCATTCCCCCAAAACCAGGGGACAAAATCTTCACATTTTGAAAAAATAAACCCTAATTAGCACGACTCTGCAATTTGCACTTATTCGATATTAATAATAACATGCAAACCACAGATGAAAAAATGGTGAATACGGAATACGGAGGTCAACACCAGTAGTCATAATTGCATGCCTCACCTCTTCTACAAATTCTTGAATTCTGGCCGTCAATAATTGTTGAAAACTGTCAGTTTCTTGCGAATCTTCTGACGTTCGTTCCTAGCAGAGTAGTAACATCAATGATTTCACAGGGGTAGGCTGAAGTGTGGAGGGGTAAATTCTTAGGATGGGGCCAGTACCTCTTAAGAAATCTAAATCATTAAATGAAAACCGAAGCAAGGTCTTGGGGTATGCATTGTATACATTGTCACCACGTTGGCTGTTTGAATTGCCCTGGGGATAATTTCCTCACACACTCAGGAATGAATGATCATCAATACCACCCCCCCCCCCATGAAGTCAATCGCAATCACTGAATACCATGCGGTCACTAATCCATTGCACTCTCAAGTGTACCTTCAATACGGCCAGCATCATATCATAGTTATTGATGAGAAATATCAACTGTTCTTTACGATGTGGAAATTCTGCTGCCATTCTTAGCACGAACTTTTGAAGTTCTTCTTGCAACATTGCGAGCAATCTATTTACCTGTTTTAAAAAAAAAGATGTGATATTGAAACCAAACGTACAGTAGTAAAATATCACTTCATACTATAAATGGATAACAATCAGGGGCCAGTTGTATAAAAGACTAGTTAACTTTTAACTATAGTTAAGGACAGAATTGGCCAATCAGAGTCATGTATTTCTGAGTGAACTAGGATTTAACTATGCAAAATGTAGTTAAAGAGTTTAATACAACCGGCCACTGTTCTAAACTACAATAACATAGCACCTTTTCGTCTGGAAAACTTTCATTCAAACTAACAATTGCAGCAGAGAATTCCGCATATCTTCGCGTTATCTGAAAACAAGAAAGAGTTTGATATAATTTTCAACTCAATATCAACGATTCACAGGCCGAGTATAGAGAGTTTTCAATAACATTTTCTAGTTGATTACATTTCAAAAGGAGTCTACACCTAAAATATTTAGGCAAAAGCTAAATGTGATTAATAAAGAGATCATCATTGTCTGAATATGGCCGTCTGCCAGAAGCAGGGCTCCCACGATTTAAATATGCATAGTGTGGGGGAGAATTCTTTGAATATGCTGAGAAAAAGAATATTTGATAAGGTATATTACATATTCCTCCCTCCTCTCGAAAGAGTCAAACTTTTTCTAAAGAAATTTCTTTAGAAGTGAGAACGCTGGCTAGGAGGAAACTGGTGGACGTGGAAGGTGTCCTTCATCCATATTAAGGTATCCGGCAGACAAAGAAGAATACAGCCACGTTAGAAACCTCCAGAACCACTCTCATTGAAAACACTTAAACTATTTTGCCATTTCAGAATTACAAAATATACTTACGTAATGAGGTTGAACATCAATACTTCCCATCTTCTGAGGGTCGATCATTCGAATACTTTCAATGTTCTGTTGAATCACGAAAGTAAACCGAGGCCAAAACATTTCTAGTAAAGTATCCCAGAACCTGGCAACAAACGAACGCTAATTATTACACTGATAAACTATCCTCTTGCTATTGCTCTGGGTACAGTTGTGTAAAACTCTTTAACTATATTTTCATAGTTAAATCCTAGTTAACTCGAAAATACACGACTCTGATCGGCCAATTCTGACCTTAACTACAGTTAAAAGTTAACTAGTCCTTTATAGAACTGGCCCCTGGTGGTACTGTATCATGGTAATAAAACCAAATGTAAGTATTCGATACTCAATAGATAGCAAAGTAAATCTTCAGAATAAAACCTGTGTTGTCAGGCAAGGAGCCTGCATAGAATCGGGATCAAGCTGTAATTAGTCAACTTTATAGCATGGAACTGAAGCTTCATCTTGCAATTCCTTATAAGATAAATATCATAGAACTACAGCTTACTTGTCCAAAGCAGGAATATTACGTTGGCTCATAAGTATTCTGTATCGATGAACGATGTGCATACATAGAAATATACCAATGGCGTCGTAACACGACTGTAAATATCCGTCCCAGTATTTCTATAAAGAAACATGATAAAGAAACATGATAAAGAAACATGAAAGATCATGGTCTATCAAGAATATGATTCAGTTGATTGAATCTCGAAAAGGTGGAATCGATAACGAGTTTTGAAAAAACCTAAAACACGGCTAAAAATGATGGTCTCGGTTACCTACCATTAATAATGTCAATGTTTTACCAAACACTGAGGTAAAGATCTCTATAGCTGGGTTGCCTTGTGCATTGAAAAAATCCGTAAGGAACAGGAATTCTCGACAACTATTATCCAGTAATGCATAGTGTTCACTGCGGAATAAGCTTTCAAAAGGATACTAAAAATAACAGAAATCAATCAGAAATCAATCAAATGTTGTAATGGTGCTATTCTGAGCTACCAATGGTGCTACTTTGAGCTACCAATGGTGCTACTCTGAGATACCAATGGTGCTACTCTGAGCTACCAATGGTGCTACTCTGAGCTATCTTGACAATGGTGGGAATCGAAACCGTGACCTTTGGTTTGGTAGTCCAATGATTTCCTGGTTGTCCTCAGAGTAGCACCATTAACTTTAACCTGAGTCATACACACTATTTTTATACCTTTCGATCGTTTTTCTGAGCTGCATGCGGTACAATGATTGGCTCTTCAAGTTCTGACGTGAGCACGTTCCCACGGTTCCCTAAGGTGAAGATTGTTGATCTGTTTCGCAGAGCAACGCGAGATGAAAATAGGCGTGAACATCGTTAAGAAAATAATAAACGAAAATCTTGACGTGAACGAAAGAAGAAGGGGACCCGAAAGACTTGTACGAGTGAATCAAATCTTGGTCACGCAATTAAAATTCACAAAATTAATCCAAATTTGATATAACAACTAAACGTTTCAGTTTTGAAGCTCTAGAAACAGGTATTACGGACCTTAAGAAATCAGCCACTAGTGTTAGGAACCCAATTTTAATTTGTTTTACAGACAGCTCTGACCTCGGTTAGGAGTACATAATTTTTTTTCCCGTTGTAAAACTGCGGAAACGAAGACAGCATTACTTCATGTCCGTTTGGTGCATCTTACTATAACCTCCCTAATATAACACTATAAATTTAGAAAACGTCATGCCAAACATTAGAAGAAAACGCTATTCTTTAGTAAACGAATATTATCAGCCTAATTCGAGATCTTCAGTAAAATTATTGAGCTTCAGAACTTGATTGACTACAGCGAGAACCGCGCGTTAAAGAGTAACATCATTTTGATGATAAAAGGATATTCTTTCGTGCATTGTCTTCGACTCCCATAAGATCGTCTTTATCAGGAACTTCGTCATACTACGTAAATCAAAATACCATAGAAATATAAAAAATTTCTAAACAGCTCTTTTAACACAAAACTGTATTATCCAATGACCCAAATTAACCATGTACGGAAAAATTCTTGATTGGGTAGCTAGGTGTTTGTTTTCGCTATTCTTCAAAAACCTTTGGAAAAACTTACTATCATATGCATATTGTTGAAAGATGATCAAGGTTTGATAGTTGATTAATAAAAGATATAATAGTAAACTTGCCTGCAATTTCGTGAGCTTACTGATGTACGCCTTGAAATACGAGAAGTAGACTTTACTGATTGTGTCGACGTATTCATCTTTGATCTCTCTTGCCACTTGACGATGATGTGCCATTAAAAATTCGTTAAAATATCTACAAGAGAGATTTTATATTCATATTACTGAAGAACATGGTACGAAAACACGTCTTGGTTAATCAAATCGTTTCACAAAAAAATAGGCAGATAAGGATGTCAATTGACTACAGAATTAGTGCCGACAGAATTGCTTGAACGATGAGAATTGACGATGAAACGATGAAAAAAAGAAAGTTCTATTTTCTCTATAAAAGCATTCTACTATAACTTCCTACCAAAAAGCTCTGGCTTTCTTCAAAACATTTGAAGTTTGCTCTGTACTCCCACACAAAGAGCCAGGCCTTCACGTAAAACATTCTCTCAAATACCTGTGTTTAAGTAGTGCGGTTTGTGGAATCTGGTAATTTGCCATTGGTTTGCGAAATTGATAGACTTTTGGTAAAATATACTCTCGGATTTTCTGAACAGCCTAGAACAGTAAAATTGGTGGTTAAATCATTATGGGCGTTTGCAAAAAAGTTTCATCATCTTCCATTTTGTCCAACAAGAACAAGAGCTGTAATTGAATACAACGGCGTAGTAACAGACTGTAAACACAATCGAAATTAATCCTACGTAACATGAATATATGAATATGGATCCCTAAATATCGTGCTGCATGGCTATATGTGCCGAACAAGAGTTAACTTGACAGTTGGGATTTGGATATCACCTTGAGATTTGGATATCACCTTGAGATTTGGATATCACCTTGAGATTTGGATATCACCTTGAGATTTGGTGATCACCTTGAGATTTGGTGATCACCTTGAGATTTGGTGATGATCATCTTGAGATTTGGATATCACCTTGAGATTTGGTGATCACGCCACAAGATTGAGTGATCGTCTTCCGATTTGGTGATCCTCAACACAGCTTGATACATGGTCATCAACCTACCTTAAGTTTTAACTTGTCCAACACATCTTTGACATCATTGCAACATTTAAAATCATTGAATGCTTGTTCTTTTACAAAGTTTATTTTGTGGTCCAATTCATGAAGATTTTCAACAAAGGATTGTTCAGTCACCGGAGTATCTGTAATATGTCTGGAGAGATTCTGCATAGATTAGATTCAAGATTCTATGAGGATCCCAAATATTTTTATATTGTTACATAATATTAATCACCTTTATGGTAGCATATTGCACAAATTTATAGAACTTTATAGAACAGTCTTCATAACTTACTTTATCATAGTTTCACTCACAAGCATTTCATCCACAAATTGGCTAAGTTCACCTCGTATTGCCTAAATAATATTTCACCAAAAATTGTCCTTACAAAATAATTAAAATTATACAAGTGTGCACACTGATTAGTGCTTATAGCACTGCCTGGACATTTTTCTGTTCGTCTGAATCATCATTTTTTTGTAAATTTTACCTGTCGATTTTTCAACTTGATATTCATTGACATTGACTGTTCTTGCAAAGTTTGAATTTCAGAGCTGATGCTACCCAAATCTTGCTAAAATTGGAAATGTGTTAGGTATATATATTTGAAACATTTTTATAACAGCATGCAATATCACTAATATTCTTGTACATTTGCATGAGGACATTAAATAAATAAATTAGCTTGTAGGTACACCATGTAAGTATTTAATACTGCAAAGCTTTCGGTCTGTTAATGCTTCCGGTTGTATCAAAATTAAATAACACTCTTACATCTCTCTTGTTTGAGTCAACTTATTATGCACCGAATATGTAGTTGTAAACAGTATCTTTGTATTTAAGGTCAAAAATATTTTGTTCGCTTGTTGAATAAAATGGCAACTTGCTTTCTATTTTGAACTTATCCACTGTTTAAGCTAAATGGGCTTGATACAACCAGCCCCAGTGCAATAAATATATGAAAAATATTGCACTGATGGAGGCCTTGGTTAATGGGATGGAAACTCCTTGTTAGTAAATTAGCAATAACATATTGAACATAGTATTGTACCTGAAAGCTTGTCAACATATCTTCCATTCTCTGGGCAGAGGAAAAATAAATTAACAATAAAAAAATAAATATTCTAAATGTCTGTTTTATGTAGGCCTTGTTGAGTCACAGTGGAGAATTTGTGTGTTGCGACAAATTTTGACAAACTTTTAATTTTGACACCTGTGCAAGAAAAAATGCATAACACATGCTAACATGCAGACTTTGAGCATGGACTTTAAGCTTTGACCATTGGAAAAAGCAAGTATGGAAAACCTTAAAAGTATTTTTCAAGTATTTTTCACATTCTGAATCCACAAAGATCCATAGGTAATGTTTCGTTTACTGATGTAGCCAAGTTTTATAAAGATATATTTTATACTTGTTTTTCTTTACATAGTCCTTACATTACAGCGAGCAGAGAAAAAAATATATATCAACCGCCCGATCTACCTAAATTATATATAGTGGGCGAACAATGCCCCATGCATATGAAAGTCTAATTAATAAGTCACGCGACCTTGATCAATGTCAAAATATCATATCGTTATAGGTAATACAGCACATACCTCTAAAATGGTGTCACAAGCAGCAATCTGTTTGTGCAAACTAGCAATATTATCACTTTCTTTAATATCTGTGTATCTTAGTCAGGAATAACTACTTTCAAATCTGTCATAAACTGATTTTTGATAGAAGAGACATATTAACTCAACTCTTATAATATAAAGGATACAATCATCAATTGAAGAATTCTCAACATTATGCAAATCAGCTTCAATTTGTTTTGAATAATGTCTCAAATCAACTCCCTATAATATAAATTATCAATGTAAATTGCAATAATCTATACAATATTAATAGTGTTTTACTACTGCCTAAAAATAAATTATAGGTATCATAAAACAAGCCTTGACTCGCCAAGAAATAAAAAAGTATCTACTTTCTCTAAGGCTTCTTTCACTAATTCATCTTCTAAGTTTGCTTGGATATGTTCTAAACAGTAAGCACACATAATTGTATTAGTAGTCAGTTACTACTTCATTCTACTTCCAGTGATAATACCAAGGCCAGCAGCAGCCAATTATGGGCCAGGGCACTTGTAAGTTAGTCAACAAAGGTCCAAGTGCTCCGCCTGACTGGAAATTATCAGTGGCAAAACTAGAATGATGAGGGGGGTGAATATTCATATATTCAATTCTGCCGGATGGATATCTTTTTTAGGTTTAATAGCTTACAATAGAATCTATCGGGCAGAACTGAATAAAGGAATATTCTCCCCCCCCATTATATTCTCTTGGAGTACTCAGGGCTATGGGTATTTCCCCTCACCCTATCCCCCATCATGGTAAATACACACTAACCATTTACTTCATCTAAGATAAACTCATCTTGAGAAGTCAGATCAAGTTCTCCCAGATTTAGATCAAGTGCCTACAGTTAAAAGAACAAAATGTATGAAAATAAAAAGTAAAATACTAAAATTGGAGGTTATAGGAATTAGGCTCGAGACTTACTACAAACATTCACAGGCTTTTTATAATAATAATATAATGATGTATTAATAATCTTAATTTTCAGAAAAATAACCAAACTGCTTTATTGTACAAGAATTTCTGTATTTATACTGTGCTACATGGTACAAAATGAGAACATGTATATATATTTCACATACCTCATCTTCGTCTTCGTCCTCATCCAATGCACTACTTTTAATTTGACCGAACGAAAACGTTTCTTTCGGCAAAGCATTTCCATCCCCATTAATATTTTCTTCTAAACTAGGATCTATTAAGTCCTGGATTTCCGAATTGGTAGCCATGTTTAAATGACTGAGCTATATAACAAATCCAGTGAACTGAATATAGATTTACTCTAAAGACCGGCTTCCTAGGTCGATTAGGGTCGATTAGGGTCGATTTATTTTTTATTTTTTCGTATTTTCAGGCATTTATTTTATATTTATCTTACACGAAGTTTACTCGGAAAGCCTCGACATCAAAGACCCTGGAAAAGAGGTTGGGTCGATATATAAAAAAATGCAGGTTTACTTGGGTTTACCAGGATGATTTGAAGATATGTGCACTTCCCTACGATTGCGCAGCATTAGGAGAGAATGCATTTCTGTACGATTATACGATTATGAATATCCCCACCCCCCCATTTAAAGACTTCCGCGTCTGTCGATCGAACAAAAGGGTGAGGAAAATCCTACTATACCCTGATAAGAATAGGATCGTAAATGATCGTGTACTCTGGCGATTCCCCTTTCAATTAGAAGAATCTAGTAAAAACTATCCATTTGAACAATATTAGTGTTGCCATCAATTTCTAGTCAAAAGTACATGTTTTGCGATAAGCACAAGGTTTGAAGTCTAAGGTCAAACACCTGGAAAATCTTTTATTATACTAACAAATCACAAAAAAGGCCAAAAGTAAAAAAAAAGATGAAAATAATATTATACTGATCTAGAATAATGGCGAAAGTTGTTGGAGCTGTTAGCCTGTTTTTCTAGGCAAAATAAAGTAATTATCTGAGAACTTGATATAGATAGATATAGACAAATAGATAGTTGCTATTTAATTATATTTCTAATTAAAACTGTCAAGGATAATATCCAATATTAAAGAGTTTTAAATGTCTAAAATATCGATAATGCATATTAGTTGTATAGTGCATTAATAGAACTATGGATGATAAAAGATGATCTCTTAGTTCTTGCTACTGGGAGCGAGCGTTTTCTTTTTCCTAAGATTGTATTTGGGGTTGGCATTTGTGTTTGGGACCAAGAGATAGATCTTGTTATCTTGGTTCTCGACTGAATATGGACTGGAACAATTTCTTTGTGGTGATCTTTGATAGAAAACTATACCTGCAAAGGTAAGGCCTTCAGCGTACGGTACTCCTGGAAAAATACAGGCCAGGGCTCTTTTGGATTCTTTCCAGGTCGGCCGGTAAATAGTTTGGTATAGGGAGTTATGGATATACAGGGCACGCGTATAGTCCAAAGATGATCTTATGCAGGCGCAATCATTCGGTGATATTTGCGCTCGTTTAAACTGTACTAAAAAGTAGAGTTTCCGAGAAGTCTTCTTTACTAGCTCTTGTATAATTACAATCATTCCAGGTTAGTTTATCGTTTATCGTTAATCCAAGTAACTTTGCACTTCTTGTCCTCATAATAGGATCCCTGTCTGTAAAACTAGTTGGAAATTGCGGATGGTGTGAGCGGCCAAAACTGATGACTAGTTCTTTTGTCTTGTCACAGAACAGTTGCAATAGATTCTCCTTTGACCAAGTGTTAACTTGGTCTACTGCTTGTTGCATGCGCTTGGCTTAGTTGGTTTTTGATATTTTCGGACACTGTAGTATCGTCTACGTATTTCCACATGTTAAAAATATCGGAAACAGACAAGTCGATAGTCACGAGAAGGAACAACCACGAACCACGGCCCCAGCTTGGTTCTCTGGGGGACACCAGCTGGGACGTTTCCCCAGGCTGATAAGCAATCGTCGCCAAGTTATACTTACTAGTATCAAGTTTGCTAATCATAATCTAAGTAGACACATCCTTGAAATTCTATATTTGTCTCATAATGTGAATTGGGACTTGAACCCAATGACACCCAAATGTCTCTCTAAAGGGTCACATGAAAAATAGTGGTGTTCGTGAGTGTATACCAAAAAAGATCATGAGAGCTGTGACTAGAAACCAGATAATTTGCTGTTTGGAGAGGAAGGGCAGGAATTTCGCTCCAAATCTTGACAATTTTAGGGTGAACTAGTCAAGACTTGTCTAGTCAGCCAATTCCGAAACGAATCTCTGGTGCAAATAGAAAGTACCCATAAGATTACTAAACTTTTCCTGGTTTTCCATATATATTTTAGAAATGGCCTAAATTGGTGTAAAAGCTTCACAATGTCAATCTTGGAGTAATTTACGGTTATATTACAGGGTTTTTTCTGTGAAAATTAATACAAGTTGCTATAAATTACTATATAGTCATTCACAAGTAGCTATTAATTACGATAAACTAGACTAGCTAGCCTCATAATCGAAACTGTCGTTGCGAAAATCTGCCATGACACCGAAGTTCCATAAACATTGAACATATACTGACGGTAAAACACTATAAGACATAGCTGTGACCCTTTGCATGCCACCATCAAAGGGAAACAAAGTGTTAAAAACGTATTTAAATCACTTTTACCAGCATTGCCAAAGTAAAATTGCTGAATCGTCTTATTTTGATCGAAATTCAAGTGTTAGACTTCCAAGGTATCCCAGTGCTCTTCTTTTCGGTGTACTGACACAAACGACAGGGAAAATTAATGCCGAAATATCAGAAAATTTTAAGATCAAATTCACTGTGAATTCTCATCCTGAGTGACTGTAATGCCTACAATAACCTAGAAGTTTAGATTTAATGTTTAGATTTAACATTAAGTTTGGTTTTAAGATTTATCGGTGATCCTAACCTGGTTTTTTGCGCATCTTAAGTTGAACGTTTATACTGCAAACATTTCAGCCAAAAAGGATGGAATTCACAGTGAAGATCAATGGCCGAAAATATACCATGCATGCATGCATTTTTGCTTGGTGTTGAGCACTGGAATTAAATTGTTACAAACAGTTGCGAAATAAAAAGCTGTGAATTATATACTTTTCACAGTAAAATATGCACCTAATATTATGATATTGTGTACAGCAAATGTCTACACATTTTACCGTCATTTAGGTTCGCCGTTATAATCTAAAACGTCCAGAGTTCTTTCATTATGATGTCGAAGACTTGAAGTGGAAAATACATTGCGTAAAAACCAGGACTCAGGTGGCACGAAAAGGCTTCGAGGAACCGCCGTTTACAAACAACACGCTCACACATTCTGCATCGGAAGAAATTCGCCATGTTGATACTATAAAAAAAATGAATATTTATACCACAACACATCACTACTGCTTCATATAGTGCAAAGTTCATAAAACCGCAAGGGGCCCCCAGTGAGACAAAAATACGTAGATTCAACGATATTTACCGTTTGTTTATGTGTTTCAAATGCCTTTCCAACGAAGACTTCACATCAGCTTCTTGAATAACGTATCCAGCACGAATAGGTCATTCTTTCTCAACCATCTCTTCACGACAATCTCTTTCCTCAGGTCTAGACTAGGCTTTTATCAGTTGGAAGATTCTTCTACTCCAAGTCTTAATGCCGTGGCTCTTATTTCAGCATCGCAGACGTCAATCTGAAAAAGATGTTAGTAACCTTACCTTGAGGCTAAACCTTACCCCTGAAACGAGACAATAGTAATATGACATAGGGAGTTAGAACCTAAAATGGAATGGTTAGTAAGACAATTAACTACTCTAGAAAAGAGACAAAAATAGTATGAAATATGTTAGTACCCTAAATAAGAGAACGGGGCTGTTAGTATTCGCCTAAAAAATGGTGTTAGTATTCTAAAGAAGAAAATGGTGTTAGTATCCTAAATAGGAGAAAATGGTGTTAGTATTCTAAATAAGAGGAAATGTTGTTAGTGTTCTAAAGAAGAAATGTTGTTAGTATTCTAAAAAAGAGAGAATGTTGTTAGTATTCTAAATAAGAGGAAATGGTGTTAGTATTCTAAAAAAGGAAATTTTGGTTAGTATTCTAAAAGTTTCAAGTCAACTATATTTACCGTTTGATGTGTTTCAAACGCCTTTCCAATAAAGACTTCACATCAGCTTCTTGAATAACGGAATACGTATCCAATACGAACAGGTCATTCTTTCTCAACCATCTCTTCACGACAATCTCTTTCCTCATGTCTAGACTAGGCTTTTATCAGTTGGAAGATTCTTCTACTCCAAGTCTTAATGCCGTGGCTCTTATTTCAGCATCGCAGACGTCAATCTGAAAAAGATGTTAGTAACCTTACCTTGAGGCTAATCATCACCCCTGAAACGAGACAATAGTAATATGACATAGGGAGTTAGTAACCTAAAATAGAATGGTTAGTAAGACTATTAACTACTCTAGAAAAGAGACAAAAATAGTATGAAATATGTTAGTACCCTAAATAAGAGAACGGGGCTGTTAGTATTCGCCTAAAAAATGGTGTTAGTATTCTAAAAAAGAGAAAATGTTGTTAGTATTCTAAATAAGAGGAAATGGTGTTAGTATTCTAAAAAAGAAAAATTTGGTTAGTATTCTAAAAGAGAAAATGGTGTTAGTATTCTAAAAAAAATAGGGGTTAGTGTTCTAAAAGAGAAGATGGTGTTAGTTTCCTGAAAAGCGAGTGTTAGTTAAAGTTAGCCACGATCGACGTTTGTGCCATCCATCTTCATAGCTTCAGCATCCTTAAACTACGCTTGTTTTACTTTATATTAACAAGGTTTATGCATATGTCCAGTTGCCTGGATCGTTTGTCTAAATTTTGACTACCCTGAAAAAAAAGGTGCATAACTAACTACCCTAAAATGGAAAGTCCTAGTTATTTCTAGTTACATTTTTGTTTTAAGAAGCCATATTCTATAAATTTATAGATTATGCTTTCTTTTGTAACTACAGTACTTCTATTAACAGCAATTGTTCATTTACAAAGAGTTTTATCACTTACTTGCACAACAAGTTCATTTAAGAACTCTGCTTTACTTACCATATAGCGTATTTTGCTATATTCATAAAAAAATTTGGATTTTTTTTTGTTTTTAACATTTTTTTACTTTTTTTTCCTCCTTTGTCATAAAAGCTTTTGTATCCATCCTTTTCTCTTTTAAAAACGACGATCCCGTTACAATACAATGTTCATGAAGCTAGCAGTATTTCCTATATTTACAAGTTCATGAAGCTAGCAATATTTTATAATTGTGCTTGTATTTACTTTATATTTACAATGTTCATTGACCGAACTTAATTATTCCGCGTTACGAAAATGTGCTTGCATGCATGTATTTACTTTATATTTACAATGTTCATGAAGTTAGCAATATTTCCTATATCCAAAAACCTGTGCTTACATTTACTTCATATTTACAATGTTCATGAAAGTTATCAATATTTTCTATATTCCGCAATTTATGGGGCCCAACCCTTTATGCCTGTATTATAACCGCTTATTGTACGTTTGACCGAACTTAATTCCGCGTTATGAAAATGTGCTTGTATTTACTTTATATTTACAATGTTCATGAAGTTAGCAATATTTCCTATATCCAAAAACCGTTGCTGGTATTTACTTCATATTTACAATGTTCATCAAAGTTATAGTAATATTTTCTATATTCCGCAATTTATGGGGCCCAACCCTTTATGCCTGTATCATATAACCGCTTGTGACCGAACTAATTCCGCGAAATGCTCGCCAACACAGCAATACTGCAAGTTATATAGTAGGTATAAAAAGTCCGGATAGTGCAAAGTTTGTCAAAAATTCCTAAGGGGCCCCCAAATACAAATAAGACACAAACTTTGAAAGCCAGGTCATCTACTTCGTAGTCGCACTGTAATCGTCGAATCTTTGCATTGCGTCGTCGTGCGGTCGTCGTGCGGTGACCCTTTTTCGTCGGCGATATTTAATCCTCAATCCTTGCATGGCGTTGGTGCTGGCCATCATGGTGCGGTTGTCGTTCGGTGATCGTTCTTCGTCGGCAATATTTAATCCTCATTTTTTGCATGGCGTAGCTGTTGGTAGTCGTCGTTCGGAGATCGTTTTTCGTGGGCAATATTTAATCCGCATTCTCTGCATGGCGTAGCTGTTGGTAGTCGTCGTTCGGAGATCGTTTTTCGTATGCAATAGTTATTCTTCGTTTTTTGTATGCTGTTCGGTCGTCGTTTTTATATAGGAACGATCGTCACTCTGAATTGACGTGAGTCTCTTTGGCTCAGACGACACCTTACGACTCGCTTAATTCGGACCTCGTGTTCGAGAGCTGTTTTAAAGTCAGTTCAAAATCCTGCATCAAATTCGATTGTAACCCCAATTATTTTGAGGACAAAGCAGTATCGTCTGTGCGTAATTGCCCCCATATTGTTAGAATTGGTCTGGTTAAGTCAGTCGCTAAGATGAATTCACAGAAGTTCACGTCTGATGTGCAAACCTACAAAAAGAAATAGCCATGCATGTTTAGCCCTTAATACGAATTTTTCTTTCTGAAATGATATACGACGTAGAAAGCTATCAATGCATGCTAATTATTTTATTCCGTAATATTCGCCTCCGACACTTGGTCTGCAGATGAACTGAAAGGCTCCCTGAGATTAACTATGCATTTTTAATCCGTATTTCATTTCGGTATACATTTTACAATCTATATCAATCCTGGCTAATTCTTAAAAGTTTTTAAATCATTTCTTGTATATCGTCTTTAGGTGTGGACAGTCTACGCTTTTACGTCCTTACGGCCTTACGCGTGTACAAACGAACGCTGCTTCGGGCAGTCAATTTCACAAGTAGCTATAACATTTTCAATTTTTGATAATGCAAAGGTCTTCCCGGCCAAATTGCCGTACATAGTCTAGTTTCATGTTCTATCAGATAGGTTTTGACTCGTGCTTGTTTCATTTTGTCTGAAAAATCTTACTTGAATCTGGTTTAAAGGAGAATATTACGGAACGACATGGCTCAAATCAGTTTTTAAGTTGGATAAAACCATCAACAACTTAAAGCATACTTACATCAATAAATTAGCGGAGAAGTCCTTTTATTGAGATTCCTGGAGGCGATCTCGAATGGCTGTTCAATTTTTAAGTCATCTTAACGAGCAGCTCCGCTGTCAGATTTCTAGCAAGCAATTGTCTATTAAAAGAAACGTAAATTGCATGAATATTAGGAGTAATCTTCGATAAAGTATAACAGGACCAGCATTAGCTTCTACACCTAAACTAAAACTAACAGAAGAGAGAATACTCACCAGTTGATTTTGAGAGGTTTCCCTGGAGAAGCGAGATTGCTTTTTTCGAACCCTTCACAACTCGCATTTCGAAAACATCTTGTTCTTGCGATAACGTATTCTTGTCAAGTGTTTGAATCAGTTTTAGTCTAGATTTTCATTGCATGGGTGGGGAATCTGGAAATGCGTGTAATTCATTGGCTAAACAGTATCATCGGATCAAATGAACGCAGGTGATTGGTTGGATATTTTCAATTCACCAATCGACGGAGTGAAGTCAACTCGAGGCCATCAATATTACGGTGTGGAGCGCAGCATTTGAAACAATAGGTAATGAGAGATCTGGAATGATTATCTATTGTTCCTAATGCACTCGTCTCATAATTGAAGCGCAACGCTTAAAAAAGCCTTACTCAGTCGCGCCAATTGCACACAATTTAAATAAACCATTGCATGAAACCATTGAATATAATGTAATTAACAATTCCTATATCACCAGCTACTATGATTATGAGCTTATTACGCTAGTCATGCCAGCTTTTCACTTGTCAAGGAAAACTTGTGTACGATTTTTAATGTTCTGCATATTTAAGTGGTTGCTTTTTTTTTGGGACACCCTGTATATCAAAACAGCTATATCAAAATCGGCAGACTAAAATTGTACTACAAAAATCGCGTCGTGTACGCCAAGTTGTGTCATGCAAGGCAATCTTGCTCGTGGGATTACTGTGATTACGCCCATGTTATATTACTGGACACTGCATGGTGAAATACAAGGATTGCTTTATTTCTGCAGTTATGCCTGCCGCGTTGCATGCATGTATAGCCTAGAAGTACTTTATAACGCCATGCAGTGATGCGATGCGATGTTTTTTATTTGTGGCGCTTCCACTTTCACATCCCTTGTTATTACTCTTTGACTCTAACAATTACGCATTGCTTTTCAAGAAGAAATGCAAAAAAAATCCTTTTCAAGCCAAGTTATACTAGGGCCTAGACAGGCCTAGACAGAACATTATAGGCTTTTAGAGCTATATGTATAGCTCAAGCCTACGAAAGTACAACAGGCATGCAGGGGCGCTGAAACGATGTAAAAGGGTCAGTTTGGTGCAGGGCCGTCGCTAAAAGCTTAATTGGGGGGAGGGGGGTATATATTCATATATTCATGTTCGTACGACAGTAGAAACTATAGCTAAATCAGTCGGGTATTAGAGGAATATGCATCCCCCCCATGCAATTAAGCTTCTAACGACGGTTCTGGTTTGGTGAAAGGGCACTCTTGTAGCCGCGCATATACTACAGAATCGGTTTGAATTTCGTTGTATTGTGTTTTATTGTGTTATAATTGCACTTTTACTTAAGATAGAGAATGTATATACTCCCTTTAAACTGATGGTAAAAAAATATTAGTGAATATTTAGTATAACCTGCATGGACGATCAACTTGACAAATGACAAACATTTGACTAGCCCTCCGAGTGGAAATAATTTACTTTATAACGTCAACTAAGATGTCATCCAGTAACACAATCTACACTATATATTTTATATACTTTTATAAATCTATTTTTACAGTTAGCACTTTGCTATATCCTCACCAGACCAGAGAATGGGGTGATGAAAAGAAGAAAGGCACAATATATCGCGTTGTTTTTAAAGAAAGTTTCACCAGCACCAGCCAATAATCATATCGATAATATTGATAACGGTTTTTTTGACTGTTTTTCTTGACTATGCGCATCCAACGTTTTCAACACCCGGCCGAGGAAGTTCTTGCGGATCTTAATTGAAAAGTAATAAAAAATTATGTCGATATAAAGCAATAATGTCAATATTAATCTCACTTTATACCTACGTTTTTCACATTTCATAAAAGGGCAAATATTTATTACTGTGTTTGTGTAAAGCAATAAAATCGATATATACCTTGTTGTACAATCAGGATATTCATTGATAGAAGTTCTTTTTAGTTGTAAATATAATTATATAAACATAGTCTATTTCATGCAGGCATAACATTTATTGTGACAGGGATACTGTTCTCCACTGCTTTGCCGGCTGAATATTTTTTTGTCTGAGCTAGAGTGCTAGGTCTAGGACTTCATGCAACTGCCACTCAGCAGTGGGTTTGAACACAGAGGAGATATGGAATCAATCTCTCCTCTGCGTTTGGAGTTCAAATTTTATGAAGAAAATATACGTTGTCAGACTGCTGGGCCAGATGGGGAATTGTACTTTTCAATCTGCGAAAATATTTCTGTTTCCTGCTTTGTACAAAGCAAGTACAGTGTACACAGACAGTAAAACAAAAGCCTTGCATCTTGCAATAAGCTTTGTTCAGAGTTGCCACCTGATAGAACCCGTAGACGACTTGAAACTAAGAGTCTTATTAAGTTTTTAGGATCTTTATTTTTTTAAACTTCAGCCGTAGTTCGCATCAGATTATACTAATCCACTCCATCATTATATTATCATCTTTGATCGCTTGCAGTTGCAACTACGTCTACCGGTCTACGCGTAGCAAAACTGATATAATACAAGTTTTCTAACCTGGCACCATACAGTTCAATGCCTGGCACACGATATATTTCTCGCTTTTCTACCTAGTACGGTAGTACCCTAGGTAGCCCAAAGGTATTTGTGTTTTAATTATTATAATACAATTATAGCAATTGGTGTTTACGTCACAGACCGCGATATTAAACTGGATGGACGCTTTAGATTAAAACACAAATACCTTTGGGCTACCTAGGGTAGTACCGTGGAAACTGAAACAGAATATCAGCATATTAAATTAATCAGCCTATAAATGACCAACCTCGTACCCAGGGTCCCCGCGTTTAATAAATGACATATAATTATAGCACAGATCATACATATGCAAATTATGTATATATAAATCGGAAGTTTCATAATACAAGCCGGTATTTTTGTCAGCAGAAGTATCATATTCCACGTACGGAAATAGTTGTTTGGCCTTTTCCCAAAGCGATGTGAAATATAAACAAACGCCGCAAATGACAAGATGATTTTGCGGTGCAAAGATTAGCACGCTGGGAAGAGGCTAAAATTATGTAAGAACAAATACAAATGTGCAAGGTTGCATTTCGGCAGTTCATTTTCTAAACTAGATTATAAATGGGGAACATTATTCCTGTCGATAGTCGTAAACGTCAAGAGATAGAAGGTAAGACGAAGCGGCAATTTTGTTGTTTTTCTCTATATTATAAATAATACGGCAAGATCATGTTTCGTTTCATTCTATCAATGTAACCTTTGTTAATCTATTGTAAATACGTTTTATAAATAATTCAGAAAAGTTCTAGTCAGTTACTATTCTTTGTCTTTAATTGGAATATGTTTTAACGTTGGCTTTGCCCGGACCTATCTAGGGAAACTCCCACGAATTTACGAATGCTGACATCGTGATTTCGACTTGTCAGGCTTAGAAATATTCGTCCCGTATTTTTAAAGAACTGAAATTCACTATTTATGTATATGTATACAATAATTGTGTGCCGCAAAGGTTACTTCATGAATAAAATTATTTTTAAAATATGGGAAGTATTGGGTTACAAAACTATTATGCACCTTCGATTGTTTGTACAAGAAAAAATATCTTTTATGCGTGGATCCTATGACATTTAAGTCAGAATAACATGAAAAATACGTTTTTGGTGACCTTGACTTCAAAATTAATTTCCTGTATTAGAAATGGGCAAATGGCCTTATCTTGCAAGAAATTATTGCAAAACTGAAGTGCTTCTCTTACAATTTGGAATCAAATATCAGATACCTCCTTTACCTATTGTTCAAAATGACCTTTACCATTATGTGTCAATCGAAAATAAGGCACACCTATTATATTGTTCCTAGCTACAAGCTATAGGGAGGTCTTGTTTGCCTACCATTGTATATTGCACATGAACAATCACATGTCTGACCATAGCCCTGTCCACATGACATGCCCAACAACACATGACATAAAAAACACATGGAAGCTATCACTGATAATTTCTTTTCCCATGCTTTTATGGGGAAAATATTCATAATCATGAACATTTTTATAAGAGTAAACTTATTGCTCTATGTTACAGAACAATTTTATGCATATGAATTATATGTACAATATCAGGTGATTGAAGCTGTAACATAGATAAAGAAGTAACCATATCATATAAATGAGTTGATATTGACAGTTAAAACTTGTGAGAAATCTAATTTCTTCCTCAAATTTCATCTATTGTATCATGCTGTATGATGTGCATGCTTTCTTCAAAATTAATGACTAAACATTTTCAGCTGTTGAGTTCAAAGTACATTTAGTTCCCTAATGTCTCATACCAGCATGAAATAATTGAAGCATGCTGATAACATAATTATTAAAGTGCGTTTTGGTGCAGAGTTTAAGAGCTTATACACAAATTTTAACTCTCCAATGCAATTAGAATAAAATGATAAAAATGTGCGACATATTAATATCAATAATAATATTGACAATTAATTGTTTTTATAAAGAGAAGAACATGCGTATAGGTATGCTAAAAATAGAAAAATTCTATTAGTGGAATGTTTTTAAAATTTACACCCACACAAACTAAACAAGCACATGTTATTTTACTTATTTACCTAATTTCTGCAGGAAATTGGGTAACACAACATACTATAGGGAATACATTATTCATTGCAGAGTGCAGACTTGGGACATTGCTGTGTTTAAATGTGTATTTTTTTACAACTTTAAGAATCCTTTGCTGTCCTTACATGGAATAATCTGATTGATTTCATATCATATTGTACTAGATTTGGCAAATTCTATGCTAGAGATCTTTGCCGCAGAATACAGAACCATATATGGCTGTGAAGTTCTTACATCTTATGAAAAAAGTGATGAACAAAAGTTTCCATTTTCTCTCAAATTTTGTCCAGTAAGTTCGAGTTAACTATGAGAATCAAACATTCAAACTTAGATATAAACAGGAGTGGAGCGGTCTAGCTGTATTGGTTTAGCACAGCAGAAATACTGATTAATAACATTATTTTACAGTGGGAAAGAATAAATTACCCAATAAAGAAGGGTTACCTTACAAAACAAGGGGTTATACGAAAAAGTTGGAAGAAAAGATACTTTGTGGTTCAACCAAACTATTTGGTCGATTACTACGAAAATGAAGAGGTACTACAGGAAGAGGTCACCACTAACCTTATAAATACTATTTACCAAACATCTCGTTTCTGGGCGTTTGTTATAAATACTGCAAAACAGTAGAGGCGGGAACCCCGGGATTGCTTTGCGCGAACGCCGTCGCACTGTGACGTCTTCACGACAGTCACACTGCATTAAACTTGAAAAGAACATTCTTTCAGTTTAATGTCAAAGTGTGATAATTTTATCATTAGACTGATTCACCCATTGCGTCACGGTCGGAAATGACCCTTCTACTTACCGATTGTCGGAAATTACCGGAAAATGTTGTTCCTGGTTGATGAAACAGTGTAGTGCTGTGCGCTGCCCCCCACGAACAACTGGTTGCAGCAACTTGTATTGCTCCAGCAACAACAACTGGTTGCAGCAACTTGTATTGCCTCAGCGTGTTGTTGCAACTTGATAACAGAATATTGTCCAATATAAATTGTATAATCACGTCGTATCAAGTGTTGTGGTATAATAACATTGCATTTCATGCAGAGTTATTAAAAAACGCTGTCACGATGCTCCTAGGTTATGTTTAAATGACGTCATAATATGCTTAGTGAACTGGCTTATGTGCATAAAAAAATGACCTTTTACATTTCAATTATACTAAATCTGATGCTGATGATGCCAATATTCGTCACATTTTGACTAATTTCGTTAAGACGAAGCCTTTCAGCCTTTCTTGCCGACCGGCAATTCATAATTCCCTTTTCAAACGAAGGAGCTAGGGTGCGGTGTTTAAACCATAAGGACGGCTTAGAGTAGTCTTGTAGGCTAAACGTTTAATAAATCTAATCCCAAATTTCTTCTAGTACTAGAGAGAGTGATTATGTAATTTTTAATGCAGGCATATGACAAAGACTTGAAGCCAAAAGGAACGATAAATCCATCTGGTTACCGAACGGTCAGTAATCTTGGAGATGAACTGGCAAGGAGGCAGAAAGACTTAGCAAACATGTTAGGTATTGTAATTCCGTTGACTATTGACAAACCTCAAGCAACTGCAATGGCCATTTATTATAACAAATTATTTTGGAAAATTTAGCTTGATCACGGTGGGAATCGAACCTGCGACCTTAGCTTTACTAGTCCTTATGCGCTTCCAACCTGGGCTATTACTAGTCAAGACAGTTCAAATATGTGAGATCTCAGAAATTAATTGATTAATCTATAGCCTTGTCCAGCTGGTTACTTCAACTTGCATAGTTGGTTACTCAGGCTAGCACCATGACATTATCAATTCACCTAAGTCACACACACAATTATCTTAATATTTTTTCGTCCACAAATCAGACCATTGTGGAATATCATTTCATATACAACGAATACAACGAATTGATTTGTTTTAATTTAGGTGTTGATCAACAGGACTCTCCAGAGAAGTTTCCAAACCATACATTCGGTGTTGTTCATGATGCATCAAGGTCTTATTACATCCATGCAGAAAGTGAAGAGGAAAAAATGGAATGGGTCCAAATGTTTCAGCTTTGTTGTGCGTGTGTCAAAGGTAGTTTGGTTTAGTTCACCGAATCATGCTAAGAATTTGTGTGAAATACATTTCTTACCTTGTTCCTTTCTTTTGTTATGCAGGATTTAACATCAGTGACCCAATCTGTCAGTCAACGTTTAACAGAGCCATTTCTAAAACTTTGATAACCTACGGTAGTCCAGAGCACCACAGCTATAAAGGACCAGAAGAAAAGGTTAGTTCAGGCGTTTTTCCTCTAGATCTTGAGCAAAAAACTTGACATTACTGCCTTTACTGGTTACGAAAGCATGACGCATGTTGTACTGAGCCGGTGACTTGAAAACTAGAACGAAACATAGTTAAGTGAAACTACCAACTATGAATGTGTTTCAGGTGATCTGTAATATGGTTACAACTGAAATTGATAGAAGATTTATGGCTGGAATATGTGATAATGGAAAAGGAAGCTTTGCTGCAAAGATTAAAATAAGAGAACAAGTATGCTATTTCCTAATCTTTTGCCCAGTGTGAACTGAAGTTGAAAGCCTTGTCGAGCAAGTGAGAAATGAACTACATCTCTTCATTCCGATCACAGGCCCAAGATTATCCCATTTTTTAGTTGGCATGTACAATGCTTTTAATTTCAATACGTTTAATGCCAATACCGTATTTATTAATATGCCAAATTATTCATGTGTATAGGTTTTAAAAGATGTGGATGCGTCAGTTCTGAACCTCGTAACGTCATTGTGGAAGAATCTCAAAGAAGATACGGTCAAAATTCAGTTAGAAGTTGAAACATTAATACGTGAAAAAGATCGGGAGATTGCTGCTGTTAGGCGGAAAGTGGAATGGGATATGAATGGTACTTAGGACACCTGCACTGATTTCGTATTAGCAAACTAATCCTAAAAAGTTAATCACATTTTTATCCTAACAATTAACAAACCCCTAAAATCCTAGCAAAAATTTCAATCGTAATCAAATACCAAATCCTCCGGTCGTATAGCTCTAAAAATCAAAATTGTATACTTTTTTATTCACTATTCTTAATCTTTACAATTTTTCTTTCGATCCTTCGCCCATACTTGCATACTAAATCAGCAGAGAGATAAAATAGTATATCCATACCAACTCTGAACCTTGAGTTATGATTTAAGAACGTCTTATGGTCTCTGGTCAAGATTGAAGATACTCGCTGATCCTAAGCCAAACTACATGTACTGTTGCTAAACTTAAACTACGTGCATTTTCAGAAACTTAATGTGATTATGAAATATCTCAGTATAATGTATACGACTTGCAGTAATTTAATTGTTTCTTGTTGGTTCTCCCTAGGAAAAACTGAAATGTTTCTTAAGGACGCTTTAGCAGATGTGAAATCATATTCCCAGCGAGTGTTTCCAATTTTGGAAAATTCGGTAGGTAATTTAAAGTCAGGAAGAGACTTTCCACTCTAGAATTACGCACTTTTTAATTGATGATTATTTTCTAAAATAGATGTTCGATGCTTTGTGTGAAGTACGAAATATCTACCAGAGAAGCGTTGTCGAAATCGGCGTCGACGTTGAACAACGCGAAGAGGTTGAAATACCGATCCAAATGGTAAGATGAATACTTCATGTTCTCTCTTGTATCATAGATCAGGACTTGGTACATGTTCTTGGACGAACTATCAGAGGCTTTTTTATAAGAAAATTTGACTCTTTTTTTCTTTGCCTATGGTACAAAGGCATCGTTTAATTATTTGTAATTATTTACATATAGTATATTGATTCGCTGGATATGTTGGCTAGAACACCTTCAGAGATACAAACAGCTTATAAATTACTTGATTCCATGGAGAAAGAGCTAACATCCGCTCAACATGATCTTAAGACGTTTGATGTTGCCACAATAATGCTGCAGGCACAAGAGAGACTCAGGCATGTCATGGATGCCTTGGTCAATACATTCCAAAAAAGATTCCTAGAAGAATCTTGTGGTGTAGAGGGAAATCAAAAACACAAACAGCTGCGCTCTCTGATTGAAGAAATCGATGATGAAGTTGCAAATGTATGGGACTTGTACATTAATTTTTCCTATTTGTAAGAGCTACAGCCTTCAGGGCTTAAGATGAAAGTAAGCACAGGCCACCAGAACCAAGACAGATCATGTACACTATTGCGTTTAAAAAACCTCCAGTGAAAAAGTGAATAGAAAAGACTTGTATTGAAGGAGTGCAGTAATTATTCTTTGTAAGCAGTATGATAATAACGCGAGAATGTTCCTCCCAAAAAGGGAGGAAAATCTTGTCCTGAAACACGTGTTATTTTGAATATTTCAGAACTTTGAAAACGACTTGAGAGAAGTGATTTACAGTTTCAACATGAAAACTCTAAAGATGCTGTTTATTCCATACATACATAACAATATAGATGAAAATTGCAAAAAGGTAAGAATCTTGTAGCCATGATGATATATGATCGTGTTGGTGTTCCTAAATTATCCTTATATGTATCTGTCTTTACAAAGCTGGTGGAGTCAGCCGACGTCAGTGTTATCCCCGACCATTTGACAATTGTTATCAATAGAAGAAATGAATACAAGCGTCTAGTTGAAAAATCTGTTGAAGAACTTTTAAAGCAAGGTAACGAGTTTTCTTGTTACTGAAGATGCATGCATTTCATGCACGCGTCACTAAGTCATGTCAATTGGGCTTTAAATTACATCATATCTGGAATCATAATTTACGTCTGGAAATTCAAGGTTTAGTTTGTTGTTGTCGATAGTGTACTCACTGCTGCATCTGACATCCCATCTGTTATTATCATCGAATTTTTCTTCCAGTAATGAACACGAAAGACGAAGCCAAACAACGTTCCTTCAAAAAAAGTTTACGAAACAGCCGTCGTAAAACCTTTCCAACATTCAGCAGTCGACAAACAAAATTCCAAGATGCATCAAATGATCGCATGCGGAAGACAACACTTCCTGCGACTAAAATAAATGGCGTATTTAAAAGTCATGATAGGAAAGCTTCATTGACTAATCTTTTCGCATGCCTGCCAATTCAGCCGACACAGTTCCGAGATTCCGGCGTGTATGACGTCATTGAAGCTCCGCAAAGTTCTGAAGATAACATGCAAGAGATCACGTTAACGTTAACGCGAGGAAGTGTTCCTGCCTTTGGATCGAAAACGTAACCGATAGTTTTGGAAAGTTATCATAGGTTAGTTTTGAAAACGCGATTTTCATAAACTCCACCAGACTGTAATTATTACACGGATTCACAGTAGACATTCCTAATGGTAAACATTCGTATATTTATAAGACTGATAAGGCTTTTTTAAGAGACGCTTCCAATTGATCGTTCATTTGTAGCAACATTTTGGTGACCAGAGCTGTTTTTACAATTCACTTGACAGCAAGGCTTAACGCATAAACGGAGAACTGGGTACGAGAATGGGAGAATCCCTGCAATATAATGAGGCACTAAAAGATTGAGACCTTTAGCTTAACGTTTACGGCAAACGCCAAACTGGTAATAAACTATAAGGACTAGGTTCGCACGGGAAAATATTTCTTTCCGACCGACTCGAATTCGTCCGGTTCACGCGGTGAAAGCGTTTAAGATTTGACCGGATCTAAAATCCGTGTTTCTGGAACGTTTTTTTGAATTTTGAGCCTAGGTACCGGACGAATTGAGCACAGGCGTGAATTCGAGCGCTCTGGTGGCAACCTAAATGATTCACAAATACGAGTTAATAGGTGCGGCTCTATTTTGAACCCAGTAAAAACATGTAATGGTATAGAAACCTGTAGCATTGGATTTAGACTTCTTAAAAGAAAATATTGAATACAAATATAATTATATATTGGGTAAGAATATAAAAGGTAAATATTGGATAAATTTTACACGTTGTATGATAAATATTTTATAAGAAAATTACTAGAAGTAGAATACTTTTTCTAGCCGATATTATTATGTAATCTGGTTATTTATTTTAAATGTCCTTACATCCACAGCAGCTTATATAATATGTAATTAAGGATGTGTTCATATGCATTGATCAAATAAAGTTTTTCTATAAACGAAAAGGCTGCAAAAAAATTAATTTTTCTATTATAAAATCTATTTAACGACTCCGCTAGTCCGTACCCATCTAAATTATCTAAATGAAGTATCCTCATAGTCATTAAGAGCCCGCGATCTCAGATCCCCTTGCTTCCTGATTGGTTGGATTCCTTAAGTATCGTTTTGTGATTGGCTGTCTGTTTGGAAACAAAATTTGAAACACAACGAGAAAATCAAATTTGTATGCATGTGTGAAACAAAGGAGTGGAACATTTCGTTACGAAGCTAAGGATAAATTGTTTCATTCTTTTCTATATTTGCTGGGAAGTATCGGTGTTCGTTTTTATAATTGCGCATCAAATTTTTAAACAAGAGTGTTTTCCTCAATGATTTAAAGAAATTGCTTGGACGAATTGTGTTTTGTTGGTCGATCCATTCAGGCATTCACTATGTGGTCCCCTGATCATGATTCCAACGTATTTACAAAGGAAAATATCGAAGTACCTTCTACACCGAGGCATGGAAAATGGTATGGACCGTGTACTCCGCAAGAAGACAGACGATCGGGTTCGCCAAGGGAAAGCCCGCGTTTGAGCTTGACCATGTTCGCCAAGACTCCGAGAATATCATTTGGCAAGGTTAAAATTGGTTGTAGTAAAGTGAAACGAGTAGTCATTGACAATCCATTAACTATCGCCCAAAGTTTACACCTGGAAAAATGGCCAGACAGCAAGGGGTTCATAATTTTTAAGCCAGTGGAACACAAGGCTACATGGCAATCTAATGATTCCGATACCTTGGAACGTAATGTTGAATTCATAATTCCTGGAATGAGTGAAATGGATTTACCAATCATGTGGAAACCAAACGCTGAAGGCAATTATAGAGAGTTGGTGACGCTGACACTTGGTGATTTTAATCGGTTGAATCTTATCATATTTGGGAATGCCGTTGATATGACAGTTAAGACTAAGCCAAAGGTACTGCATTGTGAATATAGTATCAATATATTTTAGTATGTTACACAAGTCATACTATTATTTTGGTAGTTGGACAGGTTTGGGGTAGAACTTTTGGACAGGTTTGGAGTAGTAAATTACATATTCACGTACACCTGTACCATTAATTCATTGCGTGCACAATTCTAAAAAGGATAATATTTGGGATGAAAAAAAAGGTTTTTAGCTCAGATCAAATGCACAGGCTAAATAGCCATAAGTGTCATATTTCCTACATGTATTGTTTTGAGTTGATTTGGTAAGCTTTATGAATTATGCAAGGTAAATGCTTTTTCAAATGTGATTCAGAAAACTGCCTAATTTAATTATAATTGCTCTTAAAACACATTTCTATCCTATATATATGGTATATATACTTTTTTTTTTGAAAAGTTCCTCCTCCATCACCATGCACAGTTGTGCACAATCTGATGATGTAGCTATAGTAAAGAGTTTATTTTATTTTGTCACAATTCTCAGTTCATGTCAAGCTGCTCAACAATATTTACCACAAATCTTGAATTTTTCACATGCAACAGATGAAAACATTACTGCCAGAGGATATTAAGAAGAGTACAGTATTGTCATCTCAAAAGAGGAAAATTTCAAAGACAGACAAACATTCAACGAACAGTGTCAAATCAAAACGCATTCTTCGTGAAAGTAATAGAGGTGTTCCTGAGCCTTCTGTTGCACTTGACTTTTGTTCGAGTGCAGTACCAGTAGTGAAACCTGTCATAAAGTCTGAGAATAGATTGAAAGGTTGGTAGAATTAAGTTGCTTCACTGAACTTCTGTTTTTTAATTCATGCATATAAATTAGAAAAAAGCATAAATCCAGCCAGGTGATTTAATGAGACCTTCCATGAAATATTTGAATTGAAATAATTATAATTATTGATATATGGTAACATTTGATAGAATATACAGCCAAGAGGGTAGGTGGGCAGTGTCTTCAAACAAACGTCCTTACATTGAATGTCAGGCAGTTACATTGAATGTCAGGCAATGTTCTAGCTACCACACTTCATTAAATATATCTGATAACCTGATAAAAAACTTATAACCATTAATTCTATTGCATATACCCCCTCCCTTGTCACTAGTTCTGTATAACTGCTGAATCCTTAAACCTCAAAAACTAAAGCACTTTCCACGGCAGTTTTATATGTACATGCAGTATTACCGGTAGAGAGATTTATTATATTTTAAAAGAAGGCCCGCCCATTTTATCCAGTGTGAATTAAGGCCCAAATCAGAATAGCCCATTTTTAGCTATATATATAAGATCAAGATATAGCCATATGGTATAAAAAAATTATTAATTATACGGAAATAAACCTCCCGGCCAATTCATATATACCAACGGGACTCCACGAGTACCTGTTAATTTTGTATTTGATGTGAACAGGGAAAAATATCACGTCGCGAAAATTTAAAGCAAAAGTTGCAGCAAAAGGAATTGCTCCTTCGCGACTGACATTGACGAAGCACTTGACAACTGAGAGAAGCTTGCCAAGACATCCGTTACCATATGCTGCGAAAAATATGTACTATGATGAAAAATGGATGGAGAAGCAGGAGAGAGGTAAATGAAGAAACGTCAAAGAAAGAAAGAAAGATCGATGTGTCCGCGGACTCTTTTATTAATTTCCAGGAGACTTAATCTTTTTGTTGATGCTGTTATTTCGTTTCTCAAGTTTTCATGTTTTGTAACAACTATAATATTGTTTGTTAATTAAGGCTTCGTTCAATGGCTGAATCACGTTTTGACTCCTCCAGACGAGCTTGTTGTGTCAGGTAAGGGAAGCCGGGTTATACATAACAGCTGCTGTAATCTATAATTATTAGTTTTTTTATATTTATATCGCCATTCGGTGGAATATGTTCTCCTATAATTCCTATCTCCGATTTTTATGTGTAGACTGTAGCGTTTTCTATGAAGCTCCGTACGTCAAGATAGTGATTTTTTCAACCGTTGTGAAAACGCTTGAAAGATTTGGGGCTTATAACAGTTATTGTACAACGAGAATCCCCAATTTGGGAACACTTATAAGACAATCTTAGAGCTAATATTGGAAAAATCGGGGGGATAAAGTTTAATAAGCCGTGCATAACACGTTTTGGTCTTTCAGAGCATGGTAACGTCTAAAGTTTTAAATACTTTCGTTTCGTTAGAAGGTTCGTGCATATTTTCTCCTTATGAAACAACAAAAGATGGTGAACAGCATCTTGCACCAACAAAAGAAGTGTTGTCGTTACGTGCTTATACAGCAAAACGAAAGATGGCCCGACTAAGACGCAGTGCTTGTCTTCTATATCAGTCGCCGCCAATTGCGATGGTCGCCAAGACAATAGAGGGTGAAGTAGAGAGAAATAGACTGAAGATACGAGCCGATAAACATTTCCATCAAGATTTAGGTAGATCCGTGTTTGTTTTGTAAACGTTGTATTTCTGAATGCTATTCGATTTTCTTTCTTTGAATTGCGTCACCTGATTACTTGATTTTCAGGAATCAAGGAGACAATGGTTAAAATGCTGCTATCGTATAATTCACTATGGCTCCGCATTGGACTTGAGGTAACTGTTTGGGATTTATCTTAGTTCGACAAGATAGGTTTCTTTAGGACAGCGTCCTGGTGTTCTTTTTTCGTATTATAACACTTCAAATTCCTAACCTTTTAGACAATCTATGGCGAAATATTGACATTGCACTCAAATAACGACATCGTTGGTCTGAAGCGGTTCTTGAAACGACGTTTTTTGGCAAATCCCGATGTCTCTAAGGAATATCGTCACCCAACAGTTGCTGAAGCCTATCGTCCTGGTATTAATTTTAAAATATGTCATGTTGCTATCGCGTCATATGTATTTAGGCAGGGATGGGATCCACGGCGTTTTCATGGGGGGAGGATGCAGTGGCTTCCTAAAGAATAAACTTCAAACTTCCAGACGCCAGTAAAACGTTTGTCCCACAAACTTTTGTGAAACTTTTGTGGAATTGATATCATGCATATTTGCGCCCCCTGCACCCCCCTCAGGGAGGTTGTCCCCCAGCCATGTGGGCGTTGTTTTTTTAATTATTATATACATACTGTCATTCTCCTCGTTCAGGTTACTACGAAGCACTTAAAAAATTCACTTTAAAGAAGTTCCTCTTGCTAATTTTGTTTTTGGACAAAGCAAAACTAACACGTTTGATTGATCATGATCCATGCCTGTTCAATAAAGACGCTGAATACAAGGTATTCTATTTTGCAAGAGAGAACTATTTGCAATACCTGAGTATATATCTAAACAGTATTGATATAATGGCATTTGATTGTTTGATAAACTGTTTGGTTGATTTTCTAAATTCTCCTTTATAGAGCAGTCGCTTCTTACTTTTGTCGTTTTCGAGAGATTACTTGAAAGGCGAGGGAGATGTAACAAAACATCTTGGTCTATTAAACTATATTGTTACACACGAACAGGTTTGTATTTGCCACACCATCAACTTTACAATTCTCTCTCTTAGTTTGTCCCATATGCAATAAAAGATGTAAAACCACGTCCTGTGGGAACAGCTAGGTTTAAGGGGCTGTGGTATCTGATCTCTATGTATATTATTTGTAGATACCACTTGATGAGATGGACTACGCTGTAACAAACTTAGCAGTTGACCTCCGGGATGGTCTGAGAATAACGTAAGTTTGTTTTTACCAGTTTCTAAGCACTTTGCAATATTTTGTTAAACGCATAACTGTATCCTCAATAGGCGAGTTATTGAACTTCTGACACAAAACTGGCGCCTTTCTGCAAGTTTACGCGTTCCGGTCATCAGTCGACTTCAGGTAAGTCAAAGACTGTTGTTGGTAATTCTTCCACAATTCCAATGTACGTTTATCATCATAACTGTATGATTGTTTCCTCTTCAGAAAATTCATAATGTAGACGTGGCAATCAATGCGTTGAAAGAGAGAGGTATTCTTGCAGAAGAACTGAATTCAGTGAACCCCCGCCATATTGTCGATGGTCATCGGGAAAAGACTTTATCCTTACTCTGGATGATTATATTACACTTTCAGGTAATGCTGCATGTTTCTCCAACATGGGCTTTCTAAATTCTGCAGTTATATATGTATTATAAAAATCACGGAAACCGGAAAGAGTACCAATCATGTTGCGGGGAAAAACGTCAGGAATGATTGAAATAAACTGTTTGTTCTGTTGCATGCATGTAGGTGAATCAGGTTGTAAATGAACAGCAGATCAAAGATGAAATCGCATTCCTGAAGAAGTACTCCTCTCGGAGAAATCAACATTCCAAGGAAACGATGTTTGCTGAGCGTAGCGATGATGATGTTTATAGCAAATCAGAAAAACTCAGTTTGTTATTAGAATGGTGTCGAGGTGTATGTCGCTTGTATGGTGTCAAGGTACATGAAGTATTAACTTAATTACATCGACAACACGTGGCGTTAAATCTGGGTTATTCAACTTTTCATTTACTTTTTTCACTGTCGATGTGATTTTTTAGGTTGACAACTTTACAGTGTCAATGTCAGACGGTCGTGTCATGTGCTACCTATTACATTACTACCACCCGAGTTTACTACGTGAGGAAGACATCTGTCAAGAGACAACACAAACTTGTAATCCATATACAGCAGAAGATGACAGCATTGATGATGACAGTTTGAACTCGAAGGACGAAAGTTTAGCTTATAATCAAGGTAGTTTTAAAGTCTAGCTGTTTTCCACTACAGGTGAATTTGATCGTGCGAGGTACAGAATTAATTCAGCAGTGTGATTTTGCTCGCCAATTACATTGCCGTATTGATTATTCTCAGTAATAAGTTCCAAAGCAGAAAAAAGGCCAACTAAATAATCATTTCTGCTTCTCAATATAGACCATCCGACTCCAAAGGTTAGCCAACTAAAAGACAACGAAAGAAGAAATTATGAATTGCTACGCGAGAAGGTGAATAATTCATCGTCTTTGTTCTTTTCAAACGTCTTCAACACCAAGCATCCAGGAGCCACCATACCCTATTATTTTAGAGATCGACTGCTAGATCTTATCTAAAGGCTCTGATGTAACGATGAATGCAATATTTCTTCAAAGGTTAAAGAGTTAGGAAGTGTTCCTTCTATGTTGAAATTCACAGATTTATCCTGCACCATACCGGATGAAAAGGTAGTTATTGGGCTTTTATGTGACCAACCAAATGAATTGAACAAACTAAACAAAATTATAAGCAATATTCCCATTATTTATAGGTTATTATTACATACCTTTCCTATCTCTGCGCACGATTATTGGACTTGAGATTAGAAGGTCGTGCGGCAAGGATCATTCAGTTAGCGTGGAGGAAATATCGTGAAGGGCAGCAAGTCAAGGAAATCGAGGTAAAACAGAATATGCCATAGTTAGAATTATCGATTTAGGAATAAACTAAGAATATAGGCTTGGAGATGATGATATTTCTGGATATATCACAAGACAAGGAATAAAATAAGGATATTTACACATTTTCATTTATTATCTTTAGAGAAAGAACCATGCTGCCTATGTTATTCAGGTAGTCACAATCACCTTCCATTACATGCTGCTTGCCTCTTCTACCCTGGCTTACACTACTTTGATATTACCACCTCAGATCCAATCGTGTTTTCTTCGTTTCATCATTTCATAACTTTGTATTAAAATCTGGTTTTAGAAATGCTTCAGGATTTACATGGAAAACAAACGGCAAGAACTCGTGATACATTCGACTGTCGTCATCCAAGCGTACGTACGCGGTCACATAGCTCGACGCAACCTACGTCATCAGCAACGCGCAGCCGCAGTGATCCAATCATACTACCGCTCCTATCGTGACATGTTGGAGACCCGGGACGAGTTTACCAAACTTAAACGAGTTACCTTAAGTATGCAATCGCTATATCGTGGAAACATCACGAGACGCCATTTGAGGCGAATGGAAGCTGCTCGAATGATACAATCAAGCTGGCGTGGTTTCCTGGTTAGACAAGAATTTTTGAGGCAAAAACAGGCTGTTATTTCTCTCCAAGCTGAAATGAGAAAGTTCATTGCAAAACGGCGTTACCGACAACTTAAAGCTAATTCTTTGAATATACAGCGCAGATACAGAGCGAAACTATTGACAAGAAGAACCAGAGGCGAGTTTGTTAATTTAAAGAAGACTGTAATCAGCCTTCAAGCGATTTGCAGGGGAAATATGGCTAGAAAAGAAGTAAGAATTCTAAAAGCCGCGATTACTATACAGAAGTCCGTGAAAATGCGGCGTTGTCGTCAAGAGTTCTTGAAAATCAGGGAAAGTATTACAAAATTGCAAGCCATTGTGCGAAGAAACATCGCAGAAGCAAGGTACAAGAAATTTATTTTTGCTGCTGTTGTTATTCAGAAAAGATGGAGAGCTAATAGGCAAGGTGTTATTGCAAGGAAGACGTACAAACAGCTAAAAACAAGTGTAGTTGCCATTCAGTCACACTACAGACAGCATATCGCTCGTAAACAGTATCTTGATACAAGAAAGAAAGTCATCCTATCACAAGCGTGTGTCAGAGCTTTCCTAGTACGAAAAGAGATGAATAAAAGAATCAATGCTTGCTCTGTAATACAGAATTATTTCAGAGCTTACATCCTTATGAAGAAAACAGCGCAAGACTATAAAGAGACGAAGGACGCCTCAATCAAAATACAAGCCGCATGGCGGGGAAAAACAGCCCGTGAGTTGTTCAATCATCAAAAGTCGGTGATTATTTTAGCTCAAGCCCAGGTCCGTGGATGCCTCGTGAGGAGAAACTACTTGCGCACTAAATCAGCTGTGATTGTGTTACAAGTTCGATACCGTGCTCTAAAACAGATGCAACGCCAACGTCGAGCATACCTTGAAACAAGAGATGCAATTATAACGCTCCAGGCTGCACAGCGAGGTCGTCGTGTGCGGGAAGAGATGAAACGCATGACGACAGCAGTTACTCTAATCCAGACCTATTTCCGACGCTACATCGTGCGAGCCCACTATGTGCACTTAAAGCATTGTGTGGTAGTTCTCCAGCGGCAGTATCGCGCATGGACTGTTGGACGTCAAGTAGCTTTGGAGTACACGAGAACACGGAACGCTGCGATAGTGATACAGAAATATGCACGTGGAATGAGTGTACGAAAGGAAATGCACAAGCTCAATCAAGCTGCTGTGATTATTCAAGCAAGCTTCAGGAGATATCGTCAACATACAGCATATTTAGCATTACAAAGAGTTTCAACAAACATGCAGCGTCGATTTCGAGCAAATCTCAAGTTTCAAGCCGCCCGCGAGGAATATCTTTTGAAAAAGAAAAGCGTTATTCTGTTGCAAAGAGCACTTCGTACAGCGATTAGCGTCAGGCAATATCAACGGCAGAGACAAGCTGCTGTGGTACTACAAACACGGTGGCGAGCAGAGTTATGTTCACGTAAGGCTAGGCTGGAGTTTCACTGTATTCGAGACAGTGTTATAACAATCCAGGCTTTCGCAAGAGGTCACAAGGCACGTAAAGAGATGAAGAGAGTAAGAGCTGCAATCAAGATCCAATCCCTTTGGCGAGGTTTGGTCCAGAGGAAAATGTATAAGAAAAAAAGAAATGCTGCTCAAAAGTTGCAGGCCTGTTTCCGCATGTTGATAGCAAAGAGCAAGTACAAGAAGCTTAAAAACACCGCTGTCTACCTCCAGAGACTTGTACGAGCTAATCAACTATGTCGACGTCACACTAGGGATTACCAAACCACGCGTGCTGCAGTTGTCACACTACAAGCCGCGGTTCGTGGGTATTACGCACGCAAGGAATTGGAAAGAATCAACAAAGCGGCGACTAAGATTCAAGCCTCGTTCCGACGGTTTTTCATACGGCAGGCGTACCTAGAGACACGTCGGAGTGCACTCGTAATCCAACGGCGTCGACGGGCTACGATGATGTGCAGGCAAGCAACAACCGAATACCAAACCCTGAGATCCTCGGTCATATTGTTGCAATCCCACATGCGTGGTTTTATAGCAAGGAAAAACTTCCTAGAATCACGTGAGAAAATCGTGCTCCTCCAATCTGCTGTTCGTCGAATCCAAGCACGCAATAGTTATTTACAAAAGCGTAATGCAGCCTTAACGCTCCAGAAACGATATCGGGCCTTTGTCCAAGGTTCAACTGTAAGAAAGTTGTATCATCTTCAACGAGGTGCTTGTATGGCACTTCAAGCAAATGTCAGAAGCTGGATCTGCCGGCGAAGATACCTCGAGATGAAGAAAGCTGCTAATACTATCCAAGTTTACTACAAGGCAACGGTTTGCGCTAGAAAGCAACGTCAAGAGTATCTTCGATTGCATAAAGCTGTGCTTACTGTTCAATCTTTCACACGTGGTTGGTTTGCACGTCGTAAAATGCGCAGATATTACGCGGCAAGATGTATTCAAAGTTGGTGGCGGATGTACACAGTTCGGGAATGGTATGCCTATCAGCGTACGCGGGTTGTACGTACACAAAGCATTGTTCGTACGTGGTTATGTCGGCGAAGATTTCTGGCACTTCAAGAAGCAGTGGTTGTAGTACAAAGACAGTACCGAGCTAATCAGTTGGGCAGAAAAGAAAGAGATTTGTTCATGGAGATAAAAGGATCTTGCTTTATGATTCAACACTGCTATCGTTTCTACCGTCAACGTCGTCTGGTTAGAAAAATGCTTGAAAGTGCCTCAACTCTGCGGAAAGCGTCTGTAACCGTACAAAGGCGTTTCCGTGCAAACCAATTGGCGAAGTCAACACGACAAGGGTACGTTCTCCTACGAACCTCGACCGAACTCATACAAACCGTGTATCGTGGCTACCGGCAACGCTCAGAATACAAAGCATTGAAAGCCGCTACGATCAAAATGCAAGCATTAACCCGAGGAAAACAGACGAGCCAGAATTACAAAAGAATTCGTGCTGCAGCAGTTGTCATTCAAAGTTGGTATAGAGCTTGCACACAAGGACATATACAAAGACAAATTTTTGTGGCACAAAAGGTGAACGCTGTGAGAATACAGAGCTTCTACAGAGGTTTCAAGACAAGGAGTCATTACAAAAAGCTCAAACAAGTTTCTATTACAATCCAGAGTTTAGTCCGCAGAAACATCGCGCGTAAAACCTTTATTAGACTCCGAAATGCTGCTATAGTCATGCAAACAAGAGAAAGAGCTAGAGTTCTCGGTCAAACTCAAAGGAGTTTATTTTTGATGCAAAAAAGTTGCGCCGTTATGCTTCAAAGTCAATTCCGTGGTAAGCGTGAAAGGACACGATTTGTGCAAACAAAGAACGTTGTTGTAAAACTACAAGCGTTAGTACGCCGAAAACATGCACAAGTAGCGTTTCAAAGAGCACGAGATGCTGTGATAGTTTTACAGCGCAGAGAAAGAGCACGCGTTTTGGGAAAAAGGCAACGAGAAAGTTTCCTTGAACAACGGCACAGTGCAATATTCATACAGAGTATGGTACGATCTCATCAACAAAGGAAACGTTACGTCGAGCTCCGGCAAGCGGTGGTCACCACGCAGGCTCACGTACGTGGAAAACGAGGATATTGTGAATATCAGAAACTGCGACAGGCTGCGATAGTAACCCAGAGGAGAGAAAGGGCGAGAACACTTGGGAAAATGGAACGAGAATCATTCTTAATGAAGAGAAAGAGTGTCGTGTGTATTCAAAGTTGGGTGAAAGGATGTAAAAGAAGACGAGCCTACAAGAGACTCAGGGATGCAACTGTGACAACACAAGCATTTGTGAGAGGACAGAAGCAGAGAAAGAAATACAACAAGATGAGGTTAGCAGCTGTTTGTATTCAGAAACATTATCGAGCTTACAGACTTGGGAAAGAAACCCTTGGCCGTTATCAATGTATAAAGAATGCCACGATTACCATTCAGGTGAGACTTGACGGTTTTTTGTATTTCTAGTTATAGTAAGATTTTTACCCTCACTAGATATATAAGAGACAAATTAAAAATGAAACTTCTAAATATTATGTTATAAACTTTATGAATTTCAGAGTTATTGCCGAGGCCACTTCGAAAGACAGATGGTTAAACGTATAAGAGCGTGTCTAACTATTCAAGCAGCCTATCGAGGATACGTCATTAGACATTGGTACTTTCACTTTCGTGAAACTACTGTTTATGTCCAATCGTTACAACGAATGAAACACGAGCAGAAGCAATACAAAGAACTACGAAATGCAACTATTGAATTACAGCGAAGAGTTAGGGCTAACCAACTTGGTCGTAAAGTGAAAATCGATTACCTTGAAACACGGAATAAGGTTATTCTCATTCAAGCACATTGGCGTGGGTTTAAAGCCCGTGAAGACGTCGAACGAATTAAATCAGCTGAAGTCATTCAAAGATGGTACCGCGCATGCATAGCAAGTCGCCGGGTGTATACTCAGTTTGTACTGTTGAGAAAATCGATCATTAGCATGCAGGCTTGTTACCGTGGTAACATAGCACGACAACAATTCAGACGTGAACGGGCAGCTCGATTAATCCAGGCTCATGTGAGAGGCTATTTCGCGAGAGCATTAGTCAAGGTGGGTTTTGTATTGATACTACTTCCTTTACTTAGGCTAACACTATCATGTTCAACTAAGTGTAGTATAGCTAGGTGAAGTGGACTTATGTACTGAATTTATCAGGAGTGCAATCCAGATATTCATTTCCAAGAAATGGATTCTTGAAAACCGTGATAGGAATGAATTTTAGGCATGAATAAAAGTCCCGACTGAGACTAGTATAGAGAGTCTTTATAAGAAGGAATTGTAACCTATTTTTGACCTGCTGTGTGTTTTTAGAGACTACAAGCAGAGAAAGAAGCTAGATTGTTACGATTCGCAGCTGCAACTTATGCGAACCTTATGGTCATACGTTTACAACGTGTTTATCGCAAAACCAGAGCGATTGCTTTGTTCAGAGCTAAGATGGACCGTTTAGTTTTTCTTCAGGTAATTTATAAATACATTAATAATTATAATTTTAAAAAAATTGCAAAAATTATCACGAAATACAATGCCGGTCTCAATGGTAACACAGATGCATATAGTCCACTAAGTTCTGATCAATCACAAAATAAATATTTTTACGTCTAGCGATGGTGGAGAGCAAAGTTGGAAAGATTGTCTTACCTCAGGAAGCGGTACCTTGTCTGCCAGGTCCAAAGGGTATGGCGCGCAAAGCTTGATAAGAAGAACCAATCAGCAATCAAGATACAATCCGCAGTGAGATCATTCCTTGCTAAACGATCTGTCGAGAGACGAAAAAAAGCAATTATTACTCTTCAGGTTTGTTCGGGATAAGAATTAGGAATTGCTCTAACTTTTCCCTTACTGGAACATGTGAGATTATCTCAGGCTGTCGAAATATCCCTATGATGCCTGTCAGGTGATCGTAACAAGCAAATACCAAAACTATTTTCTTTTAAACAGTGTGTCTGGCGAGGATACAATGTCAGAAAACATTTCAATACGATGAAATTCAAGAAAGCTAGACAACGAATATTTTTGGCCAATTCTAATGTTACCGAGTCCATGAAGCTTTGCAATCTTACAAGTTCTGCTTTGGATTATTTGTTGAGATGTAAAAATCTCACAACAGTTCGTGAGGCTTTAGTTCACCTTGGTAAGATATTGAACACAGCGATTTCTATAATATATTATATATATCTTATTCATTAAGAGAATATAATTAAATGAAATAGGCCCCATTTTTAAAAAAAAATTGCCATTCACAGAGGTCGCATCACGATTATCAAACAAATGTGCTGAACAACTCGTGACGGACAGTGCACTTCATGTGATTTTCAAAGTCGTTCGTGATTCCAATCGCAGTCTCGCGCATATGGGCTTGATAAAACTCGCCCTGGATATCTTTGTTAATGTTTCTAAGGTAGCTATATATTTAGTGTACTAGCAATAATATATTATAATACAACATTTATAGTACGCGCGTGTTGATTGGTCGAGAAGCGTGTTTCTATATAACTGTATAGAAACACGGGCCGAACTTGACCAGCGAAGCGATATAATCAGAATTTGTAATTGAATCGAATTATAATATTTGTACGAAATCGTTTTATCGAGTTACTGATATTTCTACTGATATTTCTCGTTCTCCCAAACTCCCACGCGTGTTTCTATAACTGTATAGAAACACGGAAAATATTTTCTATTTCTTAAATGTATAATTGTGTGGGAAGATGTGGTGTGGAGTGGATGATGAGAGAGGATGACCATGATCGAGAGATGCAATTAACAATTTTTCATTTTAATCCATATTAGTGTCCTACTACAAAGAATGCTGTTGTGACTAAGGAACCGAATTCATTCGATACGCTGGTTGAATTAGCGTGTATATTCCGCGAGAAACATGAAATTTTTCTAAGAGTTACGAACCTTCTCACGATATTGTGTGGGAATGAAGAAATTAAAGAGGTAAAATTTCAAGAAGAGGAAATATTTCAATATCTTATTTAATTTGTTCAATCGTTTGAGATTTAAGAAGTCCTGACGCTTTGACCTGCATGCACACACCTTCCTAATCTCGCATCTCATTCTATTTTCAGGGCTTGCTCAGTATGGAAAAAGCCGTGAACAAAATCAAATCAATTTACGCAATTACAAAGAGAAAAAATGATTTTGAAAGGAAACGCAACACAGCAAAAGTCAATAAGCTGAAAGTGTCAAGTCGAAACCCAACGAAATCGGGCAATAGTACGACTGCTGTTAATCCGTTGTCAGCAGTCGTCAGCTTAGTAGAAACGTTAGGTTTGGATATGTAAATATGTTTGGATAAGAATGAACTTTTAATATCTCACTGACAATCTTAGCAGCAGCGAGGACATGCAAAGAAAACTGGTCTCATGGTTTGAGATAACATATGGAAAACTACACCATAGTTCGGATTAAAAAATCAGTCGCCATATCAAACTTTTTCTGAATTTAAAAAGAAAAGGATTCGCCTTAAGGCGGTTTTCCACCAGGCGGAATTTTTCGATCGAACGAAATTTTTCGCTCGATTTTCTTTTCAATTGTGACCGGTGAAGAGAATCCTCTACGGCGAATTCTCGTAATTGAAAAGAATATCAGACGAAAAGTTTCGTTCGATTGAAAAATTCCGCCTATAGTGGAAGACCGTCTTTAGACAGCACTTAAGCTTAGCATAAATCATTGAACTTTACTATTCTAATGATTACGATTTCGTTTTTATGTGTAATTTACGCGTTTAAAAAGTGATGTTTTGAACTGTCATATATAAACCTATATATCCATCGCTATTACTTTATATATACTTTATGTTTATGTATATATCTTATGCAACGACGTAGTCAAGGATTTTTGTACATGGTAAAAAACGATACTTATTGTCGGAACACATCAATTTGGATTTTTTTTTCAGTGATTTCGCATAAAATGCAGTACATACCAACTGTATAAATAGACAAAACACTTGACATTTCGACCTACAGTAGGAGGCAAAAGTTTGAGTCCAGTGACTGTATTTCTTTGTTTCAGCAGCATATATTAATATTCTACAGAAAACCTTACCGATAAGTGAACTAGAAAAAAGTAAACAAGTAAACAGAAAAATACATGCTGTACAACAACTATGAGATGTTATGATATTCATTTTTACGTATTTTAATGTGCAAACATGCATTTACATGTCATTGCTTAGTTCCCTCTTTTTTGCTCTTGAAATGACCTTTATTCTTGCTCGCATAGATTCCATAGGTTTTTTAATGTCACACGTTCAATACCTTGCCAGCATTCGTTGACCACTTGCCTCAAGTCAGCCTGGCTGGCGGGTCTGTGCCTCGCCCTCTTCCGGTTAAAACGGTTCTACAAGTGCTCCATAGGTTTTAGATCTGGAATATGAGGTGGAAAGCCATGACAACGAGATCACCAGAATGAGTTTGCTTCTAAACGATTTCTGGCACATAGAAGATGTGCATGTGCTTAGGGTGATTATCATGTAGTTAGACGTGCGATCATCTTTGTACCAGATGAAATTCCATGTCCTTGAAGAATTGGATGATACTTTTCTTTAATTAGGATCCTATTATATCTTTCAATATTGCCAAACCGAGCATGACCAAAGCAGCTAAAAGTTTGCTTGAGTAGGATTTAGTTTCTTCGAACCTCTCCAAGGTTAGTTGCATACCACCTTTTTAAATTCTCACTTCTTCTGCGATCTTACGAGGAAAGAATCCTTCAATACTTAATGGAACTATTTGTCCTTGTGCACCATCACTTTGCCCTTTTTCCTACCCATCTTGGGCAGTGTAAAGGAATGAGAACTTTATTTTGTTATAATTTAGATCATTAGGACCAAAACAGTGTGCAATTAATATAGTTTACAGTACTGAAACACTAGCACGCATGTCTTAACTCCAATACGCTGCCAGGATTTAATACTGGAATTCTACAACGACTGGACTCAAACTTTTGCCTCCTACTGTATATAGTATATATGAGCCTTCGTCACTCGTCAGCTTTACCCATTGTCACACAATCTGAGTGCTTTGAGAGCTTTCTAGCTTCTATATTCCTATAAAGGACAATTTTTTTTATTCTTGCTATCAATTAAACATGCTAACCTATTTTTACTTGACCATCGCGTTTAGTTTCTTAGATATATTATAGGAGTCGTGCATGCATGTTGGTAGACAAATGTTCGTTTTAGAGGAAAATAACCCCCTTTATCTGTAACAGTTTCTCTCAGGATAATGTCCCTTCGTAAATAACACGAATCGGGTGTTTAGTTACTTTAATTAAATTTGTGTTTTAGCCAACATCAGTGAGTGCTCGCTTAGGGACTACCCACGTTTATTTATCTCGCTGAAGTATGGCCATGCATTTTTGGCAAGGAAACGCCACAGAACGGAGAGTGTTACAGCACCTCACTGACAAGACTTAGCGAAAATTGTTTTCTCCAATTCCATGTTGCGAAAGCATCAGCCTTGCCTCGTACACAGCCGCTTTAGCAGATATACTACTTGAGAGCCTGGGTACGAGGCTGATAAAGCATGCGGTGGGCCAAAATATTAAACTTTGAACGGCTCTAAATTTTTTCTTTTTTAAAATCGAAAACGTCTTTCACTACACCCCGACACATGCAAAGCAGAAAATCGCAGCAAAAAATGCAGATGTAAACGGGCCTTGGTAAACAGCTTGCATGCGACTTTCGGTCTTTCTAAGATGTATTCCTACACTTAGGTGTATTCCTTACAGGGAGGGAGGGATGGATTTCAAGTGGGAAACATGACCTATAATTGACTTGAAAGCCTTTTTTTCAAATCTCAATCATTGATGGCTATGATCACTGAAGAATGAAGTGCTTTGTAACTTTGAATATTTTTTTGTCAAAAACAATAGATCGGCCTCGGTGGCTGAAATACGAGAACTGGGCTTAAGTGAATTTTTATTCACTGGGACGAGTGTCGCAAGAATCAAGTGAATGTGAAGCATGTAAAAATGCTGTTGGTGAAATGGTTGTTATTGCCAAAAACGTTGGTCGGATACAATAGACCTAATAATATACTTCTAAAACGCTTCCTCGTTGGCAAACATTTGCGAACGGATGCTTGAAGTTGAGTGTAATTAGTAGGCGGGACTAATCGCGTATAAAATTGAACCGAATTGAGAGAAAAACAAATACAATGATTTCAAGTTGAAATGAATAAAAAATACGAAAGATGCCAGTCCTTGATTCACGAACGAGACAACAGACGTATGTTAACAACCCAGATCCTGACCTCGTGGGCAAAGTCCCTAATCTCACACTGCAGGGTTTCACTGGAAATTCTTTGACCCAAGACCTTCTATCCTTAGGAGGGGGGCCAGAGAGGGGGTCAATTTTAGCCGTATAATAATTGAATTTAAAGGAGGTTTTCAAATGTTCTTTGTCTTTTTTTTCATTCCCACCCCCTGTTAGGACTGCCATATGCAAATTTTAGTAGCCCTGCTGAAACGTATAAGTGTTCCACTCGAAAATCAGCCTGTGTAATGTACTCTATCATTAAGTGCCCGCACGAAAGAAAAGTTCTGTTAAGAATCTCTCAGTAATACTGTGTTTAACTGACGTGTTAGTTGTGAAATTGTTTCTCGTAAACACGCATCTTTTCGTTCACTGAAGATATATCGGTATTTTCGCTTCATTTGTCACGGATTTGAAGGCTAACGGCAATCATGAATATGAATATGAGTACGCTGAATAGTACTGTATTTTATGGAACACATTCAATGACAGGTCATGGAACAGACTCGATGACTGGACATGGACATGGAACACGCTTGATGGGAAATGACCACTCTAGGACTATGGGAGGGCACAATATTCCAGGAGATCATAGTACGAGAGGCCATTCGGTAAGGTTTATTTGTCATTCGGTATGTGAAATTACGCTTGACCGCTAGGGGGCAATTCAGATTTACTAGAAGTCGCCTTGTAGATCCCAGCGCAGCGAGCTTGAGCGGCTGAGGTCAGCGTTTTTAGGGCAAGGTTGAAATGAATTAGACGCGCTTAAAAGAAATCATACTTCTTGATGAGGGGCTAACTAGTCTTATAGCATCCTGTTGCACACTATTTGCATATGAAAACACATAATTTCTTCATATTAATAACTTGACTTACTTCAGCAAATATATCTCGTACATATCAAACAATATCTTATCACCATAATAAATCATACATATCACGAGATTGTCTTAGCCATAAACTGCAAACATGAATCATCACAATTGGATTACATCAGTTAACACTTCAATGACTGTTCGAATGATTACGTTTCTGAGATTTGAAATGGTTTTAACAATTCCTTTTGTAAGAGCAGGGTGTATCAAAAACCTGCAACCTTTTGAAATTACAATTTGTAATTTCCACTGCATCTAATCTATTTATTCAACGAGAATATATAAATCATAAACGTATGAACTAATCTTATCAAAGGCCTTTTATAGTCGTTACCACCGTATGACCACTCGGTATAAAATTTCTACCCTAAACAAATCCTGTTGTACCAAGCCTGTTCCACACTATCCACCGGTTAGATTTTGTCTACCCCCGTGTAAGGTTTATAAACGGTCTCTTGAAATCGATCGAAGGAGATGGGAGAAATTACTGAAGAATATTTCGCATTAAAGGAGCCAAGGAAGGTCAAATTGCGACAAACAACGGTAAAGGGTTATAGTTAAGCCGTAAAAGCCGTTTAATTCTGAATTAAAGAGAATTAAATCTGAACACAGCTATCGGCGTCTTAATTACGTCAGTTGGGTGCATGAGTATCACAACTGTGTAAAATACGTAAGTAGTATTCGAACTTTGGATGTTTACAAACGATTGCCGTCTCAAATACAAAGACAAAGATCTTGAAAACAGACAACAAGAACAATTGGCTTAGGGCTTTTCTTAGCCAATGAAAACCTGAGATAACCTGTTCTACACACTGAGCTATATAATAATTCCTGGAGGACCGGTTCTTGACCAGAAAGTGAAGCAAAAAACATGGCGGATTTCGGCGTTTGCTGACGCCACTTGGTTCCTTTTGCTCATGGTAGTTACCACTGACATACCGCGATACAAAGTGAGAAATTGAGTCCGTCTCCCTCCTGGATTTTATGAAAATATTTTCAGCTTTCCGTATAAATATTTGTTTTTCATATAAAATGGATAAAAGTATTTCTCTTTTTCCCTGTTCAACAAATGGAAAGGACACGTAGCTTCGTGCTCTGCGTCTGACGTTGTGAATGGCTTAATTCACTTATCGGTAGAGTGAATTTTCTCATTTTGCTCTTATTTTATAACATCCAGGTAACTGAGGTAACTGACTAAACTGAGGTAAGCCGTTTTTCAACTTTTTTTACTATAAACAATTTCGTTTTTGGCCTTTCGAGTTGGACTATAGTATAAACTGATTACCAATAACCAAAGCCTCTGAGACAATAAATCCATCAAAACGTGTGGTACTGACAAACAGTCAATGCAATGTTATATACTCAAATTTTATCATTTTTTCTTAACTTGTGTGGGGAAAAAATTATATTCCTGGCAGTGTCAATCTTTTGAGTTTGGTCTATGTTGTTTTCATGATAGCAAACATCAATGCTAATAGGTAAACCATTCCCCCAGTGAGTCTACTATAGTCACTCTTCTGTTGATCCCACCCAGCATCAATTAACATGATCTGAGGGTGCTAATACAAAATAATAAGATGCTGTAAACAGTGTAAAATTCCAACCTCTGATAGTGAGCCCTGTTAAAGCCTAGTTAATATATTATCTTGTTTACCTTGTCAAATCCAAAGTGAAATGATCAATTATCACAGCTTTTAATTTATTTTTTAGCTTCTTGCACCTTGGGAATAAATCTTGATCATATCTCCATTTTTATTTTTCAGGATGAAGTTCATGCATTTTATGACTGTGCATTGTTATTCTTCATTTCCATGTTATCTGATTTTGTTGTTGGCTGGTGTTTTTATACCATTTGTGATATTAATTAATGAAATAAATATAAACATGCATTGACTGAGCAGTGTCTTCAATCTGCAGCAACTTTTGTAATTTTCTGTTTATGGTATCAACCTCCAAAGGGGTTATATTCATTAGGCTAATCAGTGCAGCCTATGGAGGAATAAATGTTATTCTTTACTATGACCAGGGGTCCAGGGATGCAATTTGAGAATGCTGAAAACAGGTTTATTAAGGTACAAGTTGATGACTTGAATGAAAAGTATATTATGCAAATATGATTCTTAGTTGAAACTGTATTCCTGCACTTAGTATTCGTCAGCTGCCCAGCATTTTGCCTGAGCTATGGCCTCTGTTTCTTTGGATTGTGCATAGATATAAAGTCTTGAAGACAGCATCACATACTGAATACTGATTACATACTTCCTGCGCAATTCATCAGTTCAGGGTTTAGAAAAGTCAAATTGTTGCCCATAAATTCCTAGTTGTCTTCAAAATATGCGAGGATAGTGCCAAAACATTCAAACATTTGTAAACTTTCATATTGAAATGTATAAATAACAAAAATTTATTACGAAAATAAAATAATAAACCTGTCAGTTCGTGTCAGTATTAAAATCTTTAGTTTGTCCACATTTTTCGATATTTTAATATATATTTGTTCCCGCACTGGCAAAAACAGCGTGTATGACTTGTATTCATCTTAAAATAAAACTTTATTGTATGTCAGTGCGAAAAATATCAAAAAAACAACCAAAAAACATTTCAAAACAAAAAAGATTCACTGCAAAAAAAATATAAAAACCAGGGGGGAGAATTGTTATTTACAAAAACCAGGGGGGAGAATACTGCTGTAGCGGGCTCATAATTGAGCCTGGTCAGTGGTAACTACCATGGCCAAAAGGAACCAAGTGGCGTCAGCAGAGCTTCTGCGGTTGCGCAGAAGGGCGAAGTCCGCCATGTTTTTTGCTTCACTTTTTGAGAAAAAAACATTAGGAGCCGGTCCTCCAGGAATTATTATATAGCTCAGTGGTTCTACACTATATGACCCTTGTACATGACGTCACCGTCGGCATCTGGGTTGTGCGAATTGCAAAAGCTGGACAGCGCTTTCCATTGGGTAGTGGTTTTATTCAACCGCATTCAATCGCTCCAAAAATTCTAAAAATTATACATATTTTATTTTAATTATGTTTATTCTATTTTCGCGCTCTTTTGGGTTCAAGTTGCTGGCGCCCCGAGGTCTGGGCACGAGAGAGTCCAATAATTGATTTTTGGATGCAAGCTCGATCCAAAAAAAATTATTGGACGCTGGGCCCATCAGCAGCTAAAATTACGTAATAAATACAGAATATTGAGAATTAACCAATAATTAGGTAAGCTTGATGTCACAAAGAATTAATGATTCTTCGGTTGGCTCCGAAAAATTATCGACCAGCGTTTCTAATCAGATTTTTTTAAAAGAGGAATATCGAAGCACTTTATAATTGCTTATGTAGTAACTCCAACAGTTTACAGATTTTTCATTATTTTAACTGTTGTTTTACCATTATTTTCACTGGTAGGACTGAAAAAAAATTATTACTATTATTATTATTATTTTCTAACTGGTAGTAACTATTTTCTCTGTTTTTTTTTCTGTTTAAATATTCTTTTATTCTAGGTGGGTTTTGAGTTCAGTTCAAAAGCAATAATTTTGTTTCATGACTGGAGTATTGATAGCATTGGAGGTAACCCAATAGACCTTATTATACATAATGACATAACAAGCCATGACACCTGCAGAGAATTCTGGTTTTAATAGTCACAGTGAAAGATTCAAACTTCAAAATTTCCTGCCGTGAATACTAAGACCAGAATTCCCTGCAGTCTATTATTATAAATGGGAAAGCAATTTTGATTGTTACTGTAAATTAATTGCTTGCAATTTTATATTTTTTCATATCAACTGAAATTTTATAAGAAGAGCATTCTTTTAGCTATACCCTACATTTGGCAGTTTTATTTTGATTTTTGATACCGCATGATATTTGCTCAATGTTATATCATTCTCGATATTATGAAGGAAAACTCAGAAGATTTAACATTCCTGTACATGTGATTGCCTTTATTTATCAAATAATTTATCACTTTGAATTGTGGCAAGCTACAGGGCAAATGTTTTACCTCTTAGATAAACCAGCACTTTCATTAGTATAGGGTACTTAAGTAATTGTAAATGTAATATCCTGTAACAAATGTATAAATATATATACCCTAACCCAAAAGTGCCTGAAAAGAAGCATTATAACTTATAAGCATATACCGTTTATATCTTGAACTGAAGTGACACTTTACAAAAGTACTACTGTACTAGTTAGCTTCATTCTTACCTCATAAAGGCGTTTGATAATATATCTTTCCATGACGTCCATTTGAACAATCTTTGTAAGCGAATAATAATGTAAAGCCTATATATAGTTCCTACCAGTAGCCAGTGGGCGATGTATTCTTGGTGGGTGAATTCGAAACTTTTGACTCGAAATATTAAACGAAGCACTTCATTTAAGCCACAATCACAGACACTGACCGTGTCCAATACTTGCGATATGAGGCGTTTTTTTTCGACCAGTTTTTTCTCATTCTTTAGGAATGGTGTGGTCATGTATCGTGGTATTCCTTATGGCCATGTTTTATGAAGGTTTCAAAGTTTTCCGTGAAGTCTTGCGAAAAAAACACTGCACTTCCGAAGATTACGACGTGCCTGGCAATAATACCAATGGCCAACTCGTGGCTGGCAAGGGATTTTGTCATGCATATGTGCATAAGGGCAGGTAAACAGCCTTGGTAAACAGCCTTGGTAAACAGCCTTGGTAAACAGCCTTGGTAAACAGCCTTCGTAAACAGCCTTAGTAAACAGCCAACTGACCTAGTTAGAATTGTTGAGACCTAGTTAACTACAGCTTCATTATCTCGCACGATTAGAATGCGTTTAAACTTTAAAAGAAACATATAAAATGAATATATAGGCATACGTTTTTTGATTCACCCAGATGTACACATGTGTCCCTTGTACGAGCACTCCGCAACCATGTTTAAAACTTCAACTGCATAAGTTCATACGTTCTATCTTTCAGGTCCTGTTACTGCAACCGGCATCATTTCCTCCAATCTTTTCTGCACATCATCCAAGTGGCGATTAGTTATTTCCTGATGTTGATAGCGATGACTTACAATGGATGGCTTTTTATTGCTGTGTGTCTTGGAGCTGGTTTTGGTTACTTTTTGTTCAGCTGGAAATTCCCAAAGTCGTTTGATGTCAATGAACACTGCTATTAATTTTTCTTTGGCAGTGAGCTGTTTTTCATCCATCCCAAAGTCGCCATCAGAATCAAATCTGTAACTTTTCCATTTTTCGTATTGATCATCAGTAGGCTTATAATTAAAGCAAATAAACCAAATCAATAAACATTTAATTTTTAATTTCGGTTAAAATATACACAAAAAACAGACACAAAAATGCTACACTTAGTCTTAGGGCCCGTTTACACACTGCGATTTTATGTGTGATCTTCTTTTGTTAGATGTAAACACTTGATGTAAACGTACTAAATGAGTGAATTGGTTACTGACTGATGTTCAAATAAGAGCTCTTAAGCATTCGTAACTTATTACTCATTCACATCTATCAATAGAAGACTGAAAATAGCACATAAAATCGCAGCAAAAAGTGTAACGAGCCTCAGTTGTACCGTCTCTAACCATATGGTGAATGTAATTGGTGCATATATATGGTATTAAGAAATTATTGTTTGTAATTTGTAATACTTTTAATATATATATATATATAGCCATGTGCACTTAGTAAAGTTTTCGAGCGTTTTCATTTATGTTTCCACGCTAAAACAATTGCAAACACCATCAATTTAGGACAGAAGTTAGAGCTGATCACCTCAATATTTTGTTTACTGTGAAACAATCAATTCCGATCCTATAGAAATGAAAATTTACTCACTTAAATTAAGTTAAAACTTGCACAGTGAGACAACAATAATTATTAGTATTTTTGCACAAGTGAATATAACAAATCCTGCATATTGATTGGTCAACTGAATTATGCTGTTAATATTCACCTTCAGGTGAATGGGCAAAATGGCGGCCGTAGCCGTTTTTTGGACGTTTTTTACAAAGAGATAAGCGAACAAATGCAGTTCTTGTGTCAATTCACTTGAGCAAAAATACTAAAACAGTTATTCGCCTTAGGCTCGGTGATTATCGGGGATTATTCACCTCGACTTCGTTTCGGTGAATATTCCCCGATAATCACTGAGCCTAACGTGCTCAGCGTCCAATTATTTTTTTTTTGATCGAACTTGCATCCAAAAAACAATGATTGGACTCTCTTGTGCCCAGACCTTGGCGCGCCAGCAACTTGAACCCAAAAGCACCGAAAGAGCGCGAAATAAAATAAACATCAATAAACTGATAAAATAAGCATTTATAAAGGCTTCGTTTTACAATCGTTTTATATACGTACGTTTCTGATGTCTTTAAATGTACAATAAAACAATTATTCGATTCGGCTTTTGCATGATATCAAGAATTATTCAGACTTTGGCAATGACAACGGTGCCACTGGCATTAGAAAGAAATACAAATTGGTTTTTATCTCAATGAACAACGCATTATTATTCAATGCAACAATAATATAAAACTGTTTGCTAACTCAGATATGTTCCAGTTGTTCACCCATATAATTCCAAGGAAGGCCAAAAAATTTCCTTCTGGAGTCGAAAGGCAATAGACCTTTTTCATAATGACGTCAAACGCGGAAAGTGTGATGTTACACGAAGTTTGATTGGCTCGATAGTTTTGTGGAGCCAATCAAATTTCGTGTAACATTAGATTTTCCGCGTTTGACGTCATTATAAGAAAGGTCTATTGTATCCCTTAAAATTATACGCTTTATCCGTTAATAAAGTGTTAGTATTCTTTCAATTCGATTTTGTTAAAAAGCCGTGCGATTTTATCACAGGTTTTGACAATATCACATTCTATCACATGCAGGTTCTAATAGTTCTAATTGGTCAATGAACAGGAAGTTATGAATTTTTTCAATGCAAGAAGTTTCCAAAAATATTTGGTGAACTGAATTCCGTTAATCAATGGACAAATATGGGCACATATATGACTCAAAAATGGCTCAAGTCAAGGCTCAAAAATGGCTCCTGGAGTCTCAGGACTCCAAAAAATTTGTGAACGTAAAAAATGCATCCTTTTGAGTTTTAGCTCTAAGGCTAAGCCTACTTAGAGATGACCAACATTAGGATTTCATACAGTTTCATACAGTCTCAAATGCAGAGGCGAGGTTGATTAAGGTAGGGTGTTCAATGGTCCTACATGATGTCATTAGGCAACCAGTTCTGACCGTAAACATAAGACTAGAGATCCTAGATACTAGAAATATAGTATATTTATATATTACTGATTTTTTTCAGGTGCAAAATGCCTTGAGAAGCCCACGCAGGCTGCGCTGGTGTTAAACTGAGGCCATTATTCATTACACATATTCATTCTGTTATCTTACGTGAACTAAATTTGAGAATGGGTAAAAGTTTGAGGGCACGGCAAATTACACAATTTTCGGGGCCACAAAAATTAACTGGGGTGTATTACTACAACCGAAATATTTTGCAGTCTGAGAAAGCGTCAATGACTCAATCTCAGTATAATACGATAGAGTATAGGCAAGTAGGACACTGAACAGCGAGTGGGTAAAAATGTTTTTTTGCTTTCAGCACGAGGTTGACTTCGCTTAGAATAACATTAATAGGAAATTGCACTTATTTGCGACGTATTAGTGGAAAATCACAACTGTATTTGTATTTGGGGAAATATCTATAATACCGTTCGTAGCCAACGTGCTCGCGATATATATTTATAAATATTTCGCCAAACACGGATCCGATTTTTCATTAATACTTTTCGAAACGTCCAGTGTCCTATACAAATAACATTAAATGCCATTCATGCGAAGTTTGCACGTATAAAAACATCAATATATAATGCGTGAATACAGCTAACTTGGGAGACGGGAGTAAATGTTGTTCAGTTTTTTTGCCTCATGATGATCAAAATATTTAGGATTTGAGGCTACAGCGACACAAGTTAAAAATTGCTTAAATATTTTTTTCAAAATTCTTGAAACAATACCCTTAGAACTCTTCTAATTTCCTATTTTAAAAGATAATTCCATAAAAGTGTCAGCACTGGGTGTTAAACCTTGAACTCTGAGCGGCGCGAAAAGAATGATGGGATGCTTTATTTGGTCCTGTCAGAAAATGTTAGCAAAATATTAAATAAAGATCAAGTATATAGATATTTCTGAGTCACTCTTCTGTCTAGTTCTTCTCAAAATCTCTAGATCAGCGTGTGTCAACGTGTTTGAAACAACAGCTGTTTAGAATTATATCGTTCCTAAGACGCTCAGACTTTAAGATTTCAATGTTCTAGGAGCAGATTTTTCCGAGTTATAGGTCTGGCTGTATCTCCTCGCAAAAGATATAACAGAGTATCTTACTCTCTTTCCACTAAAAATACTGAATAAAAGTTTTATATATAGCAAGATATTTAAGCCTGGTTTTCGTATATCTCGTGATTTATTGGAGATGGTTCTTATTGGTGGGTGATCACCGCTTTGATGCATATAGAATGCTTTGTCAATCTAAAATATTGATCACCTGGGTCCTGGGACCAGTTGTATAAAAGACTAGTTAACTTTTAACTGTAGTTAAGGACAGAATTGGCCAATCAGAGTTGTGTATACGTATTTCTGAGTTAACTAGGATTCAACGATGCAAAATGTAGTTAAAGACTTTTATACAACCGGCCCCAGATAGTATAGATATTCAAAAAGTAGTAGAACGTTGCCGATGACGAATTACGACAAATGAAAACCAAGCTATAGAAAGTGAGTTTGATAGATTTTGTACGTCTAGTCCCGCCTCGGCATCATTCAAAATTCATCTCTATAAAATTTCAAATGCCTCGATAGCAACACGACAATTGTGTAATCAAGGGCCACAATCGCAAAAATCTCGCAGTCGTAGTAGTCGTACCTGCTTTCTTGGTCACTGTAAAGTTTCCCATCACTAAACAACTAGCCCCAAAGCCAGTAATATATAAAGACTTCCCAAAAGTTTATATTAAGATTTTTTTATAACTAATGGCATCAATATAAGTTACGCAAGCAACAACGTCACTACGTCACGTATGAACACTTAAAGATTATAAAATTAAAGTATTAAAAGAGGGAAAATTTTGCAGGCAGCAACTGATGCGTGTAAAGCAGAAGTATTATACAATGTCAAAGGTCGCGCGCATTTAAATAAGAAAACTAACAGATGACTGAGCTGGCAGGTCGTGTGGACTGTGTTTTCTTTACCCTAGCATTGTACCAGGTGAGTCAACTGTCCTTAAGAATCTTGTTTACTCAATGATGAAATTTTCGAATAACGTATAGTCATATTCGTGTTATCAAGGAATTATCAGAATGTTAAAAGTTTCTTTTGTTGTTTTTTTTTCATTAAAATATGACCTACTCGATTAATCAAACATCGTGTTGTTTACACTGGCATCAAAGTGTCCACCCCCTGCACTCGGATATAACCCTATGCAATGCACTCCATCTTTAGTACCCACACGAAATAAAAGATCCGTCAGTCGAAAGTTAATTTGTTATACTGTGCTTGTCTTTGCTTGTTGATTGCTAAACGTATCTTTTATTTAAAGATATATTCTCTTTTCGCTTTATTCCTCAAGGAGTTGATCGAGGCTAGCGACGGTCATGAATATGAATATGAGTATGATGAATAGCACTGCATTTCATGGAACACATTCAATGTCTGGACATGGAACAAACATGATGGGAAATAATCACTCTGCAACTATGGGAGGACACAATATGCCGGGAGGCCATAGTGCGAGAGGCCATTTGGTAAGATACGTATATTTATATCATTCGGTATGTGGAATATAAACTTCTAGTTTGACGGTTAGGGCACAGAATACCTATCAGAAGTAGAACTCCTGTACTTTTTTAAGTGTGATGATTCGTCACTTAGCAAGTGCATTAAATTGAGGCAATCACCCCCCCCTGCGAATGTCTAAAATGACACCATTTTTAATATTCTGTGGTCAGGGGGCAACATAGATCGATTTGTTGAAATGCAGACTTGTTACAAGTCACACGCAGTGCTGATTCGTCCCCAGTCGACTTTTTATTATATATTTTTATTATATATTTTTGGTAATTTTAGAACGTGAGCGAAATTAAGATCAGTCAGTCAGCTGGAACGCGAGTAAAAGGCAGGGCGCAGTAAGAGAAGGGAAGGCGAGGGAAAAGAGAGGAGACCACATTCCCTCTTACGTTCTTGCGTTCCAGTTGACTAGCTAACTGATCTCTCAAATTCGCTTACGTTCTCGCGCCTCGAGAGTCAGCACCACTGAGCTATATAAAAATTCCTGAAGGACTTGCTCGCCACCAAAAATGGTCAGCACGTAGCGAGCTGGAAGGGACTAAAAGCTGCTTTCCACTTACGCGTTTTTTATACACACGTACACGTACGGAAAATTTTAAATGCTTTTAAATTTTTATTATTTAACATCTAGGTCAACTAATGCGTATACTATGCAAAATATGCAGAAAACGAAGTTATTTCGATTTATTCACATAGTTTTTTCAAACGTAACATGTATAAGAATTTAGACTTTTACTTGCGTGTACGTGCGTATGAAAAACGTGTAAGTGGAAAACAGCCTTAAGTGTTGATTTAATTAGTCACGTTATACATGCATGGTGAATAACTAAACCCTACATGCAGGAACACCGCCAACCTCGTACCCAGGGTCTTTACACGAGTAAACTCTGGGTACGAGGTTGGAACACCACAGAACTTGGTGTTTATGAAGCAGAAGTTTCAACCAAAAATCTAATCGCTGGTTCACAATTGTGCATTTCGGCATCGCTATCAAAGAGAAAACTATTGAATAACTTTAATAAGTTCAACTCAGTTCTTTTGACAACTCATCATACACAACTGACAGCTGTGAAATGGCCATTTTGATGCTTAAGCCCGCCGCACACGTGAGCTATTAGCTGAGCTAAAGACCACGCGTGGCTGTTAGCTTAGCAAGTTACTCTCGTGCGCATAGTTTTTCGTGAGGAATTCGCCTCGAGAGGCAAGTTTCTCACGTGTGCGGATGGTTTTCGGGCTGAGCTAACTGGATCGCGAGGTCGTTATCTCAGCTGATAGCTCTCGTGTGCGGTGGGCTTAAAGATACACAAAGTAATTAATTCAGACGATTCGTTTTTGCTGTGTGCAAGCTTCAAATCTTTTGTGCAAGACATATTTTGTTAAGCATTTATAAATCTTTATTCTCATTAAGTTTAAAAACTCCGCGGTGTCACATGCAGGCCCGTGCGATTTTTGCTGCCATTTTATGAGCGTGAGAGTTGGAGACGAGTAAATAATTATAAGTTACGGATGTGCAAACCGGGGGAGGCACCATCGTTCACATCTACCAAAAGAAGAAAATCGCACCAAAAAAACGCAGCAAAAATTGGAAGTGCAATGAACGTAGTATTGGAAGAATAAGAACGTATTTTAAAGTCCCAGGTCCAACTAAGTTAAAAAAGTTGCACAGATAATAATGCTATCATTGACATTGGCATTGGCATTGACCCTGTAGAGTAAAACAAAAAGTACAAAGAAGGAATATCCAAACATGAATTTCATCAATCAGTGCAAGTGTCACAATATCCAGGTTACGAGTGATTGGAATTTTTTCCGCGTGCCTATGAAATTAACAACCAAATAACTTAATAGCATACAAATACATATATTATACAGTTCTCCCCCAATACATTCATTGTACGTATCTATAAATCTTCACGTCAAAATCTGGAGGCGAAATATTATTGCTACCTCGGAGTAAAAGAAAATTGAATCTCACTTCCCATGATGCACTTTTCTGAAAGTCTAGCTCGTCGAGAAAAAAAATGCAAAAAAAATAGTTTGCCGAAAAGAAAGCTTTGACCTTGAACCAACAACACTCTCACATCAGTAAATAGTGATTTTAATTACTTGTATAAACACTTGTTTCAAATCACCCCAAATAGATCAGCAGTGCATGAAAGATAAGTTCAAGCCTGTCGTATATTAGTGTTTATATTTTGATATAGGTAATTGGAACCAAATTGGTTATTATATTAGTTATTACAAACGAATTATAGTAGAATGAAATCAATGAATGGCAGTGTATTTGTATTTACACTCCAGTATAACCGCGTGACAGCGCCTTCGAATTATACTTCTCAAACAAAAGTGGTAAGGAAACTGCCTGGAATCGAAAATTTAGACCCAATTAAGAGGGAAAGTAAAACTAGCACTCCTGGCGATTTTTGTCTCTTTTAGGCAGTCGCTACACCACATCACTTTGATTGAGAAGTATCCGTGTTTAGACTTTTAGTAATAGTAAACGACATATCATATGGCAAGATATGATAATTAAAACATTAAACTATTTACTTATTTTATAGGTGGCTTTTGAGTTCAGTTCAAGAGCAATAATCCTGTTTAGGGAATGGGAAATTGACAGTCCTGGAGGTAATTTTATGTCACTATCATTATTCATTTCTTTTGAGATTTATTGTTTCGACAGTCAATGAACATTAAAATATTAGCCACTGACACAATTCATGTGTACTCAATATGGCATGAGAATGAAAAATCGGCGTCTTTGGCTGACAGGGCCGCCAAGAGAAATTGTGGGGCCCGGCGCAAATTTTTTTCCTCGGGCCCTATGACGTCATGGTTTTAAATATCTGCGAGGCATAAAAGTAGTATACAGAGTGGCGGTTCTGGAGCGGGTGGTGCGGGTGGTGCACTTAGCACCACACATGACGTCATCGATTCCTAAATGTTTTAATTTATTCCGGCATTTTAATATATTGGAGCTTTGCCGTTCATTGCTATAGCAATTTTTCAGGGTATTTTACTACCATTTCTTTATTTACATGACTACATCGTTTAGTAATGTCTGGTTACTTATTTATATTAAACGGTAGGCAATTTCCCGCCGTATGTTGTTCTTATCGTCGTTCGTATGCCTGTAGTGATTTAGCGGTCGTTTGTTTACATACGGCCGCGTTTTATTTCTAACTGCTCCTCTACCGCTTATACCGTCTGCTAATCTGCAATCGATGTTTTATAGATTTATATTTGCTTATATTCTGTTTAGAGTCCTTAGAGGCTTTAGAGATCTCATGCAGTTACATTAATTAATCATAATTTAACGCTCTGCCAGTTTTTACACAATGATTGTGCAATAATTTATTATTCATATAAGTACGCGGGGGCGAGGAATGGGGTAAACAATGAAGCCTAATAGCGTAAATACGCAGGATATGTTTGTTTGACAGCAATTTACTTAAATTACACAAATGCCGGTTTACTTATCACACAACTGAGAATTTGCGAAGAGTATATTTTATTTTACTAGGATTACGCATTTGTATGTCAATATTTAGTACCATTAGACTAATGTTCATTTTAAAAGATTCGTTTTTCTATGTATGCCTTGTGATACAGTTCAGCTCATAAGTTAACCCTGATTTAATTGTCCTCATATATCATAATGTCAATATGCCTTTGACACACGAATCATTTCCATACATCAATTTTCGTGTTATCGAGTTACCCAAAGTGTACTTGCATGGAATATGAGGTGGAATATCGGTTACAAATTTTTTGCGATGAGCAGATGAGTACCTGCTCGTAACTGCTCGTCTGCTCAATGAGATATTTCATACCCACTTAAAATTTTTGTTGATAAAATGAAAATTTACATATGAACTAGCGGCCGGAAAGAAAATTTCAGACATGGATTAACGATTTTAACATTTATTTGTCTTGCAATTAGTTACAGCAATAAACAATAATTTCCCCTAAAACGTTTTCTTATTTTTTTTTTTTCGCTCGTTTGCCATATATGGTTTCCTTAAGAAAGGTTCGGTAAACCTTTACCGTTGGACTAAATTTAAAGTCTAATTATCATCATCGTCATAATCTTCACTGTCTTTATTTTCCTCGTCATCATCAATCTCGTGGTCGCTTAAAAGCCTTTTAATAAGAAACTTTCTCTTATCAACTGCAGCTTCTATTGCTTCTTCTGGCTCAAAATCATCATTTTGAATAAACGCATCTTTTGTGTTCATTATTTTCTTATGTACTGGATCTTTCTTTAGTTGTCTTATCCACAAAAGGCGCTCTAAGTAGATATTTTCTAATTCTTTCTGGAGTTTAGGCATAATATTCAAGTAAGCTTTCTCTTTAGCAGAGTGCTCATCGAAACCTCTGTTTATGAGGCGTTCTTTCATTTCCTCGAAAGCTGTGTTACTTCTTTGTTTTGCTTCTTCTATTAGTGGTATCCAGGGATCCATTTCCTCTCCAAATTCTGAGTCAGTCGCCGTCGAACTTCCAGACTGCTGAGTAGAAGTTGTTGAGACATCGTCACGGAAATCTCTTTCTTGACTGTCCGAGTCTGTTTGAGACATGTTTTTTTCTTGTTCTCGTAATGGACAGTATTCCTGTTCGTGTCTACGCTGATTGTAACCGCGATTAAAGTATCTTCCGCAAAATTGGCAGCTCATTCCCTTAGCACTGGAGGCGTGAAAATGCCTTGTTATCGAGCAGTAATGCAGTTTTATGAGCAGATGAGCATGTGCTCATGAGCAGTTATGAGCATGTGCTCATCTGCTCATCGCATAAAATGGCACCCGGTTCATTGAAATTTTTCAGGCCCAATATAATATAATTTATATTGTTCAATTTAAAAAAATAATGTCGGTTGCAATTTTTATGCGATGAGCAGATGAGCATGTGCTCATGAGCAGTTATGAGCATGCGCTCATCTGCTCATCGCATAAAAATTGCAACCGACATTATTTTTTTAAATTGAACAATATAAATTATATTATATTGGGCCTGAAAAATTTCAATGAACCGGGTGCCATTTTATGCGATGAGCAGATGAGCACATGCTCATAACTGCTCATGAGCACATGCTCATCTGCTCATAAAACTGCATTACTGCTCGATAACAAGGCATTTTCACACCTCCAGTGGTGAGGGAATGAGCTGCCAATTTTGCGGAAGATACTTTAATCGCGGTTACAATCAGCGTAGACACGAACGGGAATACTGTCCATTACGAGAACAAGAAAAAACATGTCTCAAACAGACTCGGACAGTCAAGAAAGAGATTTCCGTGACGATGTCTCAACAACTTCTACTCAGCAGTCTGGAAGTTCGACGGCGACTGACTCAGAATCTGGAGAGGAAATGGATCCCTGGATACCACTAATAGAAGAAGCAAAACAAAGAAGTAACACAGCTTTCGAGGAAATGAAAGAACGCCTCATAAACAGAGGTTTCGATGAGCACTCTGCTAAAGAGAAAGCTTACTTGAATATTATGCCTAAACTCCAGAAAGAATTAGAAAATATCTACTTAGAGCGCCTTTTGTGGATAAGACAACTAAAGAAAGATCCAGTACATAAGAAAATAATGAACACAAAAGATGCGTTTATTCAAAATGATGATTTTGAGCCAGAAGAAGCAATAGAAGCTGCAGTTGATAAGAGAAAGTTTCTTATTAAAAGGCTTTTAAGCGACCACGAGATTGATGATGACGAGGAAAATAAAGACAGTGAAGATTATGACGATGATGATAATTAGACTTTAAATTTAGTCCAACGGTAAAGGTTTACCGAACCTTTCTTAAGGAAACCATATATGGCAAACGAGCGAAAAAAAAAAATAAGAAAACGTTTTAGGGGAAATTATTGTTTATTGCTGTAACTAATTGCAAGACAAATAAATGTTAAAATCGTTAATCCATGTCTGAAATTTTCTTTCCGGCCGCTAGTTCATATGTAAATTTTCATTTTATCAACAAAAATTTTAAGTGGGTATGAAATATCTCATTGAGCAGACGAGCAGTTACGAGCAGGTACTCATCTGCTCATCGCAAAAAATTTGTAACCGATATTCCACCTCATATTCCATGCAAGTACACTTTGGGTAACTCGATAACACGAAAATTGATGTATGGAAATGATTCGTGTGTCAAAGGCATATTGACATTATGATATATGAGGACAATTAAATCAGGGTTAACTTATGAGCTGAACTGTATCACAAGGCATACATAGAAAAACGAATCTTTTAAAATGAACATTAGTCTAATGGTACTAAATATTGACATACAAATGCGTAATCCTAGTAAAATAAAATATACTCTTCGCAAATTCTCAGTTGTGTGATAAGTAAACCGGCATTTGTGTAATTTAAGTAAATTGCTGTCAAACAAACATATCCTGCGTATTTACGCTATTAGGCTTCATTGTTTACCCCATTCCTCGCCCCCGCGCGTACTTATATGAATAATAAATTATTGCACAATCATTGTGTAAAAACTGGCAGAGCGTTAAATTATGATTAATTAATGTAACTGCATGAGATCTCTAAAGCCTCTAAGGACTCTAAACAGAATATAAGCAAATATAAATCTATAAAACATCGATTGCAGATTAGCAGACGGTATAAGCGGTAGAGGAGCAGTTAGAAATAAAACGCGGCCGTATGTAAACAAACGACCGCTAAATCACTACAGGCATACGAACGACGATAAGAACAACATACGGCGGGAAATTGCCTACCGTTTAATATAAATAAGTAACCAGACATTACTAAACGATGTAGTCATGTAAATAAAGAAATGGTAGTAAAATACCCTGAAAAATTGCTATAGCAATGAACGGCAAAGCTCCAATATATTAAAATGCCGGAATAAATTAAAACATTTAGGAATCGATGACGTCATGTGTGGTGCTAAGTGCACCACCCGCACCACCCGCTCCAGAACCGCCACTCTGTATACTACTCATAAAGTACTTCAAAACGAAGCGAAAAAGTTTAACAAACTTTTTTACAAACAATATCAATGTATTTTAGAAATTAAAATAACAATGACTGTCACTCGTACTTTCGATAGTGTGTGAATAATAATAGTTAATAATAATTAATTTTAGGTTCTTTCTTAAGTCTGGGGCCCCCTCAGCTTGGGGGCGAGGGGCAAAATGCCCCCTCTCGACGGCCCTGATTATTGGCTGATATAACTATATAAGTTTATTCCCTCTAAACATATGTATTTCAAGAAAATTACTTTTAAATTTACTGCAGAGGACATATTTATCCTGCATAAAGGTTAGGCTTTAAACGTTCTCGAAAATTTACTTTACAATCGAAGAAAATAGCGACTCGATCGTTGGTCCTTTTTAAGTAGATCTTACTTTGCAGCGAAGATACGGATCAACAAGTAAAAGTGCAAGTGCTGACCCTGATCAGCAAAGAATAATAAAGAAAATGATGATGACCTGTATCTGGCCTGGGTTTCTTAGGTGTTAGCCTCTTGATGCATAAGAACTAGGGTCGTATTAAACTAGAAGGCTACGCTGCATGCATGGTTTTACTCTCACCATATTGATTACGTGTTTTGATCGACGAGTTTTGATTCATTTTCAGGAATGGTGTGGTCATGTTTAGTGGTGTTCCTAATTGCCATCTTTTATGAGGGTTTCAAAGTTTTACGTGAAGCCCTGCGAGAAAAATACCGTAATTCTAAATGTTGCATCGTGGTGAGCAATGGAAACTGCGTGTCTGGCAAGGTACCTCGTGATACACCTGTGTATCAGGGCAGGTAAACAGCATGTACATGTGCGTTCCTTGTACTCGACTCTGCTATTATATTTAAAACTTTATACCAGAACCGAGTGCTCCTACTTTTACATTCAGGTTCAGTTTCTGCAAGAAGCACCATATCATCCAATCTTTTCTGCACATCATTCAAGTTGCGTTTAGTTATTTCCTGATGTTGATCGCGATGACTTTCAATGGATGGCTTTTTATTACCGTGTGTCTTGGAGCTGGTTTAGGTTACTTTTTGTTCAGTTGGAAAGTCCCAAAGCCGACTTACGATGTCAATGAACACTGCCTCTAACGTTTCTTCGGCAAATTTATCAGTTTCCATTTTTCTTATTGATCATCATGCAGTAGGCTAATATAAGGACGTTATTGATTTATATAGATCTCTTATATAAAACTTATACAGAACTTATATAGATCACTAAGGTCAGCGATATGTAGTTCCCAAGCAAAAAATATATTTAATCTTTTACAATCACATCTTGATGTGGCAAAATTTACACAAGAAAGCTTTAAAAATTGTCCCACATAGAAAAATGTACCTATAACTCCAAAATAAATAGAACTAATATAAAATATAAAATATCAAATGATTAATGTATTTAAGTATCAATGTATCTTAAGCCTAAAATATATATATATAAATATATATATTTAAAAACGAGTATTCATGTCTGTTTATAACAAAACGGTTACGCCTCCCCCCTCTCCGGCACTCTCCGCTTATCTATGTATTTTGTCAATATTTTTCCCAATACTGCGATGAGTGCGATCCTAAGCGGCCAGAAGTCATAGCTAATATTAACTGCAAAACTCGCAAAATTTTATACTTTTTGGGACGAACTTGCAAACGCTAGACGATATTCAGTCGGATTTTGATTAAAATGTTGGTGGACTGTCTGACTACTGTATTCAAAATCGGAATTATTTCTGATTTTGATTATTCTTGAGTCTTATTTGGTATGTAGTAAACTGGTTGCTTTAGCAGTGGAATGCTAGCTACCAACCTCGTACCCAAGGCTTTAATACAAAGGTCGCATTGACTATATAGAGACGGCATAACTAAGAAGAGCAAGCACGCGTGGGTTCTTGGGAAGGACGCGACGGAAGCTTCTGTAGTAAAAACCATCCCAAGCACTCCTGCATGATTGCTCTTTTTTGCCACTGATCTCTTGAAAATAAGGTGAACAGGATATTGTTTATCATGTGAATCTAAACGCATATAAAAATCATCTTGTTGATGCAAGTTGTTTAAAACGGAAGTGATGGTTGCATTGTTAAAAATGGTTGTTTAAAGATTTAACCATTAAATGAATTCGATCTTTCAGTTCGAACGGATCTTTTCGGTAATTAAACGTCAAATATTCATTGTTTTCGACTGAGAACCACTTCGAATTAAACGAATTTCAAGTTTTATTTTCATGAGCTATACAAAGATTGCATCAGATAAGTTCAAGTCTTTATCTTTTTATGTGCATAAATATATTGGCTATAATAGCTTCTTGTTACTAGGCTACTATCGCTCTTTTGTAAGACGCTCTTGTGTGCTTACCAGTGGTGCTTACCCAGCATTAATAAGCATTCTCATCAACTGACGAAAAATTTTCTTACTCCATTTATGAGGGTGGTAAATGGGGGTCTTGATCACGTTTCACGAAAAGTAAAACAGTTACTTCACGATTCACGAAGAAAACGCTTCTTTGCCTTATACCTTTTGCTTGTACGAATAACTTTTGAACCATTTACGTTGCAGCTACTGAAGTATGCAAAAATACCAACTGAAAATATTGCCAATATTGGTCTATATCGTTGCTAATTTCCGTGCCAAAGCATGTATAAAAGACTTTATTAGCCGACACTGTACTGATTATGAGTGAAAGGTAAGATAAGAGATAAGCGAGTTGAAAAAATCACGTCAGTTCACGGAGCTAGCATGGCAGTTGAGATCTCGTTTCGCGTCAAATAATAGCGGCACTAGATTATCACGATTCACGGAAAATAATATAGCCGCATTTCACATTTCACGAGAGATACAATTATATTGAATTTCACGCTTCACGAAAATAAACTTTACACCCTTTAATTATAGAGAAATATTTTATGACTTTTATTCTCATATTTTTGCAGCTGTTTTGCTGATAGAATATTGGATTATTAGATATTAAAGTAATTCTTTGTTCAAACTTTGAATTGATGGTAATTATATGCGATGATCTGAATGTTATCACGATTTTTGGTTACCAGGAAACGGTCGGCAACTATAATTCAGCTAAGGTTCCCCGCCCTTACATGCAAAAACCAATATGAACTGTTAGCGCTCTATTTAGGCTCTTAAATTCACCAAATTTCCTGTTGGAGCAAGCACTTGGGAGTCGGGAGTTTTTTGTAAATCTTTATATTGCATATATCTATGTCTGAATAAGCAACCATCTATCATTCCTTGCGCGCTCAGAGTTCAAATCTTACTGTCGCGTATCTTAAAAGGATAACTTTTATTGAATTAGCTGTTAATATAATAATACTTCGTTGTCTCGTTTATGGATAGATAAGCCGAAAATGAGGACCTGGATCAATTTTCAACTATTAAACGGGAATAAACGCATCGAAAAATTTGGAAACTGTCCGGAAACACTATTAAACAGTTATATAATTAAGTAACCCAGTTATTATATGTATTAATGTAAGCCTAAAGGGTTTAACGATCTTAATTTCGAGTGGAAATCATATACAACTCAAATTCATGTCAGAAAGAGTTGAGAAAAATGTGTCACTCGCAATTATCGATCCTCCGGCAGGAATCGAACCAAGGCCTTTGCATGCAAGGCCAAATGAAATGCTCTGCCACTGAAATAACCGAGGTAGCTCACAAAACCGAAATTAAGACCGTTAAACCCTTTCTAAAAATTATCCTCCACATCGAGTGAATTGCCACAAAATATTAATTGATTTACCCTCTGGGATAATTTCGGGACTTCGATATGTGGCTGCTTAATAGAGGGCCGCTTAATAGAGGTTCGACAGATTCTTACATCCCGATTTTTAAAATCTACAAAAAATTAATTTCCGTGGGTACAGACGCAAAAGCCTTATAGGGACCTCCGCCTCTATTTTAATTTTAGAACTTTGTAACTGATGGACAAGAATATAGCAGCCCGAAAGCAATTATACCTATTATGCCAATATCAGGCCTAAACAATTAATGCTAATAGACTAATGAATAAGAGGAAAATTTTGCTCTCATGCCCTTACACGTGTAAACATAAAGCAGGTAGATTATATAAAGCTGAAGGGTCGTATTTCATCGAAGTGTCGTTTTGACTATACTTAAGATCAAGATGAACACTAATGACTGGGCACGTGTCGACCAAAAATTGACATCAATTTTCTTATTATTAACCCCCCCCCCTCCAAAAAAATATTCTAGTTATATTTGTGTTGTCAAGGGAGCATTGTAATATCAAAAGGTTCCTGTTTAACAACAATTACCCCACGTTTTGTTTGCTGCATATTACATAATTTTCCACCCACGCCACTCGGAAATCAGTCACAAAGTACCCATACTAAGAGCAGAATCAGAGAACTCGTCAGTTATCTTCGTTAGGCTTTACCTGTCGATTGGGATATTGTTTGTGCTTAATATATTTTTCATTCAGGAATACATCTACTCTGTTCATTGCCATTGGTTTAATTGTGTTTTGATCGATTGGAAATAAAGACTGCTGACGTATTCTTCTGCTTCTTTTGTCAACTGAATATTTGAAGGATAACGACAGCCATAAATATGGGAATGAATCACACCTCGAATCACACCACAAATTCAACGACTGGTCATAAAATGCATCCAATGTCTGGTAATCACTCTAATGGCCAGATGGGCCATATGGGCCACATGGGCCAGATGGGCCATAATATGGCGGTAAGCTATATATTTTTAGTACGGTATATTTTAATAACAGCCACTTGCTAAAAGTTGCGCTTACGAGTTACACTTACAAGCCGCACGCAGCGAGCTCGAAGCGACTGAAGCCAGTGTATATAATGCCAGGGTCAATCCATCTTAGGGCCTCCACAGACTAGGGTTTTAGTTGTCGACAACTATTTGTGATCGACAGCTAAAAGTTATCGACAACTAAGAAACGTAGTCTGTTGCGCAAGTTGTCGGCAACTAAACTCTAAATTATTAGTTGTCGACAACTAAGCAGTTTCCCTTTTCGAAAAGCGAAACTGCGTAGTTGTCGACAACTAATAGTTGTCAACGGCCTCATTTTTTGGCATTTTTCTAGTGTGTGAAAACCTTTGTTTTCGTTGTCGACTACTTTTAATCTCCGCGCTATTTCGGTTGCTAAATCAGAATTCAGTGAACGCCAGTGTGTGGAATCCTTTATCGGACTTATTTAGTTGTCGATGACCTTTAATAGTTCTAGATCACTAGTTGTCGACAACTACATCCCTAGTCTGTAGAGGCCCTTATAGTTTCAAGCCAATAACTGTCCAATGATAACTTCAGTTAACTGCTGGATATAGCACTATAGCTTTTAGTCAGTCTTCAGTTCAGTGATTTCAAGACACAAATCGTAACATTAGTTTTAGGTTCGTTTCCAGTTATAAGACAGCGTCTTCTTGTCGATTGGTTTTCTCATTGATGTTGGTTTCTTCAGTTCAATACGTTTAACCTTAGCTGCCTCGTCGAGAATGAATCTTTTGCCATATTATCATTCAACTGATACTTATAAAGTCTACGATTGAATAGATGCATAGGTTTGAATTTTGTTGACGATTTTGTATGTTTTTCCGGAATAAATTAAGTTAATTAAAATAACAACTTAGAAGGTTTTAAAATTTTATTTGCGTGTACGTTCGCGTAATTTTTTAAATTTTTTTGAACATAAACTCCATCTCTTATTCATCTAAAAATAAAGTGAACTGATATAGCGTGTCGAAGGATCTTTGTTGCACAACAGTTCATGTATTTGCCGGTAATATATACAGGGTGTATAAAAAAAGGTAATCCAACTGCAAAACGCTATTATTCATGAACTACTTAGTCTTTTAGCGCAATTGTTTCACATTCGGAAAGCTGATCAGGCTTTTAATCATTCATTTTAATCATGACACGTTTTCAATACCAAATGGAGTAAAAATTATAGTAAGTACGATGCCGATAAAAATTGATGTTGGTCAGAATCGCATATTTTCACCTCTAAAAGAAAAAAAAACAATTTAAAAATCACTAACATGTCACAATGTCAGTGGTGACCAGTGCAAGCTGCGACATGTTCGTGATTTTAAAATTGTTTAGTTTGTAAAAAATATTTTATTGTTCATTGAAATGTTGTAAAGTTTACAACATTTTATTGAACGGACAATTATCTAAGAAAATAATGATGGACAAATCAAAGAAAATCGTCTCGGGAGGCTGGAAGTTTCTTGAACTCATCTCGCTACGCTCGGTAAGTTTGGGCGGAACTTCAAGCCAGCAAGTATGTTTATCATAATGCAAAATGAATATGCGGATAGTTTATTTAAGATCGAAGAGAAATTCATCATGAATAAAGTATTAAAGTCCCAAAACCAAAAGGGAGTTAATTTTCAATGGTTTTTGTCCAAACTGGTCCAAAGGTGAAAATATGCGATTCCGTTATTTCTAATACTCACATTTAGTAGCAGCCTCGTATTTGCTAATTTTCTATCCATTTGGTGTTGAAAACATTTCACTCGATCGTTAAAAGTCTGATCTTTCCGAATGTGTAAAAAATTCGTTTATATCGGAGTAGTTAACGTACAAAAAATAATAGCGTGTTGGAGTACGATTATCTTTTTTTATACACCTTCTATTTGTATACCTTACAATCATGTGCTATAATTAAGATAGATGAAGTATTACAAATACATGGTTATAAATAGATTTAACAATAATAGTTCTCACGTGACGTGCACTATAAGCAACAGATCGAACACAACACGCAAAGTCGTAAACAATATTAGCATATACAAGTTACCTGCCAATTTCATATATCATTGTGCTGAAGGAAAGTGAACAAAATTGAACGAGTTATATATTGAGTCGATTTAAAAAGAGCACAAATATGAAAACGGACATGGGTATGATGAATAAAAGTCGCTCAGGAGAGATGAACATGAACAACATGCCGAACATGGAAGGGATGAACATGGGAGTATGTATATCTATATAATTTCGTGTTTTTTTTGTGTGAATTTTTTATCAGTTGGTCACGAAGTGTATAAAAGAGATCAATCGATCGAAAATCGAGTTTTTATGAAATATGTTTCTTTATACAAATTTAATACTCTATTACTATCGGAGTATAACAATGAGTCGGAAGTAAAAATAAGTTATTAGGAAGTGAGGATTTTGCAGCCGTACTGTTCGTAGTCCCATAGCAGCACTGCATACATACGCACATACAGTGAGAAATTTTAGTTGTGTTGTTTTAAAACATATATATGCTTTCGTCAGAATTCTCAGAAATTGATCAAAATTGCAAAAAAGTTTCCAAACATTCCAAACAAATTATTGTAATGTATGTGACTTCTAGTTGCCTTCCAATTTCTAATACTACGACACAAAATTTTCGTTCCGGTTTGTGGTTCTGGTATTTTCCTTCCGAACATAATTTGTCTATTTCACCGTTAATACATTGTTTATTTCGTAATATACAAGAGATAAAAATAGAAAGGTATCAAATATCATTTGATATATAGCAGTATTTTGGAAATATACTTTCTTGGTAATTTGTTCTCAGAAGCAGATATCGCCAATATTTTTGCGAAATTTAAAATATGTAGAGACCATATTAAGAGAACAATCCAATTATCAAATTCATCTATTTACTATACCTAAATACAATGTACAAGAGTACATGTAAATTTATAGTTTCAGTAGAACCTTTTCTGATGTTGTTGCATCAAAAAACCTGTATTTCAGTGAACAAATTGTGTAGTTAATGTGAAATTTTTGTATGTGTGGGTGAACTAAGAGCACCTGCAGTTTAATTATATAAGAATAATGAAGCGAAATTAAGAAAAATGTATATAATATACAGAACATGGTTTGTTCACCATAGTGTCATAGTGTCAATTGAATTAGGCTGATTTGTACATTAGGTCTTTGTGATGTGACATACAGTGTCCCAAAAGAACCACAACTATTGAGATCATCCATAACAATTAATGTAATAGTTCTTATAATAGTTCTTAATAATTTTTATGCATGATGACAGTGAAATTTGTTTGTACCCTCAAATGATTTTTTTAACAATTTACAAATGTAACAATACTTAATTTACAACTCAAGCACCAAGACCCTCAACATGCCCACATTCTAAATTTTTGTATTTAGCATTTTATAATTAGGCTGTGTTAAATCCCCACCAGCAAAAATTCACAAACTCAAATTTTAACAATAGGTGATTTCAATAGTTTGGGATTTTTGGGGACACCCTGTAATGACCTGTATGAGTAGTGTTTTAATTGGCAACTGGGAATAAAAGATCTTTGAATTGATTTGAATGACAAATATTTGACCTAGTAAGCCATCAGTTAATGCAACTTGCTTGATTTTACATTTTATTCATTTGGTTTTTCTACCTTTATCAGTAGCAGGTCTTCCAAACATATGTTATAATTAATATTATTATACATTATAGTAGTAAAAACAATTTGATTGGCTAATAGTTGACAGATAAATTGCGCAATCAAGCAAAATTCAGTTATCTCACTTTTGGCTCGGCTGATAACGTTTACCTCGAACTTGATAACTCTGCATATCACAAAAACCTCATCCAATAATTTTTATTATATATATTATATTATATTATATTATATTATATTTTAATTAATATTATACACACTTAATTATATACAATTGCCTTCAGGTATTATGTTTTACTAAATATAGAAATTATTTGATTATCTTGGCTAGTCATATAAAAGAGTAGTTAACTTGTAACCGTAATTATTGACTGAATTGGCTAATAAGAATTGTTCATTTTGGAAATAACAACCAAAAATGTGGCTATCAGTTTCTTACCCCTTACATATCAGGATTTTATTAATAAACTATAAACCTGATTTTAAAATATCATCAAAAAAAAGGAAATGTTCAATTAGTCTATAGAACGAAAACTATTTTTTTTTATTTTAGATGGCTTTCGAGTTCAGCCAATCAGCAACAATCCTTTTTAAAGATTGGGATATTGACTCCACTGGAGGTAACTCAAATGTGGAAAACAGTTTTGATTATTACTTGAATACTTCCAACCTGCATTTTCTTGCATAACCTATGGACTTCTATTATTCTATTTGCAACATGTATTCATTTTATCAGAAGACCACATAACTCATAAGTTATATAAGCTAATTCTTTCAACATGCATAATTCCCTTAGAAAGGAAAATTTTCCATAGAATTATTAATTCAATACTGTTGCCAGAGACGTGCCGGGCGGGAAGCGTATTCGAAGTATAAATATTAAAGCCCAATAAAGCACTATGTTGGGCTTTAATATTTATACTTCGAATCATTAATTCATTAAAATTTTATTTCCATTATAAATCATTGTGAAAACCTTTCTTGGTCATTTACTTGGTGTATTAATTTTACAACAGAGCAAGTTTCTTTTTAACTTTTAGTTAGTTTGACATTTAATAAATAATAAAATGAAAAAGTTAACCTTTCACCTTCATTAGAGTAAAGTAGATCATTTTTAAAAATAATGCAATGGTAACAAAATAGGCCAGGCCGTTCATGATGACTGATAAATTTTTACCTTTGTAAAATGGAAAACTATTAAATATTTCTGCCTTAATAAACACAGGCCTATAAAAATATTTTGCTTATAAAATTGCACGAGCTTTCTTGAAAATATTTTTTGTGTGTAAAAGTACAGAAGAAGTAGGTGTCCAGAACATACCTTATTACTTTGTTTGATAATAGGGTTTGATAATAGGGTTGTCTTTCCACAACTGCCTGAAAAACTCCATTGCATTATATCTTGATGTTATCACTTGACAAAGTACTAATTAGCCTTTTTACACCTAAATTATAAACAGGCTATGTAAAGAGATCAAAATCTGGGGAGAATTTCAAGGTTGAATGTACATAGACATTGTCATTAGTTACATCATTCATCCCAACCATATATATCAAGTCTGGGGGCAGGAGGACCGTTTCCTCTTCAACCATTGCGCATTCATCTTTTTTCTGGGCACTGGGCTACAATTTTATGACTGAAAAAAAGAAATACTTTTGAGTTTGCACTATCATCATTGACACACTAACCTGCTAACGCTAACACTAAAACACTGACCCTTCTTTAAAATCCCAAGGCTTAGTAGGAAATAAAGATTGCGACAAAGTATCCCAGCCTTATTTTATTCATGGTAACTGGGAAGGGTTGTATGTTGATCAATGGATTTCTATTCATTGTTAGGAATGGTGTGGTCATGTATCGTGGTGTTCCTTATGGCCATCTTTTATGAAGGTTTCAAAGTTTTCCGTGAAGTCTTGAGAGAAAAATACGGAAAACCCAAATCTTACAACGTGTCTAGCAATGGACACGGCGCGGCTGGCAAGGGACCTTATGATACATCTGTGTATGGGGGCGGGTAAGATTATATATCTTTGTACACGTCCCTGGCTGTGGAAATCAGCTTCGGTTGCTATAAAGTTTGGCGTGCATAAATAAAGTTTTTCTATCCATCTGTCTAGGTTAACAGCATGAACAGCATGCACATACGTTGTACCTTATGGTCTTTTTACATGGAGCGAGTTATCCGGGGATAGGCGAGGTGAAAACTGCATATAATGAAAGACTAATCAGGTTAAGCCTTTGATGTGATGCGCTTTCCCTCGCCTGGCCGGGATAACTCGCTCCATGTAAACAGGCCCTAAATCCTGACTGGACTGGAACCGTATTTAAAACGTTATATCTTATCTGTGCCTTTGGCTTTACGTTTTTTCTTTTCAGGAACCGCTTCTGCAACTGGCATCATTTCCTCCAATCTTTTCTGCACATCATCCAAGTGGCGATTAGTTATTTTCTTATGTTGATCGCGATGACTTTCAATGCATGGCTTTTTATAGCTGTGTGTCTTGGAGCTGGTTTTGGTTACTTTTTGTTCAGTTGGAGAATTTCAAAGTCGTATGATGTCAATGAACACTGCCATTAATTGTCCTCGGTAGCGAATACTTTTTCACCCCAAGGCGCCACCTTTTAATCTAATTTAATAATTTGCCGTTTTCTAACACCATACTAAGATATTCGCATTCACTCGCATTGATTATCAGTAGCTTAATATAATTATTATAATAATCATGATGTAATAATTCAATCTTAATGCTCGCTTGTTAAACCTGGATCCGTACATTTGTTCATCAGTCGAATTTTAAAATTGGAGGCACCATCTTTGCCTTGGGACGCCAGACCAGTTCAGTGATTGGCTAAATGTATTACAGGGGCCGGTTGTATGAAAGCCGGATAGTGATTTTTTCAACCTTTCTAAAAATGCTTGAAAAGCAATGAAATTTCAGCATTGGAACCAAAAATTATTAAAGACGATCCCGGATATAGGAATAAAAAGATTTAATCAAAATTATACCAAAAACGGGCGATTTTGAAGCGATTGAAAAAACCACTATCCGCTGGATAGCGGCTTTCATACAACCGGCCCCAGATCTGTATGTACACAAACATGTATATACACGATAAGTACAAAAAACAGGACTAGTCACTACCTGTGTTAGTACCATATCGATGTTCCAGATGCATTGCGCAATAGTTAATAAGAGTAAACTGGTTAAGCTTATATATAGTCTGCGAGCAGGCTAATGGCAGGCCTACAATGCAGAATTCCAAGAACAACATATTTGCATCCATAAATACATGTAGTTTTTTAAAATCACATCTATAGATATACAATATCTGGCTAAATATAAACCAAGAATATAAACCAAGAATATTAACCAAACATAAAAGAATGTACACGGCGAATGTACCGTAATAACTTTAGGATATAAATAGTATAAATAAAATTTTTAATATACTCTTAAGGTTGGCATAAAAAAATATATATTTACAAGCAACTATATGTCTATGTTGAATACTTATATTAAAGATCAGTACTTTGTAGAAAATGATATAAAAATAACCACTCCCTTCCTTCACACACATATTGGATATGTAGAAATCTCATATTTTGTCAATAGGGCTGGTGACATGCTACTCTGGTAATGAAGAGGGGAAATGACCAATAGTTAGGCAGTTTATGTATATTCACACAATTCTAGACACCTTTTGGCGTCTTTTTAGATCATGACCTAAAATATCGTGCAAAACAATCATTGACATGCAAAACATTTGGCAAGGTTGTAGGTATTACATTTGTATATTCAGGTAGTAACGAGTAAATGGTGTCCATATTTGGGTCAACAATTCACCTGGCCAGTATCGACACGTCATGTATAATGCTCACTCAAAATGTTTACCAGGGGCCGGTTGTATCAAGCCTATTTAGCTTAAACGGTGGATAAGTTCAATATAGAAAGCAAGTCTGCCGTTTTATTCAACAAGCGAACAAAATGTTTTTGACCTTAATACACTCGGATACTGTCTACAACGACATATTGAGTGCATAATATTTGAGTTCACTCATTCAAGAGAGTTGTATAAAGAGTGTTATTTAATTTTGACTTATCTACCGTTTAAGCTAAACGGGCTTGATACAACCGGCCCCAAAAACTCCTGCACAGCCTCGTACCCAGGGTTCAGGGTGCTGTTGTGGGTATGACAAAAAGTACCTTGTGTACGAGATCGTCTCCTCCACAGAGTTTCTTTATAATTACAGAAATTATTATAGAGTAATGAAAACATCTTCCTATAGGCTCTGCGGAGGGAGGTAAACTAATCATAATTCATAGCGTTCATTGATTAAATATACGTAAATTGATCAGGTGTACAAAAACTAGTATCCAGTCTCTCTTTTTTAATCTCGGCCAGTCTTACATCTTTAGTTTGTGTCACATGATACACACCACTCCCAGAAAGATTTGATAATATCCCGTACGCAGGCTGGGCAATGAAATACCCGACTCCACTGCCTAACAATATCGCAACGAATAAGACGACACTATGAACCATGGCGATTAGCATTAGACCATATCCAACAATAAAATTTATTTGGTATAATAATGAGGCAGCCACCGCCCGCGGACTGTGCCTAAAATGTAGATGCGATTATATTTATCAAACTATGTTGAAAGTGTTCACGGCAGTATCGCAACTCAAAGTCATCTTGATTATTAACTACTGTCAGGCATTGTGTGCTTGAGAGGTAGAGGAGAAAGTCTGTTAGATCTTGTTAGAACTTATGAAATTTAGTACTGGAATAATCTCAGACACTTAAACGGTTTAAGTTTTATGCCGCAGTGATGTCTCTTCATTTGCCCTAAAGACCAACTCAATTCAAATGCTTTTGAGTGGATTTTAACGACGAGATTAACGACGAGTCAAAAAGAGCCCTGGTTCACATATGCCTGTGAAATTTTCCGGTAATAATACTTCAGAAAATCTCAAAGACACGAGATTAGGTTAGGATTCGAACTTAGATTAGAAGACAAAGCATTTCGCGCACCAGCGACCTCAGAGAAGGGGAATCCCAGATTCTTAGAACAAGTGTAAACCAGGATACAAAAAGTCCAAAAACGCCAGTCGAATCGACTAGACAATGGAAGTGGATTACTATTATTTGATGACATACCTTCCATCATTTCTGGCCAGCAGAAAGCTTTGATACTTCAGGTAGGAACGTAAAAACTCATAGACAGCAGCCACAACAAAAATCACAGAGGCGAAATAAAAATGATCTAAAGTAGAATATCAAATGTAAAAAATTAAAGCACAAAAGCATCTCACATAAAATCCGATCAGCTATAGTTAGGCCTACTGGTCGACTTCATTAAAAATTGAAGGGGTTTTTGACTTTTTGCCAGCTTCAAAGTTTGATCAAGTTTTATGAGTGAGGAATGGGGTCTGGAACCCACACTTCAAATTTCTAAATCTTGCGACCAAATTGGGCACATGAGATACTGGGGTATACAACCAGCAGCGAGACAAACATTACTACGCAATTAATATTAATAAAACACCGATTCATAAAACACGCGCCGGGGACGAGGCTGACCAGCAGCACATCTTGCCGCAAGTGGCGTAGCCAGCATTGATAACGGGGGGGAGGCATATTCATGATAACAGATCGATTTCAAAATAAATTAATCCGGCCTACGTAACATGAATATATGAATATGCTCCCCCCCCAATTATCGTTCTGACTACGCCACTGCTTGCCGCATCCTATTTGTTAGGTGTAACGCTTGTGTAGAGAAAAGTGTGCTGTGAAAGAGGATGGGTTGGACCCGGCTTTACCTATTCGGGGCTAGAATATCCTACGTCCCTTTTCGCTAGACTGCAAGAGAACAACCAGCCAACTTTCGATTTTGTATTGACACACACTTTATCGATCCCGTTTTCGAACAGAGAGTTCGTGTATATTAAGAAATCGATGACACTATTTAATTTTAATTTTCTCGCAGTAATTGCTGAAAATATAGCCAACAAGCACTGTACAAAACACTAGTTCCTATAGTAATTTCGCTGGCATATTAATTGGGAAATAAAGGCAGGCTACAGACCTGATAGAGTATTCCCTCTCCATTTATCGAAGAGAAGAACAAGATTGTGCGATAAATGAAAGTACATCTTGCCTCGGTAGTTCAATTAAATGATTTGCTGAAATATAGATAAAGTTAATACGTTTAAGTTAAATAGCTACCTGTCCTACCTCGATTAATTTAATATTGGCCAAGTCTCAGACAGATGATCATGCAGTGCATGGCCAAACCTTGGAAATGTCTTCAAGGTCATCTCTTCAGAACCTCGGCTGATTAAACCTCAGATGGATGATGATTATTGGTCAAACCTTACTAGGAAATGTATAGATACTTGGTCCGGGCTACGGTTTAATCTGCCGGGTTTAAGATTTTTTATGTTGCGTATTTTGGTGGGAAGACGTTCAAACTGACATAAAATCTCTTCGGCATACCACTGAAAGTTCATTTGTGGCCTATGTTTTACACAGTATTAGTTAGTTGAAAAATCTAGTTGGCTGAGCTACAGCTAGTATTATACCTAGTGATGCAAGTGCACAATTAGACATTTTCATTATTATAAACTTCTGGTTATATGATGGTGTTGAGAATTCAGGGGCGCCAACATGGTTGGCACAGGGTGACAAAATTTGTGATATTTGATTTCTCTAAATCCTTGGGAAATGGCCATTCCAGATCACAGGTGCTTGGGTCAGTAGCGTAGCCAGCCTGACGATTTAGTCATGCTATGCAAATGTAATGTCAAATATTTGCCATTGAAATGCCCAGTTTTTAAAGTATTTTCATTTAAAGTATACTGTATTAGGGGGACTAAAAGATATTGTACCTCCCCTAGATATAGTCCAAAGGACCCAACAAGGATTGATATATTAAAATTTATCACATGATATATTATTTAGAATTGTAAAAATGTACAGTGTTGTACGATAACTTTATCATTATTTATTGGTATCCCAAACACAACCTGAATGAACAAATATGCATGCTTACATTTTCTGGCCAACTAGAAAAGCAGTCCTCGGCCAGCTTAATTTGACTATTTGGTATTTCAGAACAACATCATGCTGTCACCTATACCTAGGTTGGAAATACAGCAATTTTAAAGAACAAAACATTTAAGTGCATGCAGATAGTAGAATAAATCAATAATGATCAGCTGAGTGCTTTATAATGTTTTGTTGTTTAAATTTATGTCATACTTGTACAGTTGCACTTCTTGGAAAAAGGCTTTTGCTGTAATTCCAACCTAGCCGTATTGTCATTCGCATTTGTGGAAAATACTTGTAAAATCTTGCTAGTTACCACAGAACCATCAATCAAGTATTTATATGAAATCGACACTTTTATATGTGTCTGCTCAATTAAATTTCTATTTCACATTTACACTGTATTTACACCTGTTAGGGATGTTGGGCCATATAAGGTTAGCATATATATTTTTTGACAGCATAGTTCAGCTCGCAGGATTCCAATCATGCAATGTTAAAGCAAAGACCTAGCAACAAATGTATAAATGTATACATGTGTTGCTAGGATTAAGTCTGCTTAAATATCACATCTAGTAAACTGAACTATATGTGACTGCATCTTGCTAGATTGTGCATCATGATAGCTGTAATTAGGCATCTACTAGCAAAACCACTAGCAAAACCTTAATCCTTGTAAAAAATCTATCCTCATCACGATCTAAATTACATGATGACGCGACGTCTTTCCACACTTCTCTGGGTCCACGCTTGAAAATCGCGTGCATTTATGTATTAATAAGGTATCTTCTGTAATTAATTAAAATATCCCAAGAGCATAGAGCTCCTTAGCACCTAACGGACAAAACTAAACACCAACTGCTTTATTTTCTGCCTTATTTTCTGCCTTATGGATTTTCTCAAAGCCAAAAAGTAGATAAAGCGGTATCATCACTAGTACTGTTCGCCCTCCATATTTGTTTCTTTATGGAAATTGCAGTCCCTACAAGACGCGACGAATTCTGAATGTTCCAACAAAATTTATCATATATCTTTGCAAATATAAGAAAATATAGCCATTACAGTGTACGTATATATACATTAAGTTCTTATTTAATTTGTGTTTACAGTAAGTACTTTGGACAGTAGCAATTTATTTAATAAAGTGATTCAGGTCACATTCGACAATAACTTTATTTGCTAACGAAAATTATCACAGAGATTCATTGACAGCTATACAGTATATACAACTGACAGAAAAAAAAGCTCTTGATCAAGAGAGGCACGCACTTACCATTCAACAATTTCAAACATTAACTGCTTTTCATGGCATGAACAACCCGAGAGCAACCGACAACAGCTCCTTTTCGCAGTATTCGACAAAGAAAGCTGTCTGCCTGTCTAAACATAAAGGTACATGAAATTTGATACAAACCGATATCTAGATTATCTCTAATCTCAGTGAGCTTTTGACCAAGTTTTAAAATAAATCCTAACCATTGTTAAAAACACAATCAAATGAATCAATCGTTTAACATCTTCCTTCTTTAATATCACTAGTATCTCATTTGATTCCGCGTCTAATGAGTAATGACTCCAGGTCTCTTTTCGACCTTTCGATTTTGAATACATAATTTCTAAATTTCAGTGCCAGTGGAGTGGAAGTTGTCCAATTTACCGTGGTTGAGGTGGGTGGTCACGGTGGTGGTCTCAGAATCGTAAAACGCTAACGACGTTAATCACGTTATGAATTTCAAAATCTATCATTACAAAGCAATAATTTGAGAAAGCAAAAACCGCAAGGGATACTTGTAGTTGTTAAAGCTAGAAGCTACCTAAACCCTAAAGTTTGCCGGATTAGGGAACCATGTAGTGTGTTAGTTCGGCGTCTGAGGTCCTCTTCATATGAGACGGGCCAGCCCGGTTTAGGGCTAGCTCAGCAGTGCTGGGATTTCGCTTCACATATTATTTCACTATATTTGTGAAATTGCATTCATATGGAATCGGGCCAGCCCGGTTCTGGCCTTTAACGGGCTCATGAAAATATCAAGCGGGCCAGCAAAAGCGAGGCAGCCCGCCTAAACCGGTGCCTATATGAACAGCCCCTAAACTGGACTAAAGTAAAAAAAAACATCGCTAATCCGCTATATTTGAGAGTCATCTTTCATGTAATTCCTGATTCGTGATTCGTCCGTGTACGATAGGTGTACAAAACTCCTCTGGGAACAAACCTAAATGATCAATCCAGAGCCTCGTCAGTGTCCCTCGATCATTAGGTCTACCCCTAGATAATGCCACGCTCAGTATGAAAGACTATTGCTCCATGGCCAGGGCCCGCTTAAGCCTCTGAAGGACCGGTAAAGTAAATGTCAATCAACTACTCTTAACAACCAGTAAACTGAGCAGGTAGTTTAATTTCGAGTCCAGAATGGAAACAATGTTGATTTCAACATAAACACAGACCTAGATTTGACGTTTATCCAAAATGATTTTTTTACAAAAACTACGTAGTTTGCTGTTCGTTTTGTTATTGTATGAAATCGTGGTTGAAGTGAGGTCACGAAATATAGAAAGGAAACCTAAAAAGGACGCTAAAACAAAGTCGAAGACACGTAAGTTAAATAAACTGATTTCAAGTTCTCATTTATAATGGAAGCCGGAGTTGTACCAGAATTCACTGCATGTTGATGTAACGTGTTTGTTTATTACGATACTTTATAAACTCAACGAGAAATCGTGAAAATGTAGTTACATGCTTACAATCTATATACTATATTGTGTCTGCCTTTGTAATTGTCTCGCACACGCCGTCTGCTGCACCTGTCCATCAAAATTGCGTCGTGACGTCACCTCATAATATCGTGACATCTTTCCCTTTTCTTTTTCGACAAAACAAAACAAAATATAAATTATGGAATAGATATGTATACAATCTTACTAAGGTACTTCAAGTTCGAATTGTCCAATGCTTTCAGTTCATTCCATTACATATTCCTTGTGCCACCCAGGTTTGCATCTTACGCGTTCTGAGCGTCGTGGTGGTTTTTCGCTGTTCTCAGCCGAGGGTGCACTGTCTAATGATGGTGTGTGTTCGGGGTTAGCTTCATTCTCCACCAAACGGTTCTCTGGTTCCCTTCTGCTCTGCTCAGGTTCAAACTCAGGATCACTCCCAGCAACAGGTGGTGTTGGAGGTCTTTCTTGCGATGCTCGTAGTTGTCGGCGATTTCGGCGGTACTTCCTACCGCTCACATCTACTTCGTATGATCTGTTGTCTAAAACCCTGGTACAAGTTCCAAGCGTCCATTTTGTTGCGTTTGGCAATTTCATTCGGATAGCTTGACCTTTCTTCAATGGTTGAAGAGGTTGGTGTGTCTTGTTATAATGGTGAATTTGTCGCGATTTCCGAGCAACTAGTTTATCTCTTGTGCTTTCACTGATTGGCTGTTTGAGAAGATTTTTGTGAGTCGGTAGTAGTGTTCGCGTACGCCGCCCCATCAACCGTTGGGCAGGAGATGTTCCCAAACCCTCTGTGGGGGTATTCCTCCAATCTAAAATCGCCAGCAATGGGTCTTGACCAGCAGCTTTGGCTTTTGTCAACAGGATTTTGCAGGTCTTGACCGCATTCTCTGCCCGGCCATTTGATTGCGGGTAGCGAGGGCTCGACGTTACATGTTTGAACTGCCAATCATTTGCGAATGTTGAAAATTCTGCGGCGGAAAACTGAGGTCCGTTATCGGTTATCACTGTGTCCGGGATTCCATGTCGTGCAAACTGGACTTTGCATGCTATTATAACTTTGTCGGCGGTAGTTCTCGTAAGTTCTTGGACCTCGAAGAATCCACTCCAGTGGTCCACGAGAAGGACAAAGTGCTGTTTTCCAAGCTCAAACAGGTCCATACTAACCGTTTCCCAGGGACGAAATGGTAGTTGGTATGGTTTTAATTCTTCACGACATTGTGCAGGTTGATGCGCCTGGCACGTTGGGCATTTTGAAACCAAATCCTTAACCTCTGCGTTCATTAAGGGCCAATACAATACTTCTCGGGCTCTTCGGAGACAGCCTTCTATTCCAATATGAGATTGGTGAATCTGCGTCAACATTGCTTTCCTCATTGATGTGGGGACTACTAATCGTTCTCCAGCGAAAACTAGTCCATTATCTACTACAAGTTCACTTCTTTTGTCGTAGAAGGGTGACAAGTCCTGGCTGCACTGTCTCTTGGATAAAGGCCAACCATTCTTTACAGCGTCGATGATGCTCTGCATGGTCTTATCTGACGTTGTCTCCCGTTTGAACTGCTCGAGTCTATCCGGCGAAATCGACAGATTCTCTGTATGGTCGATCTCTTCCAGGGCTCGTACCTCCGTTGTGTCATGACTCCAAGATTCAGTTGTGTTTCGATACGCTCGACTCAGTGTATCCGATATCCACATGAGTTTGCCTTTTTTGTATTGAACGTTGAGATTGTAATTTTGGAGGGCCAGCAGCATTCTCTGCAACCGTTTGGGTGAGCTATGTATAGGTTTGGTAAAAACTGCTTTTAGGGGTTCATGATCTGATTCTATGGTAACAGCTTCTCGACCCAAGATATACTGATCAAATTTACTTGTTGCCCACACGATTGCAAGTAACTCTTTTTCGATTTGGGCATATCGAGTTTCCGTATCTGTAAGCGCCCTCGAAGCAAAAACGACAGGTTGTCCGTCTTGCATTAAGACGGCTCCTAGACCAGTGTCACTAGCATCACATTCGATAGTAACTTCCTTGTTGACATCATAGTATCTTAGGACCGGCGTTTTGACTAGCGATTTCTTGATAGTGTCATACGCTTGCTGGTGTTGTTCGAGCCAACACCATTCTACGTCTTTATCTTCGAGTCTTCTCAGCGGTTCGGTCATGTCCGACAATAAAGGTAAAAATTTGGCCAAATAGTTTATCATCCCGAGAAATCTTTTGAGGCCTTTTACGTCAGTTGGGGCTGGCATGTCTAAGATTGCTTCAACTTTTGCTGGGTCAGCTTTGAGGCCGTCAGCGGTAATGAGGTGTCCCATGAAACGGACTTCCGTCTGTGATCTCTTCATCTTCGATTGATTCAGCTTTAGGTTCCACTCACGACATTTCTGGAAAAACGCTCGCTCATTCGCTTCCAAGCTTCGATCGACCTCCTCATCTGTTTCTCCAAATCCCGCGATAAGGAAATCATCTGCTATGACTTCAACCCCATTGAGATCTTGAGCAAACTCGTGCATTCGCCTTTGCCAAACTTCGGGTGCACTCGAGATTCCGAAGGGCATGCGAGTCCAACGGTACCGTCCGAAAGGGGAGTTGAAGGTTGTCAGATAACTTGAGGCTGTGTCAAGTTTGATTTGATGAAATCCGTCCTTAGCATCGCAGAGTGTGAATTTCTTGGCACCCGCCAATCTTGATGTGACTTCGTCCACTGTAGGTAGTTGATAATGCTCGCGTCGTATAACACGATTAAGGTCTCGTGGGTCGATGCATATGCGGATCTTATTCGGCTTGACAACTGCCAACATGCTGGATACCCAACAAGTGGGTTCTGTAACAGGGACAATGACTTCTCGATCGACTAGTTCATCTAGTTTGGCTTTGATTTGGGATCTTAATGCGACTGGAACTCGTCGAGGGGCGTGGATAACTGGCTTCGCCGAGTCTTCTATAGTTATCGTGTGCGCTCCTGGTATCTCGCCAAGGCCATCAAAAACGTCGGCATACTCGTCTGCAACATGCGGTTTGTCCTTTGGATGCTTTATTGTCAGTGCCAGAATGTCACATTTACTCAAATTGACAACACCTAGAGCAATGCTTGTATCTAACGATAGTACTGGTTGATAATCTCCGTTGATAATATTAAAATTCAAGGTTCTTTGCTGATCTCCGAACCATACAGGCAGTTTAGCTCTTCCGGTAATCTTACGGTGCTCACCTGTGTATGAAACGATTTCCTTCTTGCAGGGTTTTAGGCGTTGCAATTGATTGTCACCAGTGACTTGTATATATAGGCTTGTCGGGAGAATATCACATTGCGAACCAGTGTCTATTTGAAATTGAACCGAGTTTCCCGCCTCTGGCTTCGAAATTTGCAAATTAATCACAGCTTTGCGTGCTTTAGACTCGTCACCGTCCGAAACAGAGCTGATACAGTAACGATCTTCTTCGGGTTTTTGATCGACTTCCTTAGTTTGGTTGATTTCTGCTCCTTTGTTTTTTTTCCTCGACATTTCCGCGCAAAATGATTCATCTTATCACAGTTAAAACACTTTCTTCCGAACGCTGGACAATTTCGTTCGTCGTGAGTCATACCACAATTCCCACACTCCTTAAGCAATCCTTCCTGTTGGCGGTTTCGCATTGGATATCTAGGCGGTTTTGTCTTCCGGGATTGTTTACTTTCTAAACCAGTATCTTTTCCTTGTGTTCCCCTGAGCATGTTTACACAATCCTCTCCTGTGCTCATTAGCTTGACTTGTTGTTGTGTTTGTTCCGCGGCTTTGATAGTGTCCACTGCTTTCTGTAAGGTGAGATCGTTTAGCCTTAGTAAACGTTCTCGGACATGATCATCGCGAATGCCTAAAACAAGCCGATCCCGTAAAATTTCGTCTGGTGTAATCGTGTTATGAGCACAATTTCTAGCGATTGTTCTCAGTTCTGTTAGGTAGGTTGCAATGTTCTCTCCTGGTGCTTGGTTTCGATTGTTAAAACGGTATCGTTCATAGATTATTTGAGTTCTCGGTGAACAATACTCATCAAATTTTTGAAGGACAACATCGACATCATTTTGATTCTCATCTTCTCCCCATGCAAATGTGTCGTACGCTTTGACACCGTCCTCGCCGATTACGCTTAATAAGGTTGATACTCTTACAATTCCCTCTTGTTTGTGTACACCAGTTGCAATCTCGTACCGTGTCCATGATTTCTTCCACGACTTCCATGTAGTTGCCAAATTATCGTCGAATATGAGCGATTTCGGCGGTGGCAAGTTCGATGGCGCTACATATATTTGTGGCGCCTGAGCCATTTGTGGCGCTTGGGCTTCTCCTTGAGGCTCGACCATTGTTTTATTTCAAATATCCCACTCCTGACACCATGTAACGTGTTTGTTTATTACGATACTTTATAAACTCAACGAGAAATCGTGAAAATGTAGTTACATGCTTACAATCTATATACTATATTGTGTCTGCCTTTGTAATTGTCTCGCACACGCCGTCTGCTGCACCTGTCCATCAAAATTGCGTCGTGACGTCACCTCATAATATCGTGACAGTTGACTGTTCGTCAGCGGCTATCATAGGTTTATACAGTGAACCAATACCTCTCCTAAACTAAGAGAAAGCAGCTCTTTACAAATCCAAGGATTTTAAGGCTTATAGTTTGAGTTTTAAATTTTAAGGACTTTCAATCTTGCTGGTATAGGAACGGTGAACTCTTCTCAGCATCACATCTGTGCTTAGTGTGTTACTCTCGAGCATGTCAATTTTCTTTCTTATAGGCAATCAGTGGTTCACAAATATAATTTCATTGCAATATAGTGATGGGTTTAAAGTTTTATATTTTTCCCTCAGTAGATGGACGTAAAATCAAAGCCAAAGGCAAAGGAAAAAAGCAATTCTTCCCAATGCCAATTGGGCAAGGTAAACTTAAGTGCCGTTTATCGGCACGGCACAGCTAAAATAGGTACCGTACCAATTTCATGCGTGCTCGGCTATTGTATAGTCGAAGTGTCGAACACTGTTAGACGTTGGTTCAGGTAGCATTTTTAGCTGTGCTCAAAAGTTCAAGAGCATATACGGAGTTGAAAGAATTAGTGACTGAATGCGAATCAGTTCCGAAACAAAAATAGAATACGATTTTTTGCTTTGTGCGTTTTATAACTGAACAAACAAGCAAGCTACTGCAAGTGCAAGAAAATTTCACTCAAGGGGCGGGAGAGATGAATGAATACCGACAGCCGCTATGATAAGTAGACTGATTTTGATATAAATGGCGCGTAACGTGCTACAAAATGATCGCAATATTGAATATTTAAAAACAAAACTATCATTCGTTGAATCATCTCAGATTTAGTATTCCTTTCGCCGTAGCTGGCCAGTTTCCAGGTAGCCCGTATCCAATGCCTGAGTACAAGCCAGTCTCCGCTATGAACCAGGAGATGAAGATTGTGAAAGGTTTACCTCGGGGCTATGATTGTTCGCATTCACAACATGGATGTTGTTGGGATGGTCGCACTCCTGCTTTTGGTCCTTCTGGAAAAGGTTGCCCACGTGCGTATTGCGTGTGCATTTATTCTTTTTATCGCAGGCGATGACTGCTCAAACTGCAGGGGTGCCGGAATTGCGAAATGCTAATTTTTGTGCAGTAGCAGAATTTTACCTGGGGCACCTTTATTTCAGTAAACTGCGTTGCCCCTGTAGTTCTGATGAAAATTTGCCGGAAAGCAAATGATTGAATAACATTGTCATGTATTCTAAATTTAGTGTGAAGGTATACCACATTATTACAAAGTTTTTGGACCAAAAACCCGGGCCCTCATCAGTGCAATTAAACTAATTAACTCTCATGCATATACAAAGTGTGTAGTTTGAAACACAATCGTTTTATTCAAGTTTTAAAATACCTCGGAAACTCGGAAAGCATGATGATTCCTCCCTCCCCCATATATTTAACTTGCTTTCCACGCCTTTATTTTGCTTTATATTTTCAGAATGTAGAGACGTTTACAAAGACTTTTGCAATAGAACGAAAAAACTTTGTGATTGTCCAATGGTTGCTGACTATTGCAGGGTGACGTGCAACTTGTGCAGTGAGTATTTCAGAGTGATTTAATCCGTCCTATGATATAAACCTAATAAGGTTTCCAATTTTTAGGCAAAAGCAAATCAAGTAAAACCTGTCAATCATCTAAGCACAATTGCTGTTGGGATGGCAGGACGCCAGCCAAGGGTCCTAAAGGCAAAGGGTGCCCAAGTAAGAATACCGCAATACTATGTCTAGTTGGAAAGGAAATCGTGTGTTTTGCTGCCTTCTTCCCCTACGTTTTGTTAAATGATTATAAAATAGTTCAAAACCTGCATGCAATTGCATGTGTCATTTGTCTTCCGTGTGATGCGCTATTCAGAGCTTGGGGATGTCTGGTTTGCCTTAAGACTGATTTCCGCACAGGATAATTATCCCCAGCACCGGGTCGGACAAACAGCTAATAAATGAATTCGTTTACATCATCATATATTATTGAATTGCTGAAGGCAGTCTTCGAGATCTCTGGAACTATATTGAGCATATCACAGTATCACTAACAGGATCACCGACTGTGATAATGTCATGCTCAAAAAAGATAAATTGCAAATTATCATGTATGTTTCTTCATAGAAATAAAAGATGATCCTGGAGCAAATTGCAAACTGTACGAATCAGAATGTTTGCGAAATCCCTACTACATGTGGAAAAAATGCAGAAAGTCTTGCATTGCGAATCTACCGCCGATCGAGCCGTTCATTCAGGGATTTGGTCCAGTTAATCAACTTGGCATTCCGCCACCCGCATGCGGGCAACCACCAATGTTTCCCGGCATGCCAGCAGGGCATGCCCCATACCCTGGTATGCAGCAAGGCATGAATAGCACCATAGGGAAAAAAGGTTCAACAAAGAATGTAAAACAGGAAAAAAACATACATAGTCATTATCGATATTGAGTGATTTTAATTTAAAAAGGTCCTTTATCATGTACAGACGGCCTCGAAATAGAAACACTTTATTATATCATAATAATATCTTATCATGATATTTGTGACAAGATAAAATAGACATGATATTTGTGCCAAGATAAAATAGACATGATATTTGTGTCAAGATAAAATAGTGAAAATTTTGAATTTCCATGTGCTGTAACTTCGTGTTCGGTTTTACCACTAACTGAGATTTCACATTTCCGTTCTTGAGACATCAGTAAACATATATAATGAAGAAAATATTTTAATTTTTTTTTTTACAAATCAGCAGCGGGCGGAATCCTAAACTTTCCTGCAATCTGTTTTACAATATCTGACAACGGTCCGGAATCCTATATTTTATGTCAGTCGAGCGAAAGCGTATTTTGTCTTGTTTTTCTAAATATATGGATCAAATGATTATCACGATATATTGAAGTGAAATTTAGTAAATTAACCAGTTCAAGTTTTGATTGTTTATGTTTTTGTCCCCATTGCTGAGGCTGACTACACAATGATAATAATACGACCGAACACCGCTTTTTTGTAAAAATATAAATACGTTACTTGATTTACTGTTTTGCTCGGCCCGGATAGAAAAATATTTCCCCTCGGTCTCAAAAACGTTTTGGATACCTCAGGAAAATATTTTTCTATCCGGACCTCGCAGCCAGAAATAACAATATAAGCTAAAAACAACTATCTACAACAAATACTTCACCAAAAAAATTAAAGACCGTAGAAATATCACTTTAAGCCCTAGATATCTCGCAATAAGCAATCTTTGTCATATATATAAAACAGGAAAATGAGTTTCGTAAAAACATACTAGAGTCTTGTAAAACATGCTCTCTACTCTAATGCTGTAATCGTGTTTCGTCATTATTATAAGACTTAGTCCTTGCAGCGCGTTCGCATGATATGCTAATTTTGCCGAATCATGGTGAAAATCTGAAGTCATTTGAACATTGAGTTTTGAGAATATTGAAAATATCACACCAAATCATTATCAGTACATCAATACCGCAGTCATGCAGATGGTGGTCAACCAACGAATTAATTTTATCATCCCCCAACACAATGGGCAAAAAAATTATAAAAAATGTTCGAATTAAATTATGAAGCTAGTTTATTGAATAAAAATTTTACAAAAGTTTGTTTATTTACACATTGCTAGGCCCTATACAATTAATTCACCACCATCTGTTTCAACGAAGCATTTACTGCTCCGTTTATTATATTCTCTTTAGAAGAGTAAATTTTTTACCTGCCTTATAATTAAATGTTACCGACATTCCTCTGTCTACCCTGACCCTATTTATCAGCCTTCAAATATAAATTTGCGTACGGGTTATACATGACACATGAAAAACAGTTTTCAAGACCAATGTTCGCCCCATAAGACTTCATCTCTAGTGAAGGCTGAATCAATATTTGTCCACGATTTTCTCGTTTCCATTTATTTCGGCGATTTTGGAACCAAACCTTGACCTGTCTCGAGTTTAATTCCAGGAAACTAGCAAGGTTATTGCGTTCCTGGATGGTAAGATAAGGAGCACGTTGAAATTTGGCCTCAAGCATTCTTTGTTGTAATCTTGAAAAGCTGGTTCGTTTTCGTTGAAAGCTTGTCGTCTCCCTCAGGTCAATTTCGCTCTCCCGTTGAAAAGCGTTGTTTCTGTCTTTCGTGGATGGCGGTGTCGCTTCACTGCCATGTGTTTTCCCTTTAAAATACGAAGTAAGTTAGGTATCATGGACACTAAAAATCGGAAGTTACTCATTATTGCATGATGTCCTTTGAATGTCATATGCGTTTTTATTGTAAATAGTTTCTCAATCTGTATCTTGTATTTATCAGTTCAGGCGAGACATGCATTAAAAATTACGATTATTATGATAATGGCAAACAAAGTCGTGAGAACGTGAGGCTGTTCACCGGCGGAGTCCGATGTTTGGGCTAGAACTTAGTATTGTAGTAGTCTTAAATTATTGTGTGTGTTTTTTGTGGTTTTAAAGTTACAAGTATTTTCATTCTTGCACATATTTACGAAATTGTCATTCTTTCAGTACAATTTAGTTCATATATATATAAACATATCGCCCGTCAGTATTTTCTAAACTGTTATATGGATGGAATATTTGTTCAAGAAAGCAAAAAACTAATTTAGTTGTTGATCAACAAAGCGCAAATTACCAGTTAAGCAGGTCAATCAGTTTTGCATCAATCAACGTGTTTATATTTGCTAACAGTAAATATATAGGCACGCTAATCATTTCAATTAAGTTAATACAGAAACGCCTAAACGTTGCTTAAAGGAGTCACATGGTATAGATTGAGAAATTACCAGATGTTAAATCAGGACGCCCAGAATAGTATCATGGCAATGAAAACCCAGACCATGCGTATGAGTCTGAGGTTATCTTTTATTTAAAGCAGATTTTTCTGCATCAATTAATCGACAAATATTAAATAATTTAACATATAGAGGAGTCGTTTAGATGTCCTTGACCCAATCATAATTCCACAGTTTGAGTAAGTTAATAAGCTTCATTTTTGCTGAAAAATGTCTTTAAATAAGTAAATGTGAATGCGAGAACTTATTAATACTGATTAATCTAATCCCCTGCTTATTAATTGATGAGTTGTGTTGTCTTCGCCACATCAAGAAACTGTCTGACCGCAAAGGAAAAAAAACTTTAGATTACGACTATAGTTAACTTGATTGAAATGCGAATGATATCTTCTTGACCGGGGTGATAATTTTTAATGATAATTGCATGGTAACAAATTTAAAAAAGGAAAGAACGAAAAAAAAACGCGTTGCAAAGCAACCAAAGGAAGTTTGTTGAGTATTCAGCTTTTTGTTTGAAAGTCATAATCCGAGTAACCAACACCGCAAAAATTGGTGTTTATGAAGTTTTAACCCGAGAGTCTGCATGATCACTACTGGTTCCTGAATTGTGCATTTCTGTATTGATATCAAAGAAAAAACCATTGAAAAACTAAAAAAATTGAATTTTCTTCTGAATATGCATTCTGCAATCTTTTGACAGCTCATCATACACATCTGAGAGCTATGAAATGGCCATTTTTGGGCTTTAAGTATACACAAGGTGATTAATTCAACCGATTCGTTTTTGCCGTGTGCAAACTTCAAATCTTTTGTGCAAGACATATTTCAGTGCCCTGAGTATCTATAAATCTTTTTTCAGTCACCAAGTTTGAAGCCTAAGTATTGAGAATTGCAGCGAAGTATTTTTCAATTTTACCAATTTCAGACCACTAGGTTTTGAGCTAACCATGCATCGATAGTCTCATGGAATTTTAGTCCATGGACTTCATCTCGAGCGTTTGGCAACAAATTTAGCTACAATTAACGCATTTTTACAACAAATACTTAAATCAGTCTGACAATCATCAGTGACCTTGAAGTGCATAAAAAACCACTCAGTGCATTGACGCATGTGGTTTTCCATTACGTCTATGATAAATGTTCTTGAAAACTTGGTCCAAATTCTGAGTACACTAACACGCCACGGGACATTCAATGGGGGGTTGGGATCGAGGGAGAGCATATTTATATATAGTTGTCTCATCCCTAACTGATTATGGCTCGAAAGCGCTGCCTAGTTTTCAGGTATGTGCGCATGATCACATGACTATATGTACCGACCCATGCAATGACGGTTCAAGCAAACTACATAGAGGCTTGATCGAACACGCTCAAGAAGGAATGATCTAATTTCTTGGAGAGTTCGTAAAAAGGTGCTCATGCACAAGGTTTTTTGTGTCATCTCAATAAACGGGTTTACCAGCCTTAACCACTTATATTAGATCTACCAATCTGGTTTCTAAAAAGTTGCAATTTTGACATAGCACATATGTCAGACAAGTATTACATCTGAACAAAATTCGTTAAAAATGTCTTTATAAAAACCCTTGCTCTCCCAACTCAAAGTCGGTGCATGGTAGCATTGTGATAAATCACTAAAACCACGCAGAATTTTACAATGTGAACTACGGTCTACGTGGAAGGGAGTAGAAATTTCATTTTTGTGGTCGACCGTCCAAGACTGTGTCAAGACTATATATAGCGTGCACACGAGCAAATAAAACTTGGTAAGAAAAACTTGGTCAGTGAACGAGCTCGTCTGTCCGAGGTTTTAACGACTAAATTATTTCAAAAGTGTGCATCTTTGATGAACTTTGACTTTTCTGAGGTATTATGTAGTATTATCTTACATGCATGCATGCGTCAGGATACAAAAAGGTGTGATGATCCAAGAATTACAAGCCAACAAAATTACCGCAATTCAAAAGAGGATAACGTCGAACGAGAGGCGTAAATAATTGAATCATTATTGGCTCACCATCAGCTATTGTTTTAGTAATAGAACCTGATCTGCCAACAACTTTTTACGAGCAGATTCCTAGATTTCACCAAAGCGGTTTTGTAATCTGAACATTGCATGCCATTGAACGATTTTGACGGTTATACGGTGTTAATAAGCAATATCAGTCTCTTGATGTTTTAGGCAAATATCCAAAATACAAATTAGATGCATGCGATTGTCTCATTTCAGTATGAACTGTCATGCATGAGAGTTAGATAATTAATGATCTAGAATGTGTTTAGTGCTTTACCGATAATTAAGAATCTTTTATAGGCTGTACATTTTTTTTAAATATATATGTTTTTTAACCACAGGAAGAGCTTGTGAGTTTAAAGAGCTAGAGTTTATCATTCTAGGGCTGAAAATAATCATTTTTGTGAGCTTTTTGTCTTTGAAAAGATGAAACTGAAAATTAAGTCTGTATTCAAAAGGCTCACTCTCACACACACACACTCTTTGAGTTTGACATAGAAATTTGATCAATGAGAAAATTCTTTTTTTCTCAACGTAAAGATTTAGGGTAAAACATTGCAAATCAAATTGTTATTTGAAAATATACCGCCATGGAAAAGTTAGGAGAAGATTGAGACCACACCCCATACACGTTAGTAAAATGTGTGCCAATAAATGAAGCAAAATCTCTTTTTAAAGTGAGCGTTTGTATTTTTCGTTTCTTGTATAACTGCCAATGCCTGCCCCAGGGGGGGGGTAGGTAAAACCCCCATTATGTGATCTTCGTGCAGCCCACGCGCGCCGTTTCAACACAACTCGTTTCTACACTTTTGGGCAATACCTAGGATCTATAGTCTGTAGAAAATCTGTCGTATAGTCCCGATCTACAATTATATTACGACGCGACATATATAACCTATAGAGAACCATGCTCGTTTTTTCCTTACACATTAGTTTACAGAATAGTTTGTTATCGTTTGCTCGCTCGCAAAGAATTGATGCACAGTTGAAAATAAAAGAATGTGTGGTCATGGTTCTATGATCGCCTGCGCAATTGAAAATTTAAAAAATTGATGGCATTTAAAGCTAAAAGACTTTTACCTTCAAGGTAAAACAAGGTTTTTTCGTCGTGAAGTGCATGATTAATCAATCTAGGGCATTAATCATAAGGGTTGCATTGTGGTATATGTATGTAGGGAATACTTCAACACCTCCAATCCAAAGTCGAATTCGATTCTATTCACCACAAGTGATCACATGCAACCGTGCACGTTATTGCTTCAAGTATTCGTTCAAGATGTGATTCAAGACACCCTGAAATAGCTAATTCTCCCGTCATCGCTTGATCACGAAAGGACCAACTGTGTAGTGGTTGCATTAACCGTATATAGACAAGAATCATTAGTTTGAGCCTAACACTTGGTGTTGCTAGCATATTTTTAAGTGTTTAAAAATGCATGCATGCTTTGTGCTAAGTGCTAACATTGACGAAAATGCGCACTCATTTGGAAAATCCACTTTAAGGAGACGCAAAAGACGGGCTAATTATTTTACAGTAGATGTTGTATGATACGTACGCAATGTAGATCAATGGAACCGACTGTGTATATCGTTGCATTGTATTGATGATAAGAATAACGTACGCTGCCAGTATATTTAGAAGGCAACTGAATCTCCTGACGAAGGCCCTTAGAGCGAAGCCTCGAGAATTTTTTTATTGTTTATTTTACGAATTGCCAACAATTGATAAGAATGTATTTAAAGACGCTGCTGCGCGTTTCGCTTTGATTTTTCAGGAACGTGTTTAAAAAGTCGTGCAAACTTAGATTATTCAAAGGCCAGATAGTAAGGGAAAATGTTCGCTCATTTTGGAAATCTGTTGTAGCCGTGCGCTGTGCGCTTTGCGCAGAAGTGAACCAATTGACTTACAGTAGCTGTAGTCTGTAGTATCTACTGCGTAACTCACAATGCTTGAAATCGCATGATAGGAAACATAAACAGGCAGCATGTCTTATACCCTAAAAGCTGTTCCAAAATTTACGAACCGGAATTTGTGCATGAAATCGTATTCTTTGAACTATGCCTTATTATCTCCGCCCTTCGTGGCTACACGTTAATTGCGACCCATTTGTCAATTCGATGGCAAAGTACGGAGTAAATGGCATAACAGCTAAAGTATAGAACAATATTGTACCATAATTTGATTTCGCTATGACGTTATGTTGAAGCGGTTTGCGGGCAGTATGTAAAATAGATAAAATTTTTGCATAACGTGGAATAGCTTCTCAGAATAAGTGCGTGATGCAATTTGCTTCAAATGTGACACTCAACGAACTACATTACATAAATCATGTAGTCATCAATTGTACCCACATGCAGAGAGGATAGTGTTAATAGAAATACGACATTTGAAAATGGTATATCCTGAAATTATTATACTTGGCTGCAGTACAAAATCCCCAAGCTTAACAGGCGAAGCGGGATCTAAGTCTTCAAGTGGAAGATATGTTTGCATTAGCACAGTTGTTAACGCAAGAGAGAAATGAACAATATTTGTTAGTATAAGCACGACTTGTATACGAAATTGGCGTTACCATTAGTTCACAAGGCAGGCATTTGAAGTGAACTATGGCCGTGCAAAACCCAAAAATAGTAAACAAGATGGATCTGTTATCCTCGCTGTTATCATTGCAGGTATTTCGTCAAACCAAAAAGAGGCAATCTTATTTAAGCTCGCCATGCGCTGGCTAGTGATTTGAGAAGAATGAGCTAAAAATGAGCCAAAACGCGCTATCTAGATGGCATCGTAGATTTCCCGTACATTGTCCTTCGGTAACGCAATATGTTTTATAAATGCGTTCTTCAAGAACAACACGTCATGGCGTATAAAACCCTAGAGGCACAAAATGATTGCAATCGAAATTCAGAATCGAAAGAAATCAATCCTGAAATGTATAAAACGAACTGAATCAAGTACAATACTTCGCAAAGTTCATAGATCAATATGAAACTTTCTTAGATTTTCGGATATTTATAAACGTTTATGAATGTATATATATATACATTAGTGCATGTTTATATAACAATATAGTGTTTATGCAAGCATGCCTTTTAGGTTTGTTTTAGTGATTTATTCCCCAAAAATACTGAACATCATTGCGAAACCATTACGAGTAACTGACCATTGCAACCAAATTAATAAGAGTGTAGTTTTAAACAAGATTATAAGACTCTATAATTGGCCATCATTTTTGTACAGTACACGTGAAATAGTCTTGCATGCATAGTGTTTGGTCTAAAATTTGTCCTTTCTATGAACTTAACTGGCGTAAGAATTGCTAAATTTGACTGATAAAACTGAATTAAAAGTTGCCTGTTTAATGTTGCTTGCCTAAAGAAGGCAGCAACGATAACCAGTAACAATACATCAACAGCTCGTGTATCATTTAGGAGAAATTTGTGATGATGTCCGCTTTTATATCGTAGAGTAGCTCGATTTTGCAATTCCTTCAGACTTTATCGCCTGCGATGTATACCAAGGATACAGGCTAATGGCAAACATCAAATACGTCAACTAATTTTGAATTATGAATCAGATTTAAAAAAGTCCTTTTGTATCATCTTGAAAGACAAAATGGCCACCATATAATGTTCGTGTCTATGTCCACGCTGCATTCTATCGCAATTCATTCCTATTTATTCCGCAAGCAACGACTTGTACCCAATACAATCATATGGAATAAGAGTGAGCATGTTGTACTAGCGTTGTGAAAATATACGCAACATTACTCCTACCTTTTAGATGATCTGTGAGCGTTTCATCGTTCGCATTCTGTGAAGGTTTTTCGACGTCTTCACTCCCCAAACGCACTTCCTTGTCCATCACGTCGCTCATAAGCACAGCGATAGAAAAATTTGTCACAGGCATATTGCAAGTTGGAAAACACTAACACAAGCTCTTCCTGTGGTTAAATTTGTTTATAGTAACAGTGTATTCCCCGTAAAAAGCGTTGACACCCTATCGATACATGCTCTAATGCTCGCGGAGAATTGGTTATATGACAACTAAATATTCTAAGCACTGCATATTTTAAAGCAGATTATAAGATGCTTTCCTCAATCCAATTACGGCGATATGACGTTGACCGTTGAAGTAAAACATATCGATGCAAACACGAATGACTAATTAACTCTGGCAATCATTTTATTTCTCTTTTGATCATTTTTTCACTCAAATGAGAGAGGAAACGTTTTCGTGGCATTTTAGAAAAAGTGAAATTTGGGTTTTTGAAAACTGCAATGGATTGTGGTGGTCCAGTTTTTAACTCTTATACCAAGATCTCTGGAACATTCTTTATAATGAAAACATTGTACATGAGAAAAACAATGTTTTATTTTCAGCAAAGAAAATTACTTTACTTTTGAAATACTTTGAATACCACGGTGATTTCATTCACCAGACGTTTCAGAGATTCACTGGTGCAAAGCAGGAAAATAAATTGCAAGGGCGGGGCCTTGTTATCTGAGATCAAATACGGGAAAGTTATTACAACTTGACACTGCAAGGTCAAAATCTGGGGACAGCGCATTTTCCAACGCCTCAGCAGCTGCATGGAACAGGTTTTCTGTATTGATCAACAATCAAAATAATTTCAATATGTTTCCGTCACTGCATCACTCACTATATTGTAGGATAGTTGAACGGTTTTGTCGATATTTTATACCTTATTATGATTGATGGATTGTAAAGCGCATTTAATCATCTCAAATGCATGTTAATTCGCTCTATGTAAGATGCATAATTATTACATTGATTTAAATCCTTGTTTAGGAATCAAGATGGAAGGGTACTTCTTGCACGAGGCATTGAAATCTTTGAGAACAGGTGGAAAATCACCATATTGCAAACATTGGATTGTTGTTTTCTTACCAAAAATGCAACATTCAAGAGGGAAAGGATTAATGTTGATGATGTAAAATAATTTCCTTTGTTAAATTGATGCTATCAAGTACCTCCGATTTTCTTCAAAAAGATCACGACATAAGCTGCAATGTCCCTTCGTCATGAGTTGATAAAGGGTTTTGCTCAAAACGCCGCGGATGTTAATCTTTTTAAGAGCAGTTTAAAATGACAAACCGAACGGCAGCTTATCGTAGAGTACTTCCTACACTGGACTCCCACCTTTGAGATTATGACGCATCATCCTTGAAGAAAATCACGGCCTTCGGCTATAGTATGTGATGAAGACAGACCATGATAATCAATGTTTTTCTCAGGACCTTCCGAACTTTTGACTTCGCAACGATGTTTGCACCCGAATTGTGTCTGTAGGCTTTTTCAGGAGGCCTTCCAGGCAAATCGTTGGGGCACTTAGTGCATCGCCGTAGAGTGAACGTTTTATCCTATAATCTGTTGATAAAGGAATGAAAACTAGGAGGATTATTTTTATACAGTCAATATTAGTGACATCTTAATTCACGCAACTCTATCTGGTTGATTGATAGTGCCTAAATAATATTGTACTAAATCTTATTTTCCGGCAGATGCAAAAATAAATTCAAGCAATGCGTGACTCGATGCCGAAGCCCTTTTTCCGGCGAATTTGTTCATTAATTCATCGCGTGTGACGTGACGCGAGTTGTTTGTTATAGAAAATCGAAAATACTGATCTGGGGCGAGAATTGATCGATAGTTGAAGTGCAAATTTCGAATTGCGTTATTCATCCTAACGCGTATCTTTCATCGGTCTAATTGCTTGGAATATTTGCTTGGAATACCGAATAAAAGTTTGCTTCAGACAAGATCGATTTTTAATTAGGCCTTGAACAGCATAGGCTACTGCAACGACTGTTTGGAGCACCAGAATTTTCAGGACAGTAATCGAATGGCGCAGAACATGGTCACATGACTATTCGAAACGGTTCCCGCCGCCCGGCCAGTTTGAACACAACACGTGAGTATTGGCCATTTTTCACGTGATCGTGAAAATGGCCACCATTTTTCACGTGATCGTGAAAATGGCCACAGAAAGAACAGATTTTTTGTACTGACTTTTAGGCTATGTGTACACGAGCGTTTTCAAAATCGTTTTTGTCTATTTTATTGTTTAGACGCCCTGTCCACACGATTCAAGGGAAAATATGCCTAATGTGTTAAATTAGCTTCAATTTCTATTGTAAATTGACGGTGTTTGAAACCATTTTATAAACACTAATAACTATAAATATTTCTCTTAGGACAGCGGCTTCTTTTTGGCTATTTGTTAGCTTGGATCCAACGATCTATTGTGCTATCTGGACCGCTCCGCGGGATACCTTGGGCCCAAGTTGCGCGCGGTTTCGTCAACATGGCTTAGAGTAATGCGTGCAGGTTATTAGACCAAACAGTTCTCAAAAGTCTCCTAAAACGTCCCAATGCAACCAAAGGTTCGGCCCCAAATCCAGAAATATACTCACCCAACCTTACATAACTCCTACGATGATCATTTCAGACAACTCGTAGAGATCATGCACTTTGTGTTGAAATAACATGCATTATCAAACAAACCTTCCCATGAATAAACTGAATGGAAAGTTAAACGCGAGAAGAATGTTATTTATTTGAAGTATTTTATACCTTCACTTATACGCCTCAGATTAACACCACGATAAGTCTTCTTAATAAGAGATTAATGGCCCCAGGAAGAGTCGTATTGAATAACTGTAATACCCGCCTTCTTGAATGCATGAAAACAATAAAATCCTGAGTGCCTGGTATATTTAGAACAATATTTAAGTGGCTTGAAGACAGGTATAATGCAGATGTGTAGATTGCAGTGTTCAATTGTACATTCGAAAACAGCCTGGAGTCTCTTTTCAGCTACGAAAGAGTCAGTACCATGAAAAAATCTTAGAAATGAAAATGATAGGGATTTTTGAAAAACATATCAAAAACATGGCAAGATACATTTTCAACGAGAAAGAGGTTTTATGGCTGCATGGTATATATATACTTTCGCATGTATTCTAAAAGCGTACTGAAACTCATTCAGGGAGATCTTCTTATAACTTTTCAATGGCGGTATTTCCAGTCAAACAATAGCTTCATTTTCCGCAATGTTTTACTTTAAATCTTATCAGTCATGGAATAAGAATAATATGCAGACCTTTTACAAATAATTATTTTCATTTTCATTTTATTAAATTAAATAATTTATAGCCACTTAAATCAAGATGCAAACAAATTTTGCATTATTCTGACAAGAGAAAGAAAAGTAATAACCTCACTTATTTATATTCAGTTATGGTAGAATTATAATATATTTTATTTTACATATTGATATAGCTGAATAAAGAACCCAGAGGGGCAAGTTTTCATTGACAAGTTTTCTTGACCAGTTCACTTGTTGGTGTGCATGACGAACAAGTTTTCCTTGACAAGTTTTCGATCCTTGACAAGTTTTATTTGCTCGTGTGTACGCGAAAAATTTGAAAATTTGATCCTTGACAAGTTTTACGACTTTTACGATAATATGAGCCATGATGAAATGAGGATACGACCGAATCTCATAACAAACAAAAATGATAAAACTTCAAAAACCCGCTCGATTGGCTCGAAGATTGTTGCGCTGTACGTTCCCTACTCTGCAATTCCTTGTCAAGTTTTCCTTGACCGCCGTACACACGAGCATTTTTCCTTGTTAAAAACCTGGCATGACTAGCTTTTGAAAAAGGCTCCTTGTCAAGGAAAACTTGTCAATTTTTTCGCGTATACACGAGCAAATGAAACTTAGTAAGGCCGGAAAACTTGTTAAGGATAACTTGCCCGTCTGTACGGGGCTTAAAGCTAATGTTCTGTCATCTCACATTTCGTCAGTTTATTCTAATTTATTGAAGGCATCAAGGCATCATTGATATCAAATTTCAAAAATAATTCCTTCATTGAAGACATTCTTCAGTTTTTTCCTTACAGTCTTTACGGAGTGCGAAAATGAGAAACAGGTAAAATTCGAAAATGATCTTCAACGCGAAGGGCTGGCACAGATCGTTACCCATGAGCCTCCTTTTCATGCTAAGCTTATTTTCTCCTATAGAATATGCTTTTTCTTCTCAAATTTAGAAATGAAGCTCTCAGCCTTAAAAAACCTGCGTGCATTCAAAGTCATATAGTATGCATTGAAGTCGCATAGCGACGGAGCTTATTATTAAGATAGCCAGCCAACGACACAAACGTGATATAAAAGGAACCCGCTTGTGTTAGAAATACATTTCAGTTGATTCGTTTCACATACGGCTCTGACGTCGTTTGCCAAAATAAGTCTATAAGTTTTATCCCTGATTTGAAACTGTAGGAACTATATTTTTTCACGCCCGCGTCGTATAGATTTGCTGCATCTTAAGCTTGCTAATAGTCTAGCACATTCCTGGCTGCTATAGCTTTAGTGGAAACATGTATAAATTACGAATTAAGCTGCTAATTATCCTATATCGTTAATGACCTAATTTCAGTTCAGATTCTTTCAAGCAATCCTTGCATGTTCTTTTTAACATTAGATTTGTAAGTAAATTACATAAACATCCTAAATATATTCTCTGTAAGAGTGACGGAAATCAAATACGAAAATCAATCACAAAAATCAATTAATGACATATATTGTGGTGCAAAATCCTGTTAACCTGATTTTTAATAAGCTTACATGTTCAAAGGTTAATTTTGCAATTCTATTAAGAGACGATATTTCCTGTCGGAGAAAAATGTGTACAGTGTTTATCAGAGTGCTATAAGTTCGTAGGATGAGGTTCAAAAATATTGACGTAAATTAAGTATTTCCTAAGAATTAGTAAAAGATATAGACATTCCAAGTCATGCAGTAAAAAGATGCTGATGCAAAGAGCTAAAATGTTTCTTATCAAGCAATCGTTGGATTGTTTTCTGTGTTTTCGAATGAG